GAAAATAAAGTAAGTCGTACTTTTACTCGAAATTTTCACCTAGTTCAGTGACCTTATTTGACAGTCAGCTATGAGCATGTCAACCGAGTAATTGTAAAAACATCGATGAAGGATCATCCAATTATACAGTTTGGCTTCGTTATTTCCTTCTGAGCGAATAAACGAAGGTCGTACTCACTTTCTAGGTTAGATCGTTAGTTACGTATTTAATATAAAAGGTTTTTATAGCTCGTATGACTTTGAATAAATAAACCAAACCTAGCGGTCAAACTTCACTTTCTTTTCGGAATTTAATTCAAGCTCATTACTTCCCTTGTTAAGACGACAAAGAATTGCATAAACAGGTTATTGAAAGAAGGCTTTCATTCTTTTAAGCCATTTTATTCCTAATAGACTTAATAGTATTAGCTGGTCTAATCTACGTCCCATATTCTTTATCAGTTGTCGTCTTTCTATCTGGTTTGTTTTTGTCTTAACTTCAATTCCGCAGTAGATAACAAAAAAAGGGTTATATATTAATTAGAACTTATAACTGTATAAGACCACAGTGAGTAACTTATTAAAATGTAAAAATTGCTTATAAATTTTAAGAGCCTGGATACATTTATAAAACAATCGGTTAACAAAAGTCTAGCCTAGTTACAGACATAAAAGTAAACATGTATTTGTTTACACAGATAATGCTTAAAATAAACCTATATTAATATTTTTGTATACCGGAGACACCCTTAGGCGGCCGGGGGATCAGTACACATCATCCGCTGACCATTTCACCCATTTCCCCATGTCCAGATTGCAGAGGTTTTATGGGTTATTCAACTGTGGCCCCACACACACACAGTGAAATAAACCTATAATAAAAACACTTTAATGGGCCCGGCGTTCTCCCCGTAACCATGTAATTAAAAATCATTTTCAAACAAAATTTAACTAAAATATGTAACATTTTAAACTGTTTAAGTTTTTTATTTAAATGTGTACTACTCGCGTAAACAACAGACAGTATTTAAAACAAACCTTTTCACTTTTATTTTGTCTCTAATACTTATTTGATCCATACTCATTACATGCGTAGGGCAAAAGCGATCATCTTATTTGTAGTACATACAATGATTGACCCAACAATGACGGTACTATGTCTTCAAGTCGTGACCTCTTTATAAAAGTTGTCCTCATGTAACCATAAACTTTAATGAAGATATTATAATCAATCATATGAAAAGTAGGTTTCAAGGTGCAATTTATTACTATTTTTGTTACTTTTTTTACTTAGATTGCCAGGGTTTCATTTTTAATTTAATAATTTAAACAGAATAGTAAAAGTGTGCTGGATAAGCTACGCCAACCTTATGCAGCATCTACCAAAAAACATTTTTCTTAATAGTTTTTTACTAAGAGTAAGAATATTAATTTTTCGGACATTATCAATATAAAAATTTTTTCCATATATATTATCCTTTATTAGAGTGTGTGATTTTATACATAAATAAACATTCCCTCCCCAGGGGAGGGTTGGGGAATTGGGTTAAAAGGTCTGCAGTTGAATTTTTTCTTGAAAAATGAGAATAATTTCCCCGACTTCATTATTAAGTGTAGGTAATTAGATCCTTCTTCATGAATATCATTAAAATGCATTATCAGAGTGAGCATAAATTATGCTAATTTATTTTTTATTATACTTACACAGATAACAACAATCTGGGCATCTGCTTTCCGTTTGATTGTATTTGTACAGTCATGGTCATTATATAGGTATATAGAATGTAGGATGTTATCAATGTTACATGTACAAAACTGTTGAAATATAATAAACAATTATGAGATTAATTTCTCCACTTAAAATAAAAATAAATCTCAGAATATATTATTTCTATGATTCTATATATGTTGGCCTAGGCCTTGACTTGTTGAGGGATCCTGTGTTCAAAACCTCAAAAACACAGCAGTATAATTTTCTTGCCGAGCATAGAAGGCACCCCAATTGCCTGTAGATAAACTTTATCAGTCAAAGAAACACAATATTGTGTTTAGGCTCTGCATAGTGAAAGGATATATAACTCAAAAAGTTTAAAGAATTTTTTTGTACAAGTAACGCCTCTGTGTAAATGGTTAAACGTATTGCCTAGCATGGCGTTCAGCGCCAGAGGACCTGGGTTCGAATTCCAGAGAAACAAATAATGTTTCGGTCTGGCATGGCACAGAAGTCTGATCAACTATTTGCCTCTTAAAGAACGGATCAGTGAAACGATCACAAAAATGTGTTCGCCCCGTGCCCCACGAGGGGGAAACGGGATTTCACTAATTGTGTACTTAGTCTTAGTTCTCTTCTTAAATTTTTTCTATTAAAAATAGATTATGTCCAACATAGATATGTAATGTTTCAGATTAACAGATCCAATCGGTGTTATAACGGATGGCATCGGTAACTATAGTGTCAGTACGCAATGCTCCTGGCTCATATCACCACCTTGGTTGGGTCCATCCCCACCATCTATCAGAATTCGTCTTGAGAGCTTCGCAACCGAGTGTGGCTGGGATCACATGTATGTGTATGACGGTGACAGTGTAAGGGCTGAGAAGTTACTGGCAGTGTTTAGGTGAGTCAGAAAAAATGCTTCACTTTCAGGACAAACATTTAAGAATAGCACACTATTTATCAAAAGATATGCTTTTAAAAGTTTGTCTTACAAACTTCCTTCTCCTCTAAATATAAATCTAATTAAAACTTTATATCTATTTATGTTGTAAAGTATCATTTATTGTGTCTTTTGTTTTAATTTTATTTAAATACTTTTGTTTAAATAATTAATGCAGCAAGTAATTAAAATAAGTGTGTTAAGGAAGCTATACATAATAAAAAACAGGCATACTCGGGTTGCCTGGAAGAGTTTGCTTGTTAGCGATTAGACTGCTTATTGCATTTGATTTTTACATAAAATATAGTCTAATATTTTTAGTATGTCAGTCTCGCTTGTATTTTTTCTTTTCTGCAATAAAATGTGAATAAATAAAAATATGAGTATCTTCTATGTAAAAATCACAAAACCACACCTGTTCGTTATATATTTATTTGTCATTATATATTTTCCAGCGGCGTGCTAGAAGATGCAGAATCGGGTTGGACGCGGCAAGTGATAGCGCACTCTGGGAGCGTCCTCATTCACTTCTTCTCCGACGACGCATACGCCATGGAAGGGTTCAACGTTACGTACGCGGCCTATTCTTGTCCGTCAGACGACCACCGGACTAACTGCTCTAGTATGTATTTCTAAAGGACGAGATTGCCTTTCCAAAAACAAATTTAATTTTTTAAAAACATACATAACTACTTTGTTTTTGAAACTTAACTGTCTATAGTTTACGCGAGTAGCACACATTTAAATAAAACACTTTAACGGTTTAAAACGCGATATATTAGTTAAACTTATTTGACAATGATTTTTAACTTCGGCCCGTTTCGGATGCTTGGCGGCAGCCGTGGTCACGGGGAGACGAGAGAAGTTAAAAATCATTGTCAAATAATGTCTAATATATCGCGTTTTAAACCTAACACTTTAACAAGTGTTTTATTTAAATTTTTAAAACTGTTTATGATAGTGGAGAACAGACAAGGATGTTGTTCGCATCATAAAAGGTGAAAATACTCAATCTTTATTAAATCTCAACAATATGCCTATCTAATCTAACCTCCTTTGGCTTTGGATATTCGGAAAACAACAGACTGAAGCCGAAATGCGTTTTTTTTCCCCCATCTTTACAACAGACCATGGCGAATGCGAAGAAGGCTCATGCAGATGTGAACCACAATGGACCGGTCTTGCCTGCGACCGGCCCCTGTGCCCGGATAACTGCAACGCGGAGTACGGTTCAGGACAATGCACCTCGGATGGTTGCGAGTGCACCCCGTCCCGGACCGGGCCAGATTGTAGTCGGGACAGTTCGTTAGCTGCGTGGGACTGGGAGTGGAAGGAGGAGGGCGAGGGGGGGACCAGGCCGGGGAACACCCCGCCGCCAGTCGCAGGACATACCCTACTGGTGTATGGTGATGATCTGTTGAGGATAGGCGGGGAGACTTTCTCACAGGCTGAGTTTGTTTATAGGTGAGTAATGATCATATATACATTACGAATATATATAAGATACTTTTAACAGTTTAAAACGCGGAATATATATTTAATTTATTATAACTGCGACTTGGGGGGAGAAAGTGTGTTTTGTAGTCGCGCGCGAAGTTTAATAATCCATAGATTTTTTAAAGCACTAACATTAGCTTGTTTTTATTTTTTCACTATATAAAGGTATATACATTAGTATTTATATGGAACTCGTTATTCATAGATGAGACATGATCACGCCATTAGTGCCTAAGTATATTTAGTGTTAAAAGCAGATAAGATTGACATAAGCTTTTAATATTGTAGCCGAACAAACATTGTCAAAACAGTTACATCTTTTAATAATGCTTAGTAAACTTTATACCAGAGGCGATTAAGTTTGTTTGTCTAGAGATTAAAATTTAAACATGAGAGAATTATTATTTCACACATTTTCATCGAATAAAATCTACGCAATGTAGTTTACGCGAATAATAAATATTTAAATAAAACACTTTAAAACGCGATATATATTAGTTAAACTTATTCAAAAAAATATTTTCAACTTTGGCCCGACGCTTCCGATGCTTTGCAGCAGCCTTGGTTACGGGAGACCAGGTTTCCTGCGACCCAAAGTTAAAAAATAATTTTTAAATAATAATATATATCGCGTTTTAAACCATTAAAGTGTTTTATATACATGTGTACTAATCGCGTAAACTAAAGCGTATATAGGTTTTTATTTACAAAACATGTGTCCGCTGCTCTACCCGATTTTATTTACAAACCAGTAGTTGATCAGGTGTCTGTGCCCTTCCAGACCGAAAAAATCCTATGCTTCAAACGGTCCTGGGTTCAAGCTCTAGTGCTGAACGAAATACACAATTAATGATATTTATTCGACAGGTACAACACAGTGAAACGCGAATGGACGCCAATGGAAGCCCGCGGGGAAATACCCGCTTCTAGATTCGCGCATTCGTCTATCATTTATGGCAACGAGATCGTTGTCTATGGCGGAGTGGTCGCCTCCGACGAACCTGATAGAGGGTGAGTACTAATAGCTAAGGATATTTTTTTAAGACTTTAATTAAAGAAAAATTTAGATGAAATATCATCTCCTGTTGTTTTAACACTTATCTTATATATGTATAACCAAATAAAATAATACAATATTCATAAATCATCAATTTCGTCTTCCTCCTTACGTGTACGTCTTAAATCGCCATCTTTGATCGCTCTCTCTTCGTCCCTTTCCCACATATCCTCTCATTCTTACATTTTGGTTAAACAGCAGCACGGAATGTTGTGGGTTGTTCAAGACCTGCTCGTGTCGTAATTTATTTTCCATCTAAATAGATATTTTATTGAAATCCCCTAACTTAAGCCTTAATCGTTTTAAATTATTACTACAACTGCTTAAGTGCTCTATTAACACGCGATGAAGATCACAAATTCCCAGGTTCGAATCCCAGGCAGACAAAAAACACTGAAATAAAGAGATTATATATACTTTTAATGATTTAAAGCAAGACATTCATTAGGTAACTTCCGTCGTGCCGAGTTTAATTAATTATAAGTTAGTATATTCGCGTTTGAAACCGTTTCAAATGTATAATACACACTTAAACTAAAGTTCAAATAAAAATAACTTATTCCCAGCGGTGGCCTTGCCGGCGTGGAAGGGCGTGGGGGTGAGGTGACGAACGAGGTCTGGCGCGGGATGATCGACGCAACATCGATCCAATGGCGGAATGTCACACCAACCACTTGTTCCCCGCATTATCGCCCACCCCTGGGACACTGTGGTTGGTATTACTAGCAATGGTTATTAATCGTATAGTAATAGTAAGGCAATGTTTTATATAATTTATTTTCTTAGAATAAATCACGCTACGTTACTATTGAAGTATTTTTACCGCTTCAATTTGTGAAGCGTAGGTAGTTAGATAAATGAACTACCCTCTTCGACATACATTATATATTTTTATTTTTTTAGGTGGTTTAAACCTCTCTGGCCATACATCTGTTTTAGTACATCTGGGTAAAACCAAGAAACCGGTTATGCTCGTATTCTTTGGTCATTCGCCACACTATGGTTATATGCATTTAGTGCAGGTAAGATTTCCGAACTTACTGATTTTGTCTATATGTATGACATTAGAAAAACTAAAGCCAAAAATAAATAATATACAAGGTAAATAAATATGAGGCTCCTACAGAACAGAGATTTTTAAGACATAAAAAAAAAACAATTTGGGGTAAGGAGCCTGCCCGTGTCGCCTGATACGGTAGCTCAATTGTTTAGAGCAAAACGGAACGCTGTGGATGCCGGCTTAAGTCTTGCCCGTGTCGTAAAATGTCGACTTTTAATATGTATTTATATTATCGAAAGACAAAGCTTTTAAATAAAACACTTTGACGGTTTAAAAAGAAATATATATCGAATAAACTTATTTGATAATAATTTTAACTACGGCCCGACGTTTCGGATGCTTTGCAGCAGCCGTGGTCACGGGGAGACTTAAGGTGGAGAATGTCTCTGACGTCAAAGTAATAAAATTGCTACGTTGTTATTTGCATGGCGGAACAGCTGGCGCTAGCGTAGCAGTTTTTTGCTTTGACGTCAGAGACATTTCGCGTAAACTACAGACAGTATTTAGTAATTGAAATATCTTTTTCAGGAGTTCTACATAGACGAGAGTGTCTGGTCCGTATCGAACACGCGCGGTTGGTCTGCGCGGGCGGGGTTCGGCCACACTGCCGTGTTCGACGAACTCTCGCGCAAAGTGTACGTACACGCCGGCCTCGTATCGGAGTCCGAGGCTACACAGGTAAGCTTTAAATAGCTGGACCTGCAAATGTGTTACTATATGAATTATTTCTAGTGTGTAATAATAAATTTTATACCGGGCACATATACATAATGACAAACCATAATGACAAACAATACAGTTTTATAACTACGGCCCGACGTGTATGCACAGTACCTAAACAGCTGTACACGTGTTTTATTTCCTCAGGCGCCGTCCGCGGCTCTATACGAATACGAAATCGAGACGCGTATATGGAGGCCGCTGCCCTCCGCGCCGACGCCTAGATACTTACATTCCGCTGTTTTTATATCACCAGGCGAGTAAAACTTTACGAATAGCACTTTTTCATTTTAGAGGAAAGAGCATGGGGTTCGCTCGATCAAAGGCCAGTCAAATAGCATACTAAAAGATACGATGTCGACTTATTTGCCTTTGGATATTTGGAAATCCACAGACTGAAACGGAAACGAGTAGTTTTTCAAAAATACTTGTAATGTAATTACCAGTAAGACAAAGTTCTACATCGCGTATTGATCAGATGTGTTATTTGTTTTTTGTACTTAAATGATTAATTAAATATTAATAAATCAAAATTTAAATAAGAATTAAAGGGGGGGGGGGGGTTTGAAATAACTCAATTATTTGCCTATATCTGTTGTGATAGCAATAGTGACAGCAAATCTGTTGTCAGTGACTGAATTAAATATAAACTCAAAATAAGTTACTATGTGAGATAAGTGTTCCTACTGTTACAATTTTAATTATTTTATTTAATTTCACTAGGTCTTGTTACGGAACCCTTATAAGTCCGGTTCGCACTAGTCCAGTTATATTGTAAATTGATCTTAATTTTATGTACCTTTGAAATGATTGTACGTGTGTGTTAACTTAATTATATTTATAGGTGTACTGCTAGTGTACGGTGGTAACTCACACAACGACAGTGCAGTTGCCTCTGTTTCAAATCCCGCTACAGCTAAGTGCTTCTCCGGGGCTGCTCTATTGTATGATGTCAGGTATATATCTACTTTTTTTATGATAGAAAATAGTAGACAAGCATAGAGGTTTACTTGATGGAAGGTAAAATACCCATACATCATCCCTTTGGCTTTGGGAATTCGGGAATTCACAGATTTATTTAAATAAAACACTAACGGTTTAAAAATGCGATACATATTGGTCAAACTTATTTGGAAATTATTTTAACTACAGCCCGTCGTTTCGGATGCTCTGCTGCAGCCGTGGTCACTGGGGGGAGACTGACTACGTCCCCGTGACCATGGCTGCTGCATATCGCGATTTAAACCGTTAAAGTGTTTCATTTAAATGTTTACTACTGGCGTAAACTACATATAGTTTAATACTATCTACAGACTGAAACCAAAACGCGATTACACTTCAAGGCTTTTTCAACAATGGACGGTGGTGGCGTACGGAATTTCAATATTCCTACCATCAAAACCAAATTCAACCATAATAGCATATTGTAAGGTTGAAATTACATTGCACAAGAGGTGGATGTATTAAAGCCAAGAAAAAATTTGATTCACAGAAATGCTAGCTGATGTTGTAGAGCAATAGCTCGGCACGATGCGGTCGTGCAGTCGAGTCTCGTCTGTGATTTTTGTTTTCAAATACAACATTTTAAATTACCTATACCCGTTACATATGAAATAAAATTTGACAATTGCGTTTGATTAAATGTAATATAAATATATATGTTTTGTATGTTTGCTTAAAATGGTATTTTCATTTGTCAATTAGATGCCAACAGTGGATGTCCGCTCCTTTTGGCCCCGTATCAGCCAGAATTGGCAGTGCAGCGGCTCTTTTGCCGCTGCAGAGCCGACGGACCGCCCTCATATATGCTGGGTAAGTAGAAGTCCCGTGAAGTGAGATTGAAAGAGTGAGAAAGAGAAGAAGCTAAGTTTTTAAAGCCAATGAAATTTGGTATAAATACTATTTCTCTTTGTTGATTGACATATGTCATAGACAAATGGTGTATCCAGTTGATTTGTCCAGTAGAAATATAAAAAGTTGTTTATCAGTCTTAAAACGAACTCTTGCTGAATTCTGATCTGACGCTTATATAGTTTATCGAATAAGTAGCTTGCAAGCACAAGAGGATAAGGTTCAAATTCTGGAATTACCATTTAAGTAGATCACAGGAGTTTGATAATGTATTTACCTGTAAGTAAAATCAGAAATATGTTCACCCCATGCACCATAGGGGGATACGGCATTGCTCTATACTTGTAAAAATAGGCAAAGTAGATCTCTATCCCCCATACCCCACGGTACTCCCGCGAAAACATTTCTACCCCCGTTACACTCATCGGTTCTTTCACAGGCAAGTAGTTGATCACACTTCTGTGCTCTGCCCGACCGAAATAATCTATTGTTTCCCCGAGATTCGAATCTAGTACCTCTGGCACTGTTTGCTGAGCATCACGTTCAACCATTTCGCTATAGAGACGGTCAGAACTTGATTATAAAATCATTATTAATTTTGCTCTTATTTACACCAATGATTCCCGTTTAAGTCATTGCTATTAAAATATCAAATGGTTGTTTGAGCTCTGTCTAACAGACGAACAGTAGGGAACAAGAGCCTTTTGGCACTTACACTTATTTTTTCCCAGAATTGTACTAAACTAATGGCAAATAAAGAAATGTATAAAGTAAATAAGTATTCTAAAACGGCTTTTCATGTTCCTTTTACAGGTTTGACGGTAGACTCCGTTCCGACGCCCTATCGTTGACTGTAGGAGACAAGTGCTCATCACGTTCGGACGAAGCCGCGTGCTTGAACACAGCTCAGTACGGAACGTCGTGCGTATGGAAGCAGGACAGATGCGTAGCCGTTAGTTGCATTTCGCTTTAGATTAAATAATTATTTGTGTATTGTAATGTCAATCTTGTGTTTATTTTAATTAGGTCTATATTTAGTTCATTTAAATTTATTTTTATCGCGATTATATAAAGAAAGAACCTTAGTTGTGCATGATTAATGATTTTTATGGTTCTCATTAATTTGTTTTATTTATTTCAGATCGAAGAAATCGGTTGGAAAGATTCGTTTGACAGTTCCGTGAAGGCTTGCGTTTCTCCACCGGTTTTTGGTGAGTTATTCTCAATTCAACACTTTAACGCGATATATATTATTTTAACTATGGGCCAGGCGTTTCGGATGCTTTTCAGCAGCCGTAGTCATGGGGAAAGGTCGGGCCGTAGTTAAAATAACTAATATATATCGCTCTTTAAACCGTTATAGTGTTTTAAAAAAATATGTAATACTCGCGTAAACTACAGACAGTATTTTGAGTATCTTTCAAATTATGTGAATGGGATAAAATATATTTTTTTATAGATTTCATAAGAGGTACTCAAGGATAGATTTAATTATTTTTCACCAGTTTATCACGTGAGAAATTCACATTTATTTTCTAAAGTGTTACATATCTCTTTTCTATGCGCAGAGGAACGACGCTGCGCAACGGCCGAGTACTGCGAAGCTTGTGCGGCTGCTAACTGCGCATGGTGCGGCGCTTGTATGCCGTCATCGCATCATTGCGTCAGACATTCGCACCAGGTACGTATGTTATATATTTCATTGATATAATGATTGCAGTAATTAAAAAAATATATACATTACATCTATTATATCATCAATGCTTAATTGAAAACGTACATAGTGAGATTAAAAACATTTAAAACACAGGCGGAAATTGAATTCACGACTTGAAACTTAGAGCCATAAAGGATTAAATGCACATAGGCAAGGTACGGTTCGATTTGTTCAGTCTCTCAACTATTATTTTAGTTCCTGTCCATGTGTTAGTAGTTTATATTCTTATTCTGACTCATATCTTTGTATTTTGTACATATAGATAGCGGTAACGGTAGAAGAGTGCGGGGCTAGTGGTGTTGGCGGCGAAATCTGTGGGCGTTACCACTCCTGCGCAGCCTGTCATGCGCATCTACATAGACATCCACACGTGAGTGTGAAACTTGGTTTACATGGAATTATCTAGAGATATACATGTTAAAAGAAGTTCTGTGTATTTTATAACTGCCAGTTAGTTTATTTCTTTTTACAACACTTACATAATTGCCTGATATTCTTTCAGGGATCTGAGGAATTGAGCCAACGCGCTTGCTATTGGGACTACGATTCCGTAAAATGTCGTCCGGCTAATACTACCACGGATATGAGGTAAGTCTGTTAATAATAACTTTAATTCATCTATCGATTATTTCTGTAATGTGTATTAAATTGTGATCCTTCGAGCCGGATATGCAGCAAAACTATATATTTTTGCGTAGAAGCGTAGCGACTACTGGCGGTGGTTGTAACGCAGCGTGCGCGACACTGACAACTTGCGCGAATTGTACTGCTGAGGAGTGTATATGGTGTGCATCGACGGGAAGATGCGTTGATAAGGTAATACAACGTTATTTGCGCTCCTAAAGTCCGAGTGAGCACAGCAACGTTTTGCCAAAAATCAGCGATGCAGTATAACTATTATGCATATTATTTCTAACGGAACACCTTAATGGCTTTTTTTTTAATTATTAACATCTTTGATTGTTTATTTTAAACTTCGTTATTTACAAAACATGTACCTAACTACATTGAATGCCTAAAAGAGGTTTATTAATATGACATTTTTTATTATTTCTATTTTTCATTGCAATATTCTAAAATCGATTATGTTGATTTGGGATTAAGTTGGTATGTTTGGCGTCTTTTCGTCGAAACATTTCAAAAACAAAGGTATACGTTTTAAAGATTTTTCTCAAAGTGAAGTGTGTTTAATATTCATATTCCTATTATATAAAAGCAAGTATATTATTAAATCTATCTTAGTTTTAGATCAATAGGTTTTAAATGAAGTATTATCTTTTCAACAGAACGCATATGGAGCATCGTTTCCGTTGGGCGGGTGCCGTGCGTGGTCCACCAACGGGTGCGGATCTTCAAGCCACGTAACGGGATGTGGCGCGCACGTATCCTGTGCGTCGTGTCGCGCGGAGCCAGCGTGCGGGTGGTGTGATGATGGGGCTGGTGGGGGCCGCGGTACTTGTTTACCTGGGGGAGAACGTCGACCGCACCATCCACACGTTTGTCCCCACAGACGGTTAGTATTACGATGAACAGTTCTCACTTCGTGTGCAGATGTAGTTTTTATCGTTCTAGGCCCGAAGTCAATCGAAAAGCGTCGTTATTAATGACCGTTTTTTAAAATTCTTCTTTCATTTCGAAGGAGACTCATGTTAAGATGTTACATTGTTTATAACGGATTTTTGTGTATTACTATGTGTCTTATTAGTATTGTATTTATTACTATATGTGTGCGTACATTTTTATTGTTATACTCTGTGACTTCTGTAGTTTCTTAATACTGGTTTAGCGAATTCTATACAATATGATCGAAAAAAAGCAATTTTTTAAATCTACGAAGGTCTTATTGATATCTGCTTGCGATGAAATTTGTATAATGCAAGATACATATTTAAATTGTTCAATATTTTTAGGTGGCACTTCACACGTTGTCCAGCGTGCCAGTGCAACGGTCACGCTATATGTGACAGTCAGAATCGCTGTATACAGCCATGTGCGGCGCGCGCTATTGGAGATCACTGTGAGATGTGTGCGCCCGCGCATTGGGGCTCGCCGCTCAATGGTGGAGTTTGTCAACGTAAGTTCAAACAATCCCAGTATATTTTGTAATATAACGTAGTAGATAATCTAACGCAAAATGTTACTAAATTTTGGTTCATGAGCCTAGAATGCGTTACATATTTCATAATAAACACTTGTTATTTAAGGATTAATTGTTATATCTGGTCTATTAATATTTCAGCGTGCGAATGCAACGCGCAGGCGGTGTCATGCGCGGCCGATACCGGCAGGTGCTATTGCAGCACGAAAGGGTTGGCCGGGGACCGGTGCGAGAAGTGTGACAACACCAACCACTACCACGCTGATTTGTATAATAAGGGGTGTTATTGTAAGTGCAAAACGTCGATTGGATTATAATTCGAAAACATTTTTTTAATAATAATATCAAAAGTACAAAAGAAATATTTTTTGGTCCTTCGAACAGAACAATCCATATTTGAAGGTAAAGTCAAAGACATAATAAATTTACAGATGATCTAGCAGTCGACTACCAATTCACGTTCAACCTATCGAAAAAGGAAGACCGCCATCTATCTGCGATCAACTTTCGGAATGCGCCCGTTAAACCCGATGTGGATGCGGACTTTAGTATAACGTGCTCTGCGCACGCGCGTATGAATCTCACTGTGCGCACGAGGACTGATCCCGCTGAGAGGACGCTGTTCAGTGACGTCAATTGTACTAACTTTAGATATAAGTGAGTATTTACGTGACAATTTTGTAGTTCAAGGTACTGAACATATAAATCGTAATTGTTATTTTCTATATTATATTTTAATAGGTTATTTAAATGGAGGCACATTGTAGTAATGTGCTTTAACAATTAGTATGTTTTTAATAATATTTTTTAAAAGTCTACATAACTACGCTACCGCAAACGCCTCGATAATTCTTAATGATACTTTGAAAGTTATAAAAAAATGTTTCTTAATTGGGTTACATATTAGTATATATATAATCTCCAATTCACATTTGCAACATTATAAAATACAACAACTATAAATAATCAAGGTAAAGGCCATTCCAATACAGGTTCGCGAAGTCGGAGCACGCGTTCGGCGTCGAAGACAACGTGACGTTGACAACGTTCTTCGTCTACGTTTACGACTTCCGCCCGCCGTTGTGGATTCAAATATCCTTTTCGCAGTACCCCAAACTGAATCTGCAGCAGTTCTTTATCACGTTCTCGTCGTGTTTCCTGCTGTTGCTGCTGGTTGCCGCTGCTTTGTGGAAGATAAAGCAGGTCAGAATTTATAATTAATACTAAACTAATATAACATACATTACGGAATATGCACGGATTTTCAGAATCTGGAATTCTCCTGAATAACCCTTTTTTAAAAACTGTACATTTTTTATTATCAAGTTATTGTAAATTTCAGAAATACGATTTGTATAGAAGAAGGCAGCGGTTATTTGTTGAAATGGAGCAAATGGCTTCGCGGCCTTTCAGCCAAGTGTGCGTTGAACTTGAGAGGGGTGGAAGCGGTAAGGATTGTTACTGAAACTTTTAATTATTAAAATTCGAAGTCACATTGTGCAAAATGACACCTCTGATTCTAAAGTACGTGATGCACGATGACGTGATGAAGTTCTGTAGATTTTTAATTATTCAATTCAACTAACAGATCATATCGGATATTCCAGGCGCAGGCGTCCCCGCACCCGTTGCACTAGAGCCCTGTAAATGGGGTCGCGCTGCAGTGCTGTCCCTCCTCGTAAGGTTACCGACCGGAGGGACAGGTCGGGCACCGCCCCTCGGCGGTCTGGCTGTTGCCTCCGCGCTAGTCACCCTCGGGCATCATCATCATGAAAGAGCTGATAGGTATTGTATAATACAAATTGATATTAGACTTAATGAGAATCAGAATTTTTGGTCCTTCGAGACGGCACGAAATTTCGTGAAAGTTATCAATAGTTTGTAATAAATCTAAATTTCCTGGAAATACTATTGAAACGTTAAACATATAACATAATTCAATTTTTTTTGTTTCAGACCCAGGAATCACAACCAGTGTAAATAACGACTGTAAGTGTACATATTAGTGCTCGAACGCTTTGGATAATACTCATTTGTGTATAGACTGAGAGTCCAGTGATAGTGTCACTCACACTAGCGTATAAATATGTGACACCCAGTCACGTCGGTGCCAATGGACGCAAATTATATATTGCTATCTTGCTCATTTACACGCGGTGAAAAGGACAAGCATAGTTTTTTTATACTAGAATCGCTAACGTTATACCGTATAGTGTTTAGAAATATGAATTGCAGCTATTTTTTTTCTATTTATTTTTATTCGATGTTTTAACTTTGGAATGTTGGAATCAATTTTAACGTCACTTAACATGCTTCGCAAGATTACGAGATCCTTCCATCGTAAAGTATTTTAGTATTATATTAAGACGTTTATCAATTACAAATATGTTATATGTTCATATTTTAAGTTAGTTGGAGGATAAGATTCTAATGGTCCTTCGAGCCGGTGGACGCGAAATCTATTAACATTATGCATCTATGTAATTAAATCAAGATTTGATTTTATGCTTTTAAGTTTTTGTATTTCGCTAAGCTTATAACTTGAATAATCGCCTTTGAGCCGGATTGTTGTACATTAGAATTGTAAAATAAAATCAATTGTCATTTATTCAAGAGTCATACAAAATATTTATCAATTAATTTAAGCAATAATAGTTCATAGTTCTAATAATTAACACAGTGAATTTAGTAAGACTTGAATATGAGATATGAATTGACAAATAGTCCATAGGTTATTTATATTATTATTTATTTCTCGTTTCGGGTGACATCTTTGTTAAGGCTCTGAACTAAAAAGCATTTGGAGTTTTCATTAAAAGCAATACAGTGTTGTTACTTTTTGAAGTATGAGTTTTACGGTATGTGTTATAAAAGTATAATTCCGTTGATATTTTCAATAAAAAATATATATTTTAGATTCAGTCCAGTCCACATTCAGTGTAGGAGTAAAACCACGTACGAATAATCTTCTCAAAATTACTAAGATTTACCAGTATAAAAATACAGTACAAATGGCATTTTATTTTTATGAATACTGAACTAGAATATTTAAAAACTTTGCGATGCGTAGTCTTAATTTGGATAGCAGAACCTGCTTTGTTAAGAACGGACTTTATTCTACTTTTGGCGTCTTAGACGCCCAATGAAATATTTGAATAGATTGAATCTTTATAGTAGTGTACTTGTTGTAACTTTTTTAGTAAACAATACAATTTACATGAAATCGTGATTTCCTCACAAGGCTTGTGGTTATTTACAATGAAAACACATTGAGACACTGGATTTATTATATATAACCTAAAATTTACCTATTAAAAATACCATGAAAATTAAGATAAATCCTAATATTTTTTCGCATATTACGACAACTGCTAGGCGTTCGAAACGTCAAGTTGAATAATAATGACGAGAAAAAATCGCGTATTAATCCGTTACTGTTTAAAGCAACTACGTACGTATAAAATTCTAGGTCCATATAATTTAAAATCGGCCATATTTGTTTTGGTCCTTCAAGTTAGATAAAATACACTGTAGGACGCTTAAAACATTGAAGTTTATTTAAAAACTGATAACGAAATATTCTTTCAACTGACAGCGAGTTAGTTTACATTTTTATAATCTGTCTTTTCGCTTTGTTGAACATCTAGCTTAGAAATAAAACATAACTTAAAATTCAAACGTTCGAAAATATGATTATTTTAAAAAGTAAACGTCTTCTATCGAAGAAGACTGTCGTCTTCAGGTATATTTTGATCCAAACTTCCTCAAGCTATCATATTTTATCCCTTTCTTTACTTAAAAACGTGACAGAGACAACTATATGCAGCACTTATTATATTTATAACAATATTGACTATTATACATATGTATCTATTTATAGTTTAGTACTGCCAGTGTTCATAACATTTGATTTACTAAAATGAACTGTATTCTCATTAACATAGAATCCCTTTTTATACGTTATAAATCCGAATGTGTCAAAAACTGTTTATTTTCTAGAAACAAATTAACAATCAACATTGTTAATGTAATAGTGTTATTATTTTCAGTATCTTATTAATAATACAGTGTCATAAGTCAAAATTACTAATATTTGTCTTACTGAGTTAGTCAGAGAGATTTAGACTTTCCAAGATCTCATCCCTTTCTCCTAAATGACGAAACTGCCACTTCTTCCCTTTAGTAAGTCTAATTATGTTTTACAATGAGGGCAATAAGCATTGGGCTAACTTCAAAGATATCCATTAAGTCTTGGCACTAGTTCACGTGAACAAACGGTTTAAAATGCGAAATATAGTCCCCCGTTATCACGCCTGCTGCAAAACATCTAAAATCTCAGGCCGTTAAAATAAGCAATATATGTTACTTATATTTATATTCTATTTCGCGTTTTTTAACCATTAAAAATTATTCAATTTATTTATACATGTATAGCATCCATCATTCTAGAAAACATTCGATCTACTACCTCAAATTTATGTCGAATATATATCGTATTTATTTTCATAGGAAAACCAAGCAAAATAAAAAATTTAAACACAGTTTTAAAAATCAAAACAGTTTTAATGACTTTATTAAGGCCTGTTTTGGTCAAAGATTAATGTCTTACAAAATGTTCACGTAACGACATCTATCGTTTGTATTAAAGCAACTTTAATAGACCTATTTTTATGAATTTCAAATCGATTTATCGGGGTCTGAATCCAATACACGATGTATCGTTTAATGTTTAATATAGATTTTAATATAAACCCACGTGCAGTTGGCCTCTGATACTTGCCTGCGATAGTGCGTATGCGCCCTTAATAATTTAATATATTTTCGATTTCGCTTTTTATAGATATTTTTATTATTTTATTTTCCTAAATAATATTAAACGCGAAAAATACGTCGTAATAATATTAGGTTTAAATTTTTCTTTCCACCGAACTTAAGAGTGTGTGGAACCGTTTTTGTACTAGTATGCCCGTTATTCAATTTTATTAACATAACTACACGTCTATTTGCTAGCGACAAAGAGACAAATTAGGTACCATATATAGGTAATGTCATATTCAATAAAAACAGTTTTAATAATCTTGGCGACCTTAATAAATTTCACAATAAAATGGATGAATGGAAAATAGCTTGTAAATAATATAACTATTATAATTACTTGATTCGGACGGAGTTCCAATATTCCTAAACCCCATATCAGATTACCAGACGAAGCCCAACATGTTTCAGAAAAATCATGAATTGTTTAGAGAAATGTTGCCCCCAGTAGAAATCGAACGTACGACCCAATTTATAAGACACATTGCTAGGCCAGTAAATTACTCACTTGCTTATGTATGTCTGTTGTCAAACAACTTTAAGACGTTTTTGAAAAATGCACTACTCACAGCGCGAACTGGTTTAACTACCACTACGAGCGTAGAAACGTCTTAAGTTGTTTTGCTGTATAAATTTCGCAAGTTGCGGTCTAAACACTAAGTGTTATACTTACAACATGTATATGTATTATATGAACGTGTCTCCCCCCTTTTTCCCCCTATTTTTCTTCATTTGTCAACATAACATTGAGTCTTCGTTATTAATGTTAATAAGCAGAAGTTAGCCCTTAGTGATCATATGGCCATGATTTGAAGATATTATAATATATGGAGAGTAAACTAACATAATGTTTACGGACCACACATTCAAGATAAGCCATTTTACTCCCATATTTCAAGATTCGTGTCCTAACGGAAATAAATCTAGTTTAACTTCTGTTTCTAGCAACCTACATGTTCTAAATGAAATCTAAAAGCTATACTGGTTAAGTATTGTGTTTAGTTTACGCGAGCAGTACCCATTTAAACGGTTTAAAACGCCATATGTATTTTATCAATTATTTTCATGTAACTACAACACCTCGTGCGTGGCTGTAAACGTTGAGTTGTAGTAAAAGTGTTAATATACCGCATTTTAACCCGTTAAAAGTTTCTTTAAACACCTCAAAAGTTGATGTTTTAAGATTATACTTCACTCATTTATTGTGTCATGAGTATCTAGTCTACTCAGTGAATACAAAGACGAAAAAAAGAGACTTCATATATAATAAAAGATTTTTAACATCACTTGAAGCTATCAGTGTGTGGGTAACATGTTGCCAAACCAATTTTTGTGTTCAAAAATGTCTATTTTTGTATTTAGCCATACATGCCCTACGAACAAATTAAAACCTTGTCCCCATAAAAATTAGATAACGTTTACATTAGTTATGCGTAAAACAAAATTGTTTATAAATGCTATTCAACTCAAATCTGTAAATTGTCAATCTTCCATAACGTTTTTCTGGATTTAGATTCTTATAATACGATATTCTGTTTATTTTTATCGTACGATATCATTCCACAGCACTATATTTTCATAACAATTACTCTAATGCAATAGAAGTAAAATTACCGCTAGATGGCGCTGTAAATAAGAATATAATAGGGCCAACTCTTTATAGTGTGGTTTAAGAAGGGTGAAAATAAATTATTATGTAATTAATAAACGCCGAAGTTGTAAAGATTTATAATATTTTAGCTTTTTATAATTAAGATATTGGAAAATTTTATCCCAGCGACAATGAAAATATTTAATTAGGGCTGCAACACTATTAAACTGTTATTTACAAATTTTCATTTGGTTAGACAAACAGAAAACGTTCACCTTTCATTTGCCATACAAGAAGTGAAAAGTGATGGTCATCATCGATCACCCCCACTCCTGTAAAATACGTACCTATTTATAGTAGATGTGTAATTTTGTTGAAATTATGATAAATAAACTATAACATACAGATAGGTGTAAGCGTGTAACGTTGTAAATATCCTGATATTATTATATAAATTATTGTATTTCTTAATAAAATTTAACGAACATTACATTTCTTTTTATTTACCCACATTGATTACAAACATATAGTTTGCGCTTTTACAAAGCAGTCGCATAGAGTGAATGGCGTATTCCATCTTCCAACGTGTGATACGTTTGAAGATGGAATACTCGAGCCATTTAAATAAAACACTTTAACAACTTTAAATAAATATTAGTTAAAGTTATTTGAAAATGACGGGTCACGGGGAGACTCGCCGTGACCACGGCTGCTGCAAAGCATCCGAAACGTCGAGCCGAAGGTAAAAATCATTTCCAAATAAGTTTAACTAATATATCGCGTTTTAAACCGTTAAAGTGTTTTATTTAAATGTGTACTACTCGCGTAAACTATAGACAGTATCTAATACTCCAGCCATATAATATCTAAAGATGATGCGTTGCCGACTTATTGGCTTTGGATTTCAGAAATGCACAGACTGAAACCGAAACTCACGGGGTTCACGTGATGGTAGGTTGAATACCCCAGCTATATAACGTATAAAATGTGCTGTCGACCGATTTTGGCTATAGATATTCAGATATCTAGAGACAAACCAATTGGTTTACAACAAACTACAAGGCCTTTTTATCTGTGGACGTTAGGTCGTGACAAGTCAGTTAATATCCAGATGACGTCACACATGTTTAAAAAAAATTGTAAAATGATTGGACATGGTGTTAATATTAACTTTACATTGCCGACATTATACCGATGAGTCCATTAAATAATAATAAAAATATTTAAAAAAAACTGTAGAAGCGATATTTTTTGTTAGTCTGTGGTATACTTAGTTTATCTATAAATTTTTAAAATTTGTCATCCAAATATTTATTTCAAATTTGAGTCAACTTACATTGTCATTATTAAAGTTTGATACAGTTTTTTATTTTGTTAAACTTATTTTTTATTTTTATCATGCAAAGAAATGTGGTTTGAAATTAAGCATATACGTAAGTACGTAATTATGCACCTGAAGTAAATAGAACTGCTCTGAATTTCGCACGCTTTCCTCTGATGTGAACCTGAGACTTCGCGTGCATAATACACTGCAAAGCAACACTAGTGATCTATACTAATGTTATAAAGCTGAAAAGTTGTGTTTACGCGCTAATATTAGGAACTACTGGTCCGAATTGAAAAATTACCTTTGTCTTGGAAGGCTGCGAAACCAAAAAATTAGAATAAAATAATGATTATTCTTTAAATGATCTAAACAAACATCCGCGACATATATGTCTGAATTTTTAAAGATTAATATATCTTTTATCAAGAATTGTAACCTTGCTCTGAAACACCTAGTCAACAAATACGTTGCGCAATAGATCTACATAAATATCGGACAAGTAATCGAACCTAAGACAGCCAACTACTAGGGTTAGAACATAAATCTATATTCAACAGATTCCTCAATTTTACAATGGAGGCACTTATACTATGTCTTCTGATGCTGAATGTATGTTTCGCTCTGGTGGATGATCAGCCATACTGCTCCTTGCGTTATAGACGGCTGTGCCAAGGAAAGGGACGCCATGTCGCCTGCCAGTTTCCTTTTGTAAGATCCTTTTACAAACACAATTTTCTTTACAGATGTTCCTTTCAAGATCGTCAGTTTACATTAGAACATTTAAATGAAATACTTTTAACACATTTAAATAAACAAACTTTAACGGTTTAAAACGCGAAATATATTAGTTAAACTTATTCAAAAAATATTTTAACTACGGCCCGTCTTTTCGAATACGTTTAAGTAGCCTTGGTAACGAGGAGACAATGTCGGGCCATAATTAAAACAATTGTTTAATCATTTTTAATATTTAGGTTTAAAGAGAATTTATTACCAGAAGAATATACATTCACTTAAGGTAACATATTGTAACTAATGAAAATATTTCACGTTTTAAACCGTTAAACTATACAATATATTATAGCAATAGTTATTGTACCTTTCAGCCCGGACCTAGCGAATCTTGTTCAAACTACACGAAGATAAAATTTACTAGCGACTTGAAAAGTTTTATCACTCACTTCATCAATAGGTACAGTGTTTATTTACTTTAAAGACAAAAGAGGACAGCAAGAAGTTCACTTGATGGAAGGTGAAATAACCCACAATATACCTAACATCTAATCAAGATGCGCTGGCGACGATCAGATTACACTTCACGGATCCCTTATCTGTGGTCGGTGGTTCGTGACCCGGAATGTCAATACTCGTCCCATCCATTTTAAATCCGGATACGAAGTTTTACAGGTGTCAAAGTGGGGGGGGGAAACATGTTGGACTTGGTGGGAATCAAACATACGACCTGTTTATTATTCAACCTTACGTGATACCATTAGAGAGCAATAAAACAAGATGGCAAATCAAAACTAGCTCATTCATTTATTTCCTCCTTTTCCTACAAAAGATTATTCAGACAGCACCTATTTCTTCCTATTTATTTAAACGCAAAATTAAATCTAGAAGATTGAAATCTACAGTGAGAAATAGGGGACATGGGAGAACACACTTTTGTGTCTATTTCACTCAAAAATTTTATTTATAAACAAATACTCGATCAGCCTTCTACTGATTTCTCAGGATTCGAACACTGGACCACACGCATTTAACGCAATGCTAGGCATAACATTTAACCGTTTAGCAGAGACGATCTATAAGAAACTACGAAGATATCTCACATGATTTTTCTCATAGTCAACGTGTTGTTAAGGCGTAGACAACGGATCGCTACTGGTAACGAGAGAGTCCGTGGTGGTGCACTGCTTCCGAAACCAGAAGTCACGATGTGGGTGGTGAGTATATCGATATGAACTTTACTTTATATTATGGTTTCTTTTTCTGTTAAAGTTCCGGAACCCATGAGATACTAATGTCAATATTTTGTTAGTTATTTCCAAGCTAAGAGTTATATGTAAAAGTAGACTCTGGCTTTGATTAGTTGAAATATTTATTGGTTTAAGCAAAACGCGAGGAGTACACATTTAAATAAAATACTTCAACGGTATAAAACACGTTATTACTTCAACTTATTTGGAAACTATTTTATCTACGGCCCGATATTTCGAATGCTCTGCAGCAGCCGTGGTCACGGGGACACTAAAGATGGAGGCTATCTCTGACGTCTAAGTAGAAACGGCTACGTCAGCGCCCTCTGTTCCGTCGAAGTCGGTATTTGGTGAAACTGGCTGGATTTGCAGAATTGGCCAACGGTGTCTTCTCGTTTGCTGGTATGCTGTTTTTGGAATCCAGAGTTTTTAACATGAGATACCAGATGTTTGATAACTTGAGGCAGTTATTCATCGTCGAAACGCCAGGCCGTAGTTATAATCCAAATTAGTTTAACTAATATATATCGCGTTTTGCACCTGTTAAAGTGTTTTATTTAGATTACAAGGGTTTAAATACCAAATGAGAAGGCCTACGACCAAAATGTTTTTGTTTTGTAATTTGTGATTAAATTAATTACATCTTATCCTAACATAATTTTATGTGTAACCTAAGTGTTATAAGAAATACTTTTTCTTTCTGCTTGTCCCAGGGTTGGGACCGCGAGCTGGCACATTTGGCACAGCGATTGGCAGACCAGTGTCGCTTTGTCCACGATGATTGTAGAGCCACAGGTAACACACACAAAAATACTTATTTATAATACAAAAATATTTCTTGTCTGTTTTTTTATGATAGATGAGGATAGACAAAATGATAGACATGGTGATGACATCACTTCATGGTAGTTGAAATACCTCGGCCTCTATTTTGTCTTTGGATATTCGGAAATCCTCAGCCTGAAATAGAAACGCGATTAAACTGCTGCCCGTGATTCATAATTTTGACCCGGAAGGAATTCCGGAATTCCTATCGTCCGTTGAATAACGGTTTTAAACGCGAAATGTTTTAGTTAAACTTTTCACCGTCAGCACAGTCTCCGCGTGAGCACGGCCGCTGTAAAACAATTTGTGAAAACGTTGCGCGTTTTAAACCGTTAAAGTGTGTATGTAATCCGTACTTTTTAGTCCGTTACCCATACGCCGGTCAAACGGTGGGTGAAGTGCGTTGGCGTCGTTCCAGTGATTCAGATGAGTTGAGTGCTCAGCGTGCGATCCGTCGCGTGTTCGACGCCTGGTGGGGGGAGAGAAGGCGGGTCCAGCCGAAGCAACTAATCGCACCATTCAGATTGACAGCCAAGTTTGTTTAGTTTTCATTGTAATATTATGTACCAATAAAATCTATACTAATATTATAAAGCTAAAGAGTTTGTTTGTTTGAACAAGCACATCTCAGGAACTGCTGGTTCGAATTGAAAAATATTTACGTTGGTTAGAGCATTTATCAAGGAAGGATTTAGGCTATAAAACATCACGTTGCGATGGAACCAATAGGATCGAAGTAACTGTGAGAAATGTGGAAAAGATGGAGGAATTTTATTAATCTACATTATATGCCTATCTCTTAAGATTAACTTGCAAGAATGACGCGATGCGGTTGACGTCATGGTTAATAGCTATATTATAATTTATAAAGATGAGAAGGAGGTTTGACTAATGCAACTAATGTTGATACCTACTCGAAATTCTAAGCGGACTAAGTCGCGGGCAAAGCTTGTATTTTATAAAGCTGCGTTTTGACCTGTTTGAGGCGATGGTTATTCTACATTTTAGAAGCTTAAGTGGCGAGTAGTACACATTTAAAGAAAACACTTTAACGGTTTTCAAATAAGTTTAACTAATATATCGCGTTTTAAACAAGTTTTAGTCAATTGGCGGTAACAATCAATTTTAGAGACCCGGTGGGTATGAAATCCGTGACCCGTTGATCATCAGCCAAACGTCGCCACCATTAGATATCTCTACTTATACCATCTTTTACTCAGAGGCAGCGTCTGGGGTCACTTCAGTCAACTGGCGGTGTGGACTCTTCGTGCCGTGGGCTGCGGTGCTGTCCGACATGGGGGCACACACACACGCTTGCTGCTCGTGTGTGACTTCTCACACACCAACATGCTGGGCGAGAGGACGATAAATCCCGGTCCGTTGGCGGCGTGTCCTGCGCATACGGCGCGAAAAATGCGCTCAGCTTATCCTCTCCTTTGTGCTCCGGTATTGACTTTGATTATTTTATCTGTTCTGCTTCGATGGCGAGGTCTGGGTTCGATCCACATCGGGCACTGTAAATTAAGCGACCAGGAAAATATTCATAGTGTCTGCTCCTAATAGGGGGAAACAGGAATTAAGCGTTTTCCACATCTACATCAACGTATTATTATCACCAGTTATTTAATATTTACGTTCAGAATATGGTAACAGAATATGGTAAAAGCTTACATCATTTTCTTTCGGTTTTTGGAGATACAAAGGCATGCAAACAAAATATAGACAGCGTTTAAAATTTTGCGATTGTTATAAATACAAAATATGTGTCCGTAGGTTACGTTTAAATAAAAACACTTTAACTGTTTAAAACGCGATGTTTATTATTGACGGGGACTAAAGAATTTGGTAGTTAAAATAATTTTCCAACAAGTTTAACTAATATATATCGCGTTTTAAACCGTTATAGTTTTGAAAAACAAGTACATATTAGTTCTTTATTGAGTGAATATTTTTGAATTATGTATCATGAAAACAAAAGATAAGAATTCTATAAAAGCAAAAAAGAAATGTGTAATGTACAAAAACCGTTTTAAACCAGGTTAGACAACAAAGCATTTCATCAGACACCGCTTATGAAGATACCAACAATGAGGAAATAAATTATGATGAGGTACCAAAGCCAGTAACTAAATACCAAGCACACAAGGAGTCGAGGAACTACAATAAGCCTGGATACGAAATGAGTAAGTAAATAGTGTCAGTAGCTCACGCGAGTAGTACACATTTAAATAAAACACTTCTACGGTTTAAAACGGAGAGAATCACCGTCACAACGGCTGCTACAAAGCATCCTACAGGTTGGGCCGTAGTCAAAGTAATTTTAACTACTATACGATGCGATTTAAACCGTTAAAGTGTTTTATTTTAATTAAATAAATTTTACGACACGGGCGGGACTTGAACATCCATAGCGTTCCGTGCTCAAACCAATTGAGGTACCGTGTCCTACACATCATAGGTGAGTTACTGTCAGCCTATTGATACGTGCAATGTAATTTCAACTTTAATACGTAGTTAATAAGGTTCAATTTATTCTCTTAGCTTATATAGATTTACATTAAAACAAACGCCGTCATGATCAATGACATGTGAAAATGTTTTGAAAAAATAGTACCTTTATAAACGCCAGCTTCATTAATGCTGAATATATTTCGCGTTTTAAACAGTATTTTTTTTAGCGACTGCAGTAAAAACAACGCGTTTCGTCGATGTATTGGAACAAGAATTGGACAGGCCACTCCAGACGAAAATGCAAGTTAGGATTTGGCCCACGAGGCCGCCACGCATTGAAGTGACTTTACGGTATTTTTTTTAATCATAGCGGAGGACAGACAAAGCATTGCGTTCACATGATGGTAGGTGAAATACCCCAGCTTATAGCAGCTAAACAAGATGCGCTGTCGGCCTATTTTGGCTTTGGGTATTCGCAAATTCATAGGCTGAATCCGACACTAAACTTCATGGCTTTTTTATCTGTGGACGGTGGTTCGTGACCCGAACGGAATTTTTATATTCCTACCACCCAATATTATTATAAGTATATTTTGTAGTAGGACGTAAGTATAGGCACGAGTTTTTTTTATATGGTAAATATTTTACAAAAGATTTCCAAATGCTGTCTATAGTTTACGCGAGTGGTACACATTTAAAACACTTTAACGGTTTAAAACGCGATATTTAGATATTAGTTAAACCTATTTGAAAATGATTTTTAACTTCGGTCTCCGTGACCACGGCTGCTGCAAAGCATCCGAAACGTCGGGCCGAAGTTAAAAATCATTTTCAAATAAGTTTCACTAATATATCGCGTTTTAAACCGTTAAAGTGTTTTATTTAAAATATTTCCATTCATTCCCCTAAATGTTTTTTATCGTCGTAATTTAGAAATAAATGGCTTTCGACGTTTTAGTCGAGAAACGATAAAACACCTGACGATGTTCTCCACTCGTGAAACAGCATAATACAACTTATGAAATAATATCGTTTATTCTTTTATTTATTAGTATTTCTTACCTCTCGCTCTTACTAGAAGATGCTTACCTAATATTTCCAGTTAATACAATGTAATATGGAGCATTACTTTGTATTATGTTCCAATCAGATATAAGGACGTGGAAGAAAAGATGGCGGATAAGATTCAGTATGTGTACAGATCTGGCAATCAAGATGTCGGAACAACTAAGGATTCTCGTCCACTGATTTACGATAGGATTCACAAGGTAGGCAACTCAGCTAAGATTAGAAATCGAATCTAATAACAACTGGTAAGTAGTAAATGTAAAGTTAGATTCTTTAATTATTATACCTACATGAATGAATGATTTTTGACTTTCGACTTTGACAATATACGATAGACTCACTGGTCTAAGCACACCAATGTATGGCTGATAAACACCGGGTCGTGAGTTTGGTCCCCACCGGGTTATGTTTTTAATCAATTTATAAATTTTTGGAAATATGTTAGACTTCGTAGTAGGTAATATCGAAATTTATTCCGGGTCACGGACCACCGTCCACAAATGGAAAACCTATGAAGTTTATTCGTTTAGTCGATTTCCAAATATCCTTCTATCAATTGAACTATTAATAATTATCTATGCTTATGTCATCCGCTATCATAAAATTTAAATTTTCTCCCCAGGAGCAGAGTTTACGACAGAAGTGGAAACAGACAAGATTCAGACCACAACGGTACGTAATTTACATTCAATTCAATTAACTGTTTGACTTCACTTTTATTCATTTTTTAAGGATCTTATTGGATGATAATATTGTTTTCCAGACCAGGGGCGAAGGCTCTGTTGGAAAAACCAGAAGAGAACGCTGTAAAACAGACGTCAAAAGTGAGAATAAGAAATATTTTTAATTTAAAAGCTCTCGTTTTGCTTTGTGTGTGATTTGTTCTTTTAACCTTGATATATCTCCAGCCTTCCCTGATGATAGACAAGGATGACGTAGACCAGCTGTTCCGCGATACCGGCTTCAAGATTACCAGAAGGAAGAATTGAGAATAAAAATTGTTCTAAATACGTGTTTGTCCGTTGTATTATTTATTATATAATTTATAGGCTATGTATATATAATAACCTATTTGAGCACTGTAGCCTATAAATTTCGTCCGCAACTTGTTTAGTGGTACAAAAGCGAAGTCCGTGCTATTTTCCAATATCCAAAACTCAAAATAGACTGACAGCACATCTTGTCTAGATGTTATATTATTTATATCTATCACCTACTATCAAGTGCGTGCATGTCTATCCTCAAAAATTGTTATTATATATTGTTTCTGTCTATACATATTATAATAATAATTATTTTTGTTATACCTATGTACTTTAATAGTGTAAAAGACAATCTATATTGACAGTTCCGCTGTTTCACGCTTCAGGATATAGGTATTTAGTATCTCAATTGCAAAGAAGGTCGTGGGTTCGATTGACACCGGGTCCTAGATGTTTTTATATCTAAAAATCTGGATATCAACTGGGTGGTAGGTATATATAGATAGTATATCGAAAAGCCGTCCGAGTCACGAACCACCGTCCACAGATGAGGAAGCCGCAAAGTTTAATGGCGTTTCGGTATCGACTTTCCGAATATCCAAGCCAAAAGAGATCGAACACGCATCTAGTTTAGATGCTATAAGCTGTGGTATTTCACCCACCATTACGAACCCCAGGCTTCATTCAAAATATAAGTATATTCTGTATTTTTTCTCTTTCTGACATACCTACTGTCAATAGTCAATACCTTGTATTCGTCACTGAATAATATTTCGTATCCCAAATTAATTTTACGAGAATTGACACCAAAATTTCGCGTGTCGCAATACCTATCAAATGGCTCATTCGTAATTGTTATGTGCTGTTGCTGTTCCAATTGTTCTAGATGTTTAAGATGTGCTTGTTGTATAGCTGTGTGCATTGCGATACTGTCTTTGTGCGGATTGGAGGGATGTTGTGAGGACTGCGAAGATGATGAATTCTACTAAGCATGCATATGCGTCGCACTTGGTTATGTACTGCATGCATCTTCATGCAATAACAAAGACAGCATAATGAAAACTAACAACTATCGTTAAAGAAAAAATAATGAGAGTTTTCCGTTATCAAACTATTATTTATTGTGCAAGGAGAGAAAATGAATAAGTCTAGAATTCGAAAAGTAGAGCTGTCTTAGTTGTATTTGTTTTGTGGTTTTAATTGTTAAACAAAAAGTTGTAAGTACATTCTAAAATTCTGTCCAATACTTCCGTGATTATCGATAGGATCAATATTATTGGATGGACATTAAATTTATCTTAACTTATATAAAACATTTAACTGTTTTTATTAAGTTAAAATTATAAATAATTTATCTGATATATTTCGCGTTTCAAACCAAGCATCTTAATTCTTTTCCTTGTAATTTATTACCTCATCAGCTAGCCTTTTCAAATTAAATTGATTTTTAATTAAGACACTACAAAATTAAGAAGAGTATTTGTCTAAACGACGTGTTAGTACTTAAAGAATAGTAGGTATAATTGTAGGACATTGTATTATTAAAAGTTCTCTGCATCATCAACGCCGCAAGTACAGCATTTGCTGCACTGACAGTCCAGCTCGACACCACAAAGATGGAGAGCATACGCGATACAAGTGAAACAAAATATACACCGTAGACTCCCGCAAAAATTGCAGCAGCACATCCATATTTAGTAACGAAAATAAGTAGTTCACTAAAACTTTACATATTTTTAAAAATGTCAATTGTCATTTATGAAAGGCATAGAGAATAACTTGTCTATGTTAGAACTAGAAAAAGAGGTTCTTTGTAAATGCAGAAAAAGGTTTTGAGAAATGTTTGTTTTTATCCCTTATCTTCGGAAAAAAATGAAAGTCTCTTTGGTATTGCATCTGACTAAATGTACAATATTTTAGTTCGTTATTTAACTAAGCGTTATTTTAAAAAAAGTGTGATATCTCGCGTCTACCAGTGGGGCATGGGGAGAACGCATTGTGTCCGTTTTTGATCGATTTCATTTACAGACAAGACGTGATCAGGCTTCTGTGTCCGACCGGCACAATATATCGTATCCCCATCACTCGAATGCAGGTCCGCTAGTGTTTAACGTAACTAAAGTAATTCTCAAATTATTACGTAATGTCCCCGTATCTATAACAGTTTACTTTAACGGATTAGTTATCGTTTCCGTTCTATATACTACAAAAGTTAATCAGACACAAAGATTAGACGTATAAAAATTTCCATGGAAAACAATAAGTAGTTATGACTCAAGTTTTCTGTTCCCTTTGGGGCTCGTAAGTCCAATGGTAGCAGTGTATAAATAATAAACGGGTCGTTAATTCGATTCCCATCAAATCAAAGTTATATCTTTTCGAATCATGTTAAACTGGAAGCTCTAGACATTGAATAGGTGGATGAAATATTAAAATTACGATACGAACCATCGACTACAGATAGTAAAGTTGTTAAGTTTAATCGCGTTTCGGCTTCAGTCTGTAAATCTCCCAATAAGCTACAACAGATCGACGGCACATCTTTAGTTATTTTGACATAACACATATGGTATTTCACCTTTTATCCTGGTAAACTCCCACCATAATATATATAGGCGGCTGAAGACAGAGGAACCTAACTGCAATTTTATGATTTGAATTATTTATATTTAAATGTTAAAATCTACAAGAAATTTGATAATATAATTACACAAATATTAGTACAAATTAATTTTTGCCTAAGTCAATTTTATTTTGATCCTAATTGAAAGTCATGTTTTTTGTTATTAGGCCACTTTGCTCCTAGCTGCCTTATAATTTCATACCCTGTTCTGTAGCAAACTATGACTAATATAGATGCTTATATTAAGCTGTTATTCAATTACTATTTTGATAAGCGCACGATATCTAAACGACACAATTAAATTGCCATTATTACTAAATGCATAGTAATTGGGTTATAATATAAGTTATAACCAAATAACCATTACCTCACCAGATTTTATAGAAACGGTTTCATAGTTAGATATGACTATCGTTGTAATCTTTGAGTAAATAATGATAAAAAGGACAAATCAATGATAAGATCGCCTACTTTTCATCAGTGCGAACCAAAATATAGTACAATGACAACCATAGATATTATCAAAGCACTATAATTCAATGGGGAAATAAGTGAAATTTTACAATCTGTGGAGAAATTCAATTTGGCTTGCGCACGCGCCGCTTTATAACAAATTAAAACCAGTGATTTGGGTGAACTAGAAATTAAGCAGGTGGTTTCATTACGATCTTCCTATTTTTGTGTGTTTTATTGTAATATAGTGCGGATGCCTGCTGACGATCATACAAGTAATAAATAAATTGAATTTAAATTAAAAACCCCATTCAGTCAATGATTGTGCGATTTGAAGATATAAAAGATCTATCTAGTTAATAAATTTGATCTAATTCTATTTCTTAAGAGACTTAATAAGTGAAAATGTGCTGTTGCTGCGGCTGCGGATGCTGCAAGGCGTGCTGTAAGATCCTACAGTGCATCCTTTGCGTAACGTGCATTGTACAACTGTTGAGAATGTGTGGCTTCGAAATTGACGACGACCAGTGCAATTGTGGAGGGGATGATTGATAAATTATGGGGGTGGAAGCCATACTTTGGAAAAAAATCCATTCTTAAAAGAAATTTTGTATTTATATGTATTACGTGACAAGTAGTATATAGTCAATTTTGTTTTTATATGCGGCCGCTAGATCCAGAGTAGCCTGACTGATTTTTCTTTATGACTTCATTCACTATTTATACTTCTATAGTCTAAAAATGTTTATCTACAAGAGCACAGTGATCAAAAATTGTTAACATAGTCCGTACACAAATAATAGAAATTTATTTGCCCCTAAGTAAATTGCGCATTTTAATGTCCTACTTATTGAAATCGTGTTTTTTTATTGGGCCTCTGTGGCTCTAGCAACCTTATATCTAATTTTCAATGCGGTCTGTCTAGACTTAGGTATACCTTTGTATGTAGTATGTAGCAAGTAGTTTATAGTATTATTGTAAAAGTATTATAATTCAATATTTTCTATGTGAAACAATGACAACATTGTAATATAGTTTTTTTGCGAAAATAAAAACTAATATTACATGTTGCTTTACATAAATAGTATTTTTTAATAAACTAGAACAGCATAGAATAAGCGCTACTTAAATATTTATTTGAATATTTCTGATATAGCAAGGTGTATTTCTTAAAAAAACAATGGATAAACGAGAATAGCTTAATGCGAATAATTTATTCTTAGTAAATCCTAACAGTATTGAGTATATTAAAGTAGCATGTAAAAATAAAAGATTTCCTCAAAGTAGCGTTTCAATTCCTCCACTTTATTGACTGAAACAAAAAACAAAACTACGATTAAAACTGGATTTATTCCTCTTATAAATTATATGAAAGTTATCATCAAAGATAAAGTTAATTCGTTTGCTTTATCTTTCAATCTAAAAACTACAATAAAAAAATAAAAAAACATGTACAGATTCACCCCCTCTCCCCCATGGCTCCCTTTCACGGAAGATCATTTTTAAGAGCTTAGACCCATCACACTGCTACAATAAGGATCGGTGGGCTGTAACAACTACCACGAATAAGTTGTAATTCAGAATTAAACTCAACGTGTATTCTAGAAAAAAATGGAAGAAATCCAAAAACCAAACTAACATTTTTCGACCCAGAATTCGAACGAGGGAATCATTGCAACAAAAAAGTATACACCGTAAAATAAAGCACACGTTTTGTGTAGTAATCACGAAGCGATTAGTAAAATGAAAGCATAATGTCCCTTGCCCCAAATGGGGACAAGAACTACAATAATAGTGTACTCACCGGGTCTCGCAATGTATTCTCAGCGAGGATGTACTCTTCTGATTGTGGACTGAGCGTCATTTTGTAATTTGTGAGGGCAGAGCGATCTTTTTGTTTCATATGGGATTCTATGACCACACTGTGTATCTACATTAAAAAAAAAAACAAATTTAAACGGCGCTATAAAAATGAGATTGAGGATGGCAGGTAACCAACGGGTCATGAGTTCGACTTTCACCGGGTCAAAGTTTTCGAGTTCGTATGGATTTCTGAATACCAAGATAAAAAAGGTCGATAGCGCACCTTGTTTAGATGTTATATGACCGAGTATTTCACCTACCATCAAGGAAAATGGGTGGCAGGCATATCGAAATTCCATCTAAGTCCAACTATCGTCTACAGATAAAAAACACGTGCGTTAATCGCGTTTCGGTATCAGTCTGTGGATTTCCAAATATCCAAAGCCAATATCGGTCGACCGCGCATCTTGAACTGGTATATGGCTATTTCACCTACCTTTAAGTGAACTCTTTGTTTATCTGTCCTCGTCAATCGTACAAAGGAGATTCTCTTCCGCCTATAGACCATAAGTATGTTAATGCCAAACACTTTATTTACAGACAAGTAGGTTATCAGACGTCTATGTTTTGCCCGACTAAAACTATTTCTTGCTCCCCCAGCTTCTGGTTTCACCAGCTCCTTGTTCTCCAGTTTCTAGAACCCGGCACCTCTCCAATTGGTGTTTAATCCAATCCTAAACTAATTAGCTATTTACAATTACCTTATACTTGTGCGCCAATTTCAGTCTTTTATCGCTGTTCTGTATCTTATTGATGAAGTTCGTCATCAAATACTTAGGTGCTTGTAATTCAGATAACTTCGACAGCAGCGCCTCTATCGGAATGTGAAATGACGCAATGGTTCGACCCAGCCAGTCCTGATAACAAATGGTCGAGAGAAAGAAAACGGTTTTTCATAGGTTTTAATGGTAACAATGTATGGCTGATAATCAACGGGGTGTATTTTCAATAAATATATAATCAGAACATGTTGTATTTCGTCTGAAAATCTGGATATTAAATGAGTGATGGGAATGTCAATATTTTGTCCGGGTCACGAACCACGTCAACAGATGAAAAAGCCATCAAGTTTGATAACATTTCAGCGTAATAGTTAATTAGCCTCAAGTGAAACGCCATTTTGTGTTGCCTCTATCATATAAAATATAGCCGTAAGATTTATTTGAATTAAATATAACTGAAAAAAAAAAAATGATTACAATCCCTTCACTAATTACTCGAAAGGAACTTCGTTCCATCAGGATTTCTCTTGACACCTTTAATTTTAATAAAAAATAATTAAAGAATTTTCCTTTTAATTACTCATCGGTTGCCTAGAGGAGATCGCTTTAGTTATAAGGCCGCCTATTGCACTTTATAGCTTATAAGAATAATTTCCCATTATAAATATAGTAGAAATATGTTAGTATATCCTTGTGTGTTTGTGTGTGTTGCAATAAAGAATGAAATATATAAATAATATTACCTTTGTAGTGAATAAAGATTCAACGACGTCCCATTTTCCGGAATTCGCGTGGACATTCAACACGACCCAATCATACTGCAGCGGAGTGATCTAGAAAAAAAAGTTACATAAAAACCCATGCGGGGCTTTGCTGTTCAGCGATCGTTAGTGGGAAATTGGAAACGTCGAGAACCATTTCTTAGCGTAAAAACTCAAGTAGCTTTACAAAATGGACGCCAAAAAATATTTTACTTTATAGAAGGCACGGGAGGTATTGGCTTCGATTCGCGGGTGGGCTGTAATGTTTGAGTCGCATGGTGGAAAGTACAAGAATCAGCTAAGCTAAGTAATAATTATTTCAATCGAGACTCTTATATTTACTTACTATAACGTTAGATTCATCTAATCATAATTGTAATAGTTTTAAACGCAAAATAATTTATTTTATTGCAACCCCAGGTTATGAAAAGCAACATACGTGGTGGAACACAGACATTTATCTTCAATTTAAAGACTACAATAAAAAAACATAACATGTAACTACAAACGATACATACTAACAAATTAGTTTTTTACGTATACTGTGCGTGTAGAATAGTTATTTTAACATAAAAGTGTATTTTTGCAAACCTCATCTTTATAAAATATAGTTGTTACCTACGACGTCGATCGCGTCACGTCGTTCTTGCACGTTAATTTTAAAAGATAGACGTTTAGTGTCACGGACATATTTTTTTAACATTTAAAGAACAATCATTCTTTCAAACATATTCTTTGGATATCTTGAACCGTTTTCGCAACGCACGCATCGTAACCCCTCAAACATAAATAATTGTCCCAATTTTTTTCACATTTCCCACTGTATCTTCGCTTGTATTAGTCCCAATGTTTTATAGCCTTTCTCGATAAATACTCTAACCAACACAAAAAGAATTGTTCAATTCAAACGCGTGGTTCCTGAGATTAGCGCGTTCAAACAAACAAACTCTTCAGCCTAATATATGTAAGGTTTTGAAGGATATTAACTATGAAAAACTACATTACCTGTTGCCTCTGACATAATGTCAACGGGGACATCGTTTTACCCGCCCCTTCGTGCCAATGCGATCTGCAAGTGTATGCCAAACAGTCCAGCGCTGACCTATTGTTCAATTCGGTCTTGTTCGCACATGTCTGCCATTCTAGAAAACATGGTTTATGTGAAAAATCTTAACTTTTCTACAATATTATACTAAATTTCAACAATAATTCGAATTTATCATTTTCAAAGTGGCTTAAAAATTTTACTTTAAGAATAGACTCGCTATGTAAACGTTCAGAACATTTAAGGTCGATTTTAAATTTTAAAAACGGCACGGACAGGACTCGAACCAGCATCCACAGCGTTCTATGCTGCTCTAACCCATTGAGCTACTGTGTCTCACGTTCAGAAAGAAAATTGAAGTACTAATATTATATAAGGCTGGGTAAATTACATACATAATATTAAATACAGTATTATTATTTTACTTAAATATCGTTATAATATATTTTCAATAAAAAATAGGACAAATCAAACCAAAATGATTTTTATTAAAGATAAAACAAATGTGACAGCCTCTAACCATTCTTCACCATCATTGCTTTTATCTAGTTCTTTAACAAGTTAATACCTAACTTAACCGCGAGATGGCGTTATTAGAAATAACTCGTATAGATTTAAACCCGGCATCTTTCAAAATGGCAGCGTACAAAACTGTGCAAGGGAGATATACATCTTACCTAACAATTTTATATAATCTGATAGCATCTTAGTACTGTGAGAATCTATTCCTGGTTGATTGAAATTATTGGATAACAGGTTATTCAGCTTCCTTTGTAGGCCGTCCACGCTGTTCCCTTGAGTTTTTACTATATGTTGGTACTGGTACATCTAGAATAAATGGAACTTTGAAATATACACTATATATTAATATTTGCAATAGCTTCGGTTTTTTACTTATGTGGAATACACAATGATTAAGTTAGTAAGCTGTTTTATTATCTTAAGAAATTAATGAGTATAAGAGTATAAAAAATAAAAGAGTATTTTATACAATTCCTTAGACAAATGTTTATAATATTAAGAAGTAAGTTAATGCTTTTCAATACTTACTGCTGCTTCAGGGCTCCGGCCTAGCATTCTAAAATAGTAAGAAAATAAAATTATTATTACTATACTTATAATATTCGAAACATTAATATGTGGCTCGTTGGTCTAGGGGTATGATTCTCGCTTTGGGTGCGAGAGGTCCCGGGTTCAAATCCCGGACGAGCCCGATGTTCGTTTTTTATCTTTTTTTTTTTATAGAACTTAATTATTTAATATATACTTATCAAAACAAACCATCTTTTAGTAGTTTTTTTTTCTACTCTAATTTGTATATAACTTTTCAAAGAATATAAATTCTTACTTACGTAAGTAAATCTGTAAGTTCTGTGATTTTTCTTTCGCTTTGCAAATAGCTTATATAATGATTCAGTGCTACAGTCCTTGAAGACAAGAGTTCATGCACTAATTTCTTGTTTAACGTCTGTATGAGGAATAATACTACCTGCAACGATAATAAAGATTGTAGTTAATATAAAAGATATATAAATTAATTTGTTTTTTTTACATTTTTCTTCTCATATTATTTTTAACAAAATGAAGAATGAATTGACATATGATCTTTGGACACATTAAAAACTGAAAATCATACTTTTTTGGAGGACAGACATCTGGACAAGATCTTCTATAAACCTATTTTAGTTTTGGATATTCAGTAATCTGCAAATACTTATGTCACTTTATAATTTAAAAATCGAAAATAAATTGAATTTTTTTTTGACTTGGGCAGGACTTGAACCGGCATCGTCAGCTTTCCGTGCTGTTGCTCTCAGAGCAATCCTCTGCCGGGGTCGAAAATTTTTTCAATTTATTTTCGATTTTAAATTATATGGTATAATTATATATCATGTGAAAAATATTAATGTTTTCAAACTTATGCCACTTGCCAACACTCCTTTAACAGTCAAAACTGTAACACTGCTGTTCATATTACTAGATCACTTAGGTGCTTACAGCTAGAATAGCGTTGCCATCTCCAATAGCAAGAGCTCCATCAAGCAATTCAGTCTTACGCTTTAAGCTTCTATGTATGTGAATAAAGCAGGAACGGCCCAATATTAACCTCTTTAATGTGGCTGTTGTGGTATCTAATTGGACTGGTATTTTTTCTTTTAGGTCCTTACCAGACTGAGCTAATACAACTGAAAATGAAAAAAGGAAATAGTAGTGTAGTTGTAGGTTACACACGTAGAACATAATATGTTCTACGTGTGTGTTCTATTTATATATTATATAAATAGAACACTTCTATCAGTTAAATGTGTTAATATTAGTAAAATTATTTTTAATGTATTATAACTACAACTTGAACTACTTACTACGGCTGCTGCCAAGCATCCAAAATGTTGGGTTGTAGTTAAAATGTTGTAAATATGATAACAATTAAATTTCACATTCTAAATTATTATAAGTATTGTATTTATAAGACAGCATAGCTATTTTAATTTTCAACTTGTGGATTGTATTCCACCAATCATTACAGTAAGTGGATAGAAGAGTCTAACTAAATTATTGTAATAATTATTGTTATTAGCTTAAGTTATTCCTGCCAACATTTACTTACTCAAATCTAGGACTTTTGGTGATATAAGACTATTTAAAGGTATTAAGTTGCGCTTTGAGCTATTAACGATTGTAGAACTGAATGGTGTATCTTCGGTCTGTCCAGAATAGGGTTTCTGACTAATTGCGAGTATTTCTTGAGGCGACAGCTGTAATATTTAATATTTTCCGTTAATTCATTAATTTAAAACTGTCTAGTAATATAGCATATCCTAGTATGTAGGATCCAACAATTTTGGGGTCTTCCCTTCGTGGGACGTAGGTTTTTATATATTAACTGGTTGTTTTGATTTACTGATAAAGACCAAACAAATACGTTGAGAGAATCAGGCGAAATAAATACTTACAACATCGTCATCGAAACTAAACGCTTTTTGTTTCGTTTCACTTGTATTCCAATAATCATCGTCGTCCATATTACTTCTTACACCATATGTGAACTATATCTTTAGGACAAGACCTAAAAATTGTTATATTATCATTAAAATTGTTCCGTGCGTGTTTTCTTTATATTAGAATTATATCTAGTTCTTACACACTTGCCTGTTTATTCAAAACAAACATTCTCAATAGTCAATACGTCAATGTCAAGTTTTAAAAAATCCCTATTGACGAAAAAGGTTGCAATAAAAAGTATAGATTCGCAATATATATTTTTTTAAAGGCCATTTTTGAAATAAAGGTTTATGTTTACACTTATTTAAATATTTATAAAACTTAGCATTACTGTCGCAGTTCTCATACGTCACCAACACAAATGAGTTTACACAACACAAATATTAATTGCAAAATGTTTCGAGCATATTTATATGTTTACTAAGTATGTTTTTTCAGCAGTTTTATTTAGCAACAAAAATGTTAAGATAACCACTGCTATATATATTTATATTTGTTAATAAAGTTTTAAAATAATCATAAAAGTCAAACATAGACAATAAATTCAGTTGTAAAGAGGACTACCTCCTTTATACCTATTTTGTCTAGTGCAGTGATAACAACTACTGCGCGAAGAGAATTTTTCGCGCTTTAATAAGTTTTAGTGGATTCGTGAAAGAAAAATAATAAACGTTGATAAAAATGACACTTGTAATATCTCCTATGCTTGTGCGACAGTATTCTACAGTAATTATAGGTAAATTATACTATAATTATTACATACATAATATACTATAAATAACATTTTTTTAATTAAACAAGAATATTATAATTAGTTTAAATGTTTCATAACTTAGTTAAGTTAATTAACAATAACAACATTAAAAATGGATTTTTTGTTTCCCATTATGAGGCGTCGAGCAAACATATTCGCTTTACTGATCCATTTTATTAACAAGTAAGTAATCAGATTGTTGCCTCAGGATTAGATCCTAGTACTATGCTTAACGCAATGCTAGCTAATATTTTACCATTGCACCACGGAGACAAACATAAGATGCGTCTGTTCGTTGAGACTTATATCATACTATCTGTGTCAGCGACTTCGTCTGCGTAGAATAGTTGTTTTGGACACCCAAATGTGTTTTGTCAAACCTACTCCTTATCTTTATGGATTTAAGCTGTTACTCACGACATCGGTTGCGTCCCGTCGTTCTTGCCCATTAATCTTAAAAAATAGACAAATAGTGTCGCGGACAAATTTGTTTTAGCATCTTGAGCCGTTTTTCGCAGCGTACGCATTGGAAACCCTCTAAAATTAATACTTTTCCCCGTTTTTTCCACACTTACCTACCGCTGTTTCTTCGCCCCTATTAGTCACACCGCAATGTGTTATAGCCTTTCTCGATAAATGCTCTAACCAAAATTATTTTTTAATTCAAACCAGTATTTATATATTTCCATGTAATTAGACCATTCAAGCATACAAACAAACTCTTCAGCTTTATATATTAGTATAGATTTAAATATATCACCGTTGTTTATGCGTAAATTGCAAAATCTAAATAATTTTAACTCTTATCACACTCTTTTTCACAACTTATCGTTTATTTCAATGTCAAAGAGATTTCCTTTCGTTAATCTTACTCGCAGGTGCTAATTCTGAACCAAGTGCTTAAAATCTCAAACGTAATGATCACGATAATAGAAAAAGTTAAAAGCCAAAAATTAATGGCTAAAAGAAGCTACGTATTATGGTACTTTAAAGTATACAACATCGCTTTTATGGCCTGACGTTTCTCGCTGTAAATACGGCTGCTGCTAAGCATCCGAAACTTCGGGCCCTAGTTAAAATATATAGTACATGAGTCAATAATATATTTCGTATTTTAAACCGTTTAAGCTGGTTTATTTAGATGTGTAATACTCCCAGAAACTACAAACAATAGGTACGTTAAGCGTCTTTGTTTAAAGTTATCATTTAACGTCATTCAATCTTTACTTGGTTTTATTCTTAAGTGGGAAATGATCACGATAATAAAAAAAATCTTTACAGTGAATTTGAGTGTTTTGACAACTGGCATGAGTTTGGGCTGGTCATCCCCTATGGTGGTGAAACTAAGCAATTCCACTACAACCCCCCTCTCCAGGGTTATTACTGACGCTGAGGGATCCTGGATAGTGTCTTTGGGATATCTCTGCAGTATTTTTAGTAAGTACATTATGTTTATCTATATATACAGGTTGTCCCAAGAAGTAGTGTCAAGCGGTGGTCCCAAGATAGAACACCCCTTGGAGCATCGGAAACAACCCCATGTATGTTCTGCGATTATTTATAGTTTTCGAGTTACGAATTTTTTTCTAAAATTTTGAGAATTTTTGACCTAAACAACTTAAATGCTAATTTAAAAAAGGTGATAAGACTTTTTCTAGATTTTTTTTTCACAGCTCAACAAGCATGAGTTGTGCATTTATAATTAAAACATTTGTCTTCGCAACCTTAACGGAAATTAAAAATATGATGGTTCAAAGTCCATCCATATTGTGAAGACTGTATTGTGTAAAAAGCAACGTAAAAAAAAAACAAATTTAAACGTAATACGTATTAGTAATTACGTTTTTGAAAGAGCGTTGAAAAAGTAGTTGGTTTAAACACAGTTTACTTCTTAATAATATACTTTAAAAATCCTTCATTACTCCAACTGCAAAAAAATGTTTAATCTAATTAAAACAGTTTATTTCTTTCATATAAAACGTAAAATATATAGGTACAAATAACTTATTTTAAACTACGACACAACATATTATGTGTGACGATAATTATATGTTTTAATTCAATATGTAATTCTTGCGTAAATTACCGACAGTTTTAATATATATTGTAAATATTTTTCTATAATTATTACTTCTGACCGATTGTTATTTCCGCGGAATACTTATAAGACAAGAATCATAATTTTGAAACTTTAATATTTAAATAAAACACTTTAACGGTTTAAAACACGATATATTAGTTATTTGAAAATGATTTTCAACTTCGTCCAGACGTTTCGGAATTTTTGCAGCAGCCGTGATTACGGGGAGACAAACATAGAGTATGTTTAATGAAAGTGTTTTAAACCGTTGAAGTGTTTTATTTAAATGTGTACTACTCCCGTAGACAGTACTTTAATATTTTTCACAAGTTGGCACTAGATACATTATAAAAAATACGTCTCGGACAGGACTTGAATCGACATTCATAGCATTCCGTGCTGTTGTTCTAAGTAGGGCTCGGTAGCTGAATTAGCTCGATTTATAAAGAATGATAATTTCCAGAATCTTATGATGGTAACCAAGTTTTCTGGTTAACCAGCAGTTGTAATGGAAAACCCTTCTTCCAGTACTCAACGCCTTGGGGAGTTCTTCCTTAGATGGAATAGGCAGGAAGTACAGCGTCATAGCATCGGCTGTTCCAAAATTGTCCATGGCAGTCCTACTTATTTTCGCTACGGAAGTCTGGATGGTGATCTTGGCTCGTTGCGTCATGACGATCACCGATAGCTTTCTATTCTGTGTTGTTCCTGCGTATGCTGCAGAGATTGCAAGTGTAAGTATCCTTATGTCCTACTATGTCATCCATGTGACATTTGCGTCAAATATATCTACTAATATCATACAGTTGAAGATTTTTTTAAACGCTCTACGCGCTATTAGGAACTACTGATTTGATTCGAAAAAATCTTTCTCTTTATGTTGGACCATATGTCGAACTAGGCTTTAATCAGGTCTCCCTTGACCACGGCTGCTGCAAAGCATCTCGAGTTAAAATAAGTTTAAATAAAACATTTTAACGGTTTAAAACGCGTTATATTAGTTAAACTTATTTGAACCCGACGTTTCGGATGCTTTGCAGCAGCCGCGGTCACGGGGAGACAACTAATATATAGCTTTTTAAACCGTTAAAGTGTTTTATTTAAATGTGTACTACTTGCGTAAACTACAGGATTTAATTATAGTCTTCGTCACTTGTCCAATTACCGTATTCTGTCAACGGCATTACTCAATGCTAGAAATATTTTATTTCTCAATTGAAAAGTTCTACTTATACATTAAATAATTCGTGTTGACTTAAGGTGATCGCACATTTGTGCAGCGTACGTGCCGAATGCGACCCGGCTTAGAATTCGTTGGAATTTGCGAGTGTTTGAATTTAACTTCATTGCATAAAATGCGATGCATTTTTTCACGCAAAGCACAGGGCGAACACATTTCTGTAACCGTTCACTGATTTGTATACAAACGCGACCAGCCTTGTGGTTGTGTGCCCTGTCGACCGAAAACAATGTTTTAATTTCTGAGATTCGACCTAGATCTCTCTTCACTACCCCTAGGAGCACGTATGATCAATAAATATGGTAAGTTCGGCGCGAGCGACCACCGCGTTCACAAATGTACAACTTTCATCCTATTTTATATTTTATGTATTTATAAGACACACAATATAATGAACAAATAAAACAAAATCAAATCGCCCTCCAATAAAAATATTATGCTGTATTGACATTAAATTAAATAAATTAAATGTGAAATTAAATAAAAAATCTAATACGGTGGACATATTTCTGTGTCCTCATTCTGTGTCTGTGGCCGCAAGAATTTCGGACTAGAATTAAGTAGGAATATTGAATATTCCGCCCGGGTCTCAAAGCAACGTCCACAGACGTAAAATCGCGTTTCGGTTGCAGTCTGATTTCGCCTAGTTTTTCTCCTATCCTATCGTATAAAAAATCTTTTAACTGGACATTACTAGGCGTTAAGGCTTGAAAATTTTAATCTTGATTTCTGGGTTTCAGAAATCGCAACGCGGTTCCCTTGGTACCTTTCTTCAACTGTTCTCGTCGCTTGGAATCGTTATAACGCTGTCTGTCGGCCCGTTTGTGTCTTATCACACATACAGCTACGTATTCGTGGCTGTTATAGCAGCGGCTACTTTGCCACTTTTCTTCTTGCCAGAAAGTCCTTACTTCCAGTATGCTAAAGGTAAGTTTGTACGCCATTATAAAAAAAAAAAATATATTTTCGGTGTGACATTTTCCAAATTAATTTAAAAAATATATATGATGAAATATAAATATAATAGAAGTAAGCCAATATCAGGCAATGTAATCGGGACCAATATTAACGGGCATTGGTGTAATAGGTAGTAGATAACGCATCGCTAATAATCATAGAGTCGTGGATTCGATCCCCAACGACACCATAATGTTTCTAAGTCTAGATATTAATTGGGCGGTAGTCATATCTTCCCCCACAGATGAATAAGTCCTTGAAGTTTAATAGTGTTTCCGGTTTCAGTCTGTGGATTTCCGATTATCCCGAGAAAAAATAGTTGGACTTCGCATCTTTTTAAGACGTCAGGCTGTATACTTAACATACACTTCAAGTGAATCGTCTTAACAGGATTTGAACCACCGACTGTCACGCTTAGCTAGAAACGTTTAACCTTTGAAGACATTCATAGAATTTGGTATCTCTAATACAAATACATGATACAAACCGCTTGAGCAAACATAACAGATTATCTGCAACAATGATAAAAGGCAATAAACATTTGACTTACAGTGTAGCTTGATAGCTTATCTTTTAATCTAGTAGCAAGGAAGCAACAATGATAGTAATCTACAAGAATTTACATTCCAAGAAATATCATTAGTATTTGATGCTTAGTCGTTGCTATGAACCATTTTAGTCAAGTAGAGTACGCACTTTTTTATAAGGGAGGTAGACAGACAAGCATTTCATTTGATGGTAGGGCTCATCCCCCCATCCATATAACATAGATGGGGGGGGGTGAGCTGTCAAACTATTTTGACTTTGGATATACGGAAATACTCAAACTCAAAACGCGATCCGTTTCACTCAATCGGTTGTATTTACAGGCAAGTAGTCAGATCAGACTTCTGTGCCCTGCCCGACCGAAAGAATTTACTGCTTCCCTGGGATTCGAACCCAGGACCTCTCGCGCTTAACACAATGCTAGGCAACACGTTTAACCATTTAGCTACAGAGGCGCTCTTCTCGCTTATTACTTACTTTCCATTACACACAGCTTATAGAGCAAATGTCTACCTAATTTCTTCCAGGTAAAACTAATGAGGCCTTCAGAACGTTAACCAGGATCCGCGGTTCTGAAGCCCAAGCGACTCTCGAGTTGGAGGAATACGAAAAATCCATAGAGAGCCGGATAAAAGTGGACAAAATCGTCCTCTTGAAGGACAGGATATTTTTAAAATCTCTCGTTTTGAGCATTATGTTGTACGGTGGGTCTCAAATCGTCGGTTACAACGCGGTCACATTCTATCTACAAACCATTTTGATCTCTACCAGGACGGAAGTTATGCCGGAAATTGCGTCTGTAATCATAGGACTGATACAGGTCGTCGCAAGTCTGTCTGTCACTTTTCTGACGGCCATGTTTAAGAGAAAGCAGATCTTGGTTACGTCACTGCTCGGCATGTGTTTGGGAATGGTAAGATTTATTTAATAGCTGATATGGCAAACGTTGCGACAGATAGTTAGAACGATTAGTAATGTGAAAATATAGAAAAAATTAATAAAACACTTTTAACGGTTCCTAATTAACTCATATTAGCATACGAACAAAAAAGAGGGCACCTCGTGTCAGTTCTCCTGGGTCCCAGTTTCTTGATATACCAACTACGACGAAACAGATGGCGCTAGCGTAGTAGATTTGACTTTGACCTAGTGTCACATCTCTTCTAGGGTATGTTCAGCATCCCCGTGACAACGGCTGTTGCAAAGCATCCTAAACGTCGGGCCGCAGTTAAAATATATTAAAAATAAGTAACTAATATACTTGGCGTTATAAACCGTTAAAAGTTTTCATCACTACATCAAAAACTACTATTAAATAAAGTTTTCATAGTATGTATGATTAATGACAAATAAATAATCTGTTTTCTAGAGTTCTTGTTTTAAACCGTTAATATTTCTTAGGTGGGTTTGGGGTCATTCTTCCAAGTCTGTGCTCCTGACTTCGATGTCCACGGCTTCATGAATTACTTACCCATAATTTCTTTGATCGTCGTCGTGTTCTCCTACAGCGCTGGTAAGCAATAGTCTTTTTATTACATAGGAAGAACGCAGAGTATAACTATAAAATACTTTGTATTGTATTTGCAGATTATTACAAATATTGTAATCTACTTATCTATACATAATGTTAGTGTCTTTCTTTATGAAGCTGGCACTCAAAGTATAACGTATTTTTTAATAAAGAGGGGGAATACAATATTACATGATGTCATAACGTATATACAATTGAAAATATAGAACCTCATTTATTAAAAATAAAATATGTGTAACTTATTAAAACGTAAGGGGATAAGGGGTAAATGAAAATACAATTCTTGTACACTTTGATGTTTTGTTGTTTAATTTCTTGTACAGAATGATCCAGTCGACTGGAACAATGTTAATACCATCCAATTTTACAAATGATGGGCTCGTTGGTGTAATCGTAGCATTGTAGCAATGATCAACGGGTCGTGACTTCGATCCCCACTGAGAAATTTTGAAACATATTGGTCATCTGGAAATCAGCACTTTATAAGAGTCACCACCGGGAATCGCTGTTGAAAACTGAAAAAAAAACCATAAGCTTATCGACGTTTTTTGTTTCAGTAGATTTAAACATAGCCAAAATAGGTCGACAGGGCAACTGATTTAAATGTTATGTAACTGGGATATTTCACCTACCATCAAGCCAACCCCATGTCTTCCTCTATCACAGAAATTCATGTTCTACCCCAATTCAATTCTTCGTAGGACACATCTAGGGGGAAGAAAGGTATAACCGAATACTAATTTTAAAATCTTTACAGGAATCGGTTCCCTCATATGGCCGATATGCGCTGAACTATTCGAGGGTCCTGGTCGGGCGTTCGGCACATCGATAGGCCTCGCCATCTGCCAGTTTACCATATTCGTGACTACCAAGTACTTCACTTCGATGACCACAGCACTCGGTCCTGCGTCCACCTATTGGTTCTTCAGTATTATGTGTGTCATTATTGGAACACTCATTGCGATATTTTTGCCCGAGACAAAGGATAGGACGTTTAGGGAAATACAGACGGCGTTGGGGAAAGATGATAGAGATAAAATTGTATTAGGTTAAGGAGTTAATATTAATCACTACTAATAAAACTCTACTATCAGAGTTTTGTCTAGAGCTTGTCTAGAGTCTATTAATGTCCCATGGCTGGGAAAATGTCACCTCTCGTAAAGAGAGTTAGTATAAGAGCTTAGATCAATTACGCTCTTCTGTGAATGATCGGAGGGTTTTATAAATTTAGATTTTAAAAATCTAAGACATGGGCAGGACTTAAACCTGGCATCAACAGCGCTCCGTGCTGTTGCTCTAACCAATTGAATGCCAGTTCAAGTGCTACTTATGTAGCAGAATTTTTTAAGTCTAAAATCAATTTTTAAATTATACAAAACTATCGTGTGCAACATGTAAAAAATAAGACAAAATTTCAAACGGCTTTATGCCCGCCACTATCTTAGTCATAACAAAGTGCTTCCTGAGAGGTCCTAATACTTCCAATTACGGGGTCAATTACTAACGTTAAGACACAGATATTTATTAATTTATTTAATATTTATTGATATATGCCCAACCCATGCACTACGGCAAGAATGTGATTCTACAAAAAAATCTACTTTCTATGTATAGTTTTCGATTTTACAGCATTCCTCATTCTATTAAATAAAACCATGTAACAGTTTAAAACGCGACATATATTTAAACCGTAGTCACAGCTGCAAAGCATCCCAAAACGTCGGGCCATAGTTAAAATAATTTTCAAATAAGTCTAAGTAATATATATCGCTTTTTAAACCGTTAAACTACTTTATTTAAATGTGTACTTGTCGCGATTACAGACAGTATTGCTTATTCTATTAGCAGAATTGCTTCCGAGTGTCTTGAATGACATTTTTTACAGGCGGTGAAGGGTTTTTTGTTATTATTGTTTCTTAATGGCTGTCGCGTGCGCATATTTCGATACGATGTTTTTAGTTTATTAAGTTGTATTTGAAGTTACAAGTGACTCAACACTTGTGCCCCCTAAGTGGTCACAGGACATCGACATTATTATGTCATTGACATTTGGCAATGTTTACACAAGTGTATATATTACATAAAACACATTATGCACACTTGAGCAAGAAATATACTTGATTTTATGTAAAATATTTATTGATACATCAACGGACCAGATACGTATAATTTATTTACATATTACATATAATTAATAGATATATAACCCGAATACCTATGTACACAGTATTTGAAAACTGTAACATTTTTCACATGCGTAAGTAAGTATTTATTCGAAAATTAGAAATCGAAAAAATGAAAAAAAATTAAATTTTTTTCGACCCGCCAGGACTAGAACCGGCATCGACAGCGTGCCGTGCTGTTGACTCGGTAACTCAATTAGTAGAACAATTTGTACACAGTATTTTCAATTTAATATTAATGTTTAACTATAGCGGCGTTGTACACTGTTTTGGAATGGGGATAATTCGTAAGCGCGAAGGGTTAACAAATAAATTAATACAATATTTTCACACTTAGGTATTTTTATTACATATTATTTTAGTATTGATAATAATAATAATAAAAACGCTTTATTGTACAAACATAGACATAAGGACATGGATACTTAGAATTATATGTACAAAATAAAACATGTTTGTGCAAAGGCGGCCTTATCTATGGCGATTTCTTCCAGGCAACCTTTGCATGTAGAAATAAGAAATAAAAAGATAATTTTAGTAAAGATAATTTAAACTGGAAATTAACACTAAATTACTAAAGCTAAACATACTTTATAAATAAAATAACACACTTAACATCTAGAGAAGCATATGAAGATCCTTAATGTGATTAATTCTAAAGCCAGTGAGGCCAAGGCTAAACACCAAGAAAGTATTGCTTCACTCTGACCTTAAATATAGTGTGACTCTGTGAGAGTCTGACTGTGAGTGGTAGCTCATTCCATAGGCGGATAATCTAGTGAATGATAGTTAAGGAAATTCTTGGATTTTCCTTTTAATTCTAAAAAATAAAAATTTGAAGTGGACATTTGAAAATGAAGGACGTTCAGGTCAGTTCTGCGAATAAAACCCGTTTTTTTTACAGAAGGCCGCTAGTTTCGAGTTCACTCGATGGAAGGTGAAATATTCTGCTGTGTAAGATGCTTTACAGTAGGCAAGATTTGGGGGGACTTTCTTAACCTTTGGATCGTAAATTCAATTATTTAAAATGGTTCGCGTTTTAAACCGTTTAAAAATCAATCTAAAAAACCGACACGTTCGCGCACTTGATAATTGCACCTTTATATCCAATGTGGTTAGAGTACATTGACCTTGAATAATATACTGATAAGATTCTTATATATAATCCTTGTTTGCCCATGAATAAGCTAAAGGGGATTGTGCACGAACTAAGCTAATATATAATACAGAATGTCCCAGACATGAAAAGAGGGGTAAATATAGAAGTGAAATTCCGTATTGCCCGCTGTGGGGCAAACACATTTCTGTGTCCGCGTCGCCGATCGTTTTTATTTACAGGCAAGTAGCTGATCAGAACGTCGTGCTCTGCCCGACCGCACAATCCGTTTTCCTCGTGATTCCAAACTGGGACCTCCCGCGCTACGCTATGCTAAGCAACACGTTAAACTTATTAGCTACAGAGGCGATTAAATTTAGTCATAATCCATTTGTGAAGCGCCTAGCGATAACCAAGAGGTGTCTAGAGTTTGAATTCTAGGGAAACGCGCCTGTAGTTCACATATCCTTCACCCCACATAAGATAGCGCTAGCGCAAAACATATTTGTAAACTTATTAACGATTTATATCGACTGCGGCCCGTCGTTTCGAATGGTTTATAGCAGTCGTGGTATATTTCAATGTAATTTGCGTTTTATACCGTTAAAAGTTTTTTATTTATTACGTACTCATCGCTTATAGCTTAGACAGGATTAGAATCGGTGTGTTAATAATAGAGTAGCTTTGATTTTTGCTACAGACTGTATACCTATTATGTACATGCACAATATATATGTATGATATGAGATGGATATATTCAGAGTTTAAGGCGAATTATTATTAACGAGACAAAGAAAAGTGGAGAATGAATGATTGCTATCTATAAAATTACCATTGTAGAACTGATAAGACGAAAATTTGTATTCTACACTTGCGAACATACAAATTAAAACATATATAATAAGTATAAAAGACAAATTATTTTTTAATTGTATAAATATATACGACTTTTTATGGCAGAGAAGGACAGACAACTTGTAGTTCACCAGCTTCAGCTGAAAGCTGAAAGCTGCAGCTAGAAAGTTCATCCATTCATTCCCCACATTACCCGCTATTTCTTCGCTCCTATTAGTCATATCGCGAAGTGTTAAGGCCTTTCACGATAAATGATCAAACCAACACAAAAATAATTTTTCAATTCGAACCAGTAGTTCCTGAGATAAGCGCGTATAAACAAACAAAATCTTCAGCTTTATTATTAGTATAAATAAGATGCATTACATTTGAAATATAATTTAATAATAATCAAATAACACGTTCCTTATTTGAAATTGATAGATAATATATAAAACACTTGTCATGTACCAAATTATTCTTACGTTTTACGTATTGTAATTGACTTTTTTACGATAGTTAACACGTCTCCTATCAATTTCGATGGATATAACATGGTTGCATATCGTAAAACAATTTACAGCGACACGTTTTTGTTGCACGAAGCGCTTAAACATTACAACTTAATGTATCTAAATTATTTCTATTGTATAAACGTACCACAGATTGGTAATCATTATACAGCCTTACACTATCTCGTGTGATAACTGAGAATATTATAACAGTGTTGTTTGTTTTGCCGATTTGTGTGTCGTTCCATAGGTGCATAGTTTCAAAGGATAGTGTTGGTATTAAAATGGTGCACCTCACAGCGAGTCTTCGTCAATACATCATAATTATTTCTGGTAAGTCCGCTTATATTATTAATTTATAGTTAGGATTGTAAAGGTCTCCGAAGTAAACGAATAGCATAATTCTCACTATAATAGACTTGATGTTTGTAATATACAATTTACAATAATACCTGGGGAAGCACAATTAGAAATAGTTAAGTTGTGTCCATTTTTAGCCGGAGACTGTTAACCTATTTTGGCTTTGGATATTCGGAAATCCACAGACTGAAACCGAAGCGAAAGGAATATTCCGGATCACGGAATACAAATATAAATGACCTGGAGTTAACTACTATATCGACACGACTATTATTTTAGTAATTAAGGTTAGCTTTAATGTTACTACTTATACGTAGTAACAAAACACTTAACGGTTTAAAACGCGAAATGTATTAGTTAACTTACTTTTAATTTATTTAAATCTATGACCCGACTTATCGGATGCATTGCGCCATCTGTGGTTTTGCCGCTATTAGGATCTAGTGGTATGGAAAAAAAGAGAGACATCGTGAGTCTGTAAAGTAACCCAGCTAGTTTCTCCACATACTAACTTCGATAAAACAATGCAAATATGAAAATCATGATATTGATGATAAACTTTTATCTAACCCTAGATCTCAAAACAGATCTAACTTGTCAACTAGCAATCAACATTTTAACCTAAAAAGATAACCAGCGAACACAAGTGGGTTCTTAATTTGGAAATAACATACGTCGAGATTCGAACATTCAAGTCGGGGCTTTGTCACACTTTTGTTCATGGCAATGAACATAGTAGTCATTATACGACAGAGAGATTGTTAAAATATGAACTATACGGGACTTTTGATATTAGGAACACCCTCCATCTTCTGTCCCTCCGTGAATACGGCAGCTACGCATCCGAAACGTTGGGTTGCAGTTAAAATAAATAAGTTACCTAATACCTGACCACTTCTGTAGCTAAATGGTTAAACGCATTGCGTTAAGCGCGAGATATCCTGGGCTCGAATCCCTGGAAACATTAAATTGATTCCGTCGGGCAGGGCACAGAAGTCTGACCTTGAACTTGCCTGTTAATAAAACCGATCCGTGAAACGGACACAGATATGTGTTCGCCCGGTGCCCTACGAGGGTAAACGGGATTTCGCTACTACACTACTACCTAATTTATTTCTGGTTTTAAACCGTTAAAAGTGATTTATTTAAATGTTTACTACTCAACCACGTAGTAGAACGGCCCTAGAAGGCGTACAGTACAATATTGAAGACTAACTTTTCTTATAGTGAATCTAACCGGCATCGGTATGGGTATGACATTCTCCTGGACATCACCAATGCTGGTGAAACTGATGAACGAAGACACCCAGTTCTCCAAACGCGTCACAGAAGAGGAAGCGTCGTGGCTAGCATCTCTTGGATTCCTGTGTTCTATAATTTGTGAGTAGCGAGTGTGAGTGAGTAGAGTAGAGTAGTGGCTTTTTGGTCTAAGAGTAGCATTGTATTCGTCAACGGGTCGTGGATTCGATCCGCACCGGGTCCAACATGATTTTCATTTTTCTATAACATCTTTGTCCGGAAATGCGTGGTAGGAATATTGAAATTCAGTCCGGGTCACGAATCAGATGCAATGCCGTGAAGATGAATCGCGTTTCGGCTTCAGTCTATAGATTTCCAAATATGTAAATAGAAATAAGGTCAACAGCGTATCCTGTTGGGATAGCTGGGGTATTTCCAGTCTCCACTATGAAATAAAAATCTCACGCATCTACAATTTTACGCGTTGTTTTTATATCAATTTCTTATGAAAGAGACAATTGGTACTTGTCAGGAGTTAAGTGTAAATATAAACAATACAATACTATTAAAAAAGATAATTTATCGATGTTTATTTTAACTAGTAAACATACAGTACAGAGTGATACTTTTCAACGCCCTGTAAGAATAGTATAAAAAATCGTAAATAAAGCAATTTAATTAAATTTGATCGTAAATAAAATAGTACATTTAAATAAGTATAAAATATGTTAATAGATAATCACTGTCTTCGATACAAAGATGTATTCCCTATTTTATTTCTAGTTAATTAGATTTGTATTTCATACCTACTTTAATTCTAAACTAACCAGAGTTTTCATCGCATCGACATGTTCCACCTGTATATACAGGGAAGATGTCTAGCTATACATACTTCTAAATTTATATCTCTTCTATTTATATGCATTACGTAATCGAGGATATTTTATTTATTGTTATTTTGTTTTCCTTTTCTTTATACAAAGGTTGCCTGGAAGAAATCGCCATAGGCGATAAGGCCGCCTTTGTACTAACTTTTTTATGTAAATAATTATTTTAGTTTTCCTATATCTGTATTTTATTTGTTTGTGCAATAAAGTGTTTTATTTATTTTATTTATTTTTATTATAGATGTGGACAGACAAACCACATAATACCTTCAATTCTCAATTCTGGCTTAGGGCGTGAAATCCACAGGCTGACATCGAAACGCGAAAAAGACACAGATTTCTAATCATTTAGATTCAATGGGAATCAAACCCATGACTAGTTGATTGTAAGTCAAGCAATTTCATCTTGCTCTATTGCGTTTTTGTACTAACACTAAAACACGTGTGAATTTAAATCAATATAATAATAATAAATAATCATTATAACTCATTTATATGCAAAAATGTAATGTCCACGAACAACATTGAGCGCAGTACAATAAAAAACCAGTATCGCAATACAATCCATAAGTACTGGTAACATCCTAAGATTTATTTATTAACACTTTATTGCACAATAGATAAAAATAATAAACGAAACTTATACTAAACATATGAAGTGAGGGGCCTTATCGCTAACAGGCGATCTCTTCCAGACTGGGTTGTCTGATCGGATGAAACAAGAAAAAGTTTATTTAAAACGAGATGTGCAAAGTGGGCTAAACAAAATATATAATGACTAAAGGGTTACTAAATAATTAAATTAAAAAGGAATACATATAATACGATTGAAGTAAGATTTATGTAACTTGATAATTGAAGTAATTATGAAGTTACATAAATTGATGAGTGCAACAGACACAGAAATGTCAAAATTAAGGCTGCTAGAGGCAAAGTGGCTGAATATCAAAAAACATGAAAGATGCGAATTTTAATGAAACATTTTAACGGTTTAAAACGCGATATATTAGTTAACCTTATTAAAATTATTTTCAAATAAGTTTAACTAATATATCGCGTTTTAAACAGTTAAAGTGTTTATTTTTAAATTGAGTTTGTACTATTATTTGTGTAACAATTTTCGGTCACTGTGCTTTTGTAGATTAACATTTTTAGACTATGAAAATATATTTATGCCAAGTCATAAAATTGCAGTTTAGCTACTCTGGCCCTAGCAATACATTGAACAGATAAAAAAGTATACAACATAATTGAAACCGGAAAGTGTGAAATAATAAAAAAACGATAATTGCATCGCTGTTTTACATAATTGAAGAATACGTTTCTCTTATCATTAACTTTATTTCCACCTTTTTGCTAACTTAGGAATGTTATTTGAAGCCATACATGAATTAAAAGTCAGCTAAATTGCTCGTTTTTACCATCCTTCGCCTAAACACATCCTTTATATTTGTTAACTAGCTTCGTCAGCGACTCCGTCCGCGTAGAATAGTTATTTAAGCTGTTACGTTTAACCATTTAAGTGCAGGTCCTAGGGAGGTCATTGTCTTATTTGAGTCCACGTTGTGTTTCCTATCCTCTTTAGTACTGTAAGTTATGTATTTTCAGGTCTTCCAGGGTTTTACTGGCTTGTAGGCTTACTGGGGAGGAAAAAGATGATGCTGTATTTAAGTTTAGCGAGGGCATGCGTTAACATGTTGTACATATTTGCAAGTGAGATCTGGACATTATTTATTGTGAGAGCGGCAACTGGTGCTTTGGAGATCGGCATTCTTACCAACTTGCCCGCTTATAATGCTGAGATAGCCAGTGTAAGTGTTTGGTTTTCGATAGATATTGGAATATGAGTTAAAATATGAAATATGTTACTCAATTTATTTTTACTGCGACCTGATTTTGAATACAGACGCGTGGACACTAAGGCTAAATTAAACTCATCAAACTGGCTTCGGTTATTTTGGTATTTTGGTTTGTATTATTTTTAGTAGTATATAAATTAACTAATTTTACGTATAGTTCGCATGTCAATCTGTGATATTCCCATACTAATATTATTAAAAAAAGGTTTTATTTTAAAACGAACCGTGCGTAAAAAGTAATTTTAAAATTTTTATGAATCAAATTTTCGTTTATTCAAAAAAACGACGAAACGGCTGGGATTCAAACTGGCATAAATCAACACAGCTTTCCGTGTTGCTGCTCTAACCAATTATAACATGTGATATAAAAAATTTTCATGCATAAATAGCACATAACATACTAGTTCATAAAATGACATTGACAATTGACTTATCCACATATGTTCTGTGGCATGTGGCAGATTATTAATGATATTTTTATGTTTTGTTATATAATTATTTTACAATATTTAATGAATTTAATGTATATTTTTTATAGAAACAAATCCGTGGAGCCTTAGGCACGATGGGACAGTTATCAACCGCCATAGGAATGTTAATAATGCTGTCAGTAGGACCATACGCGTCATATCAAATGGTGAATATTGTTTACCAGTGCGTGGTAACCATTGGATTGATACCGCTGTTCTTTATTCCAGAGAGCCCGTTTTGTATGCTAAGGAAAGGTTTGTACATTACCTGATTTACTTTTTCATGACAGAGGACAGAAAAGCATGGTGAACTTGATGTAGGTAAAATATCTTAACCATTTAACATCTAGACAAAATACACTGCCAACCTGTTTGACTTTCATACATTCAGGAATCCACAGATTAAAAACCGAAATACGGATGTACAATTCATAGTTTTTTTTTAATCTGTGGACATTTGATTGGGAAATTTTGACATTCCTATCCCCCATTTTATGAGGAAATTTCCTAGACGATCTAACATGTGTTCGAAAATTATAAAATACATTTCGAATTGTTGATTATTATCAGACAACCATTGCTACCACTGGACAAACGAGCCCGTGTATTTATATCTTTTAATAATCATTTTGCGACTCTTATAAATACTTAGGTAAATGACTTAAAGTCAAGTTAGAAAGAAGTAAATGATTATATAGATGACACCGATAAAAGGTTGGATGAATAGTCTGTACATCAGCTGACTATTCCACCCATTTCCCCATTTCCTCCTTGCAGAGGACTTTAATTTTCTGTGCCATAAAAAATGCAATCATGTCTGTCTTCTTTAGGTAGAACAGACGAAGCGCTGAAAATCCTGACCTATCTTCGAGGTTCAGAGCTCACAGCGCAAGAGGAAATGAAACAAATGACTGCGGTGTACGATCAGAAAGTTGACAAGCGGATCCTGTTCAAAGACATCGTATTCCTAAAGACGCTTGGCATCGTTACCATCCTCAGCACCGGTTATCAAATGATCGGCTACTGTTCCGTGACATTATACCTTCAGACCATTCTAGAGGTCACTGGAACTAGTATCTCTTCAGAGGTCGTGTCTGTGATTTTTGGCGTGATGCAGATATTTGCGTGCTTCGTGACTACTCTCTTGAGTGACAGGGCTGGTAGGAAGCCAATTTTGGTATCTACTCTTGCTGGCATGGCTGTTGGAATGGTAAATCATGTAAAAAAATCCATACGTAAAAGTATTTTTATCATTTTTTATTGCTCTAAATAACAAAAAAAAATATTTTTTCAATTCGAACCAGTAGTTCCTTAGTAGAAAATAAGCGCATTCAAAAAAACAAGCTTTATATATTAGTATAGATTACTCTATATATAAATATCTTTCGTATTATGCCAAACCAATAGAATCTGGTTTTTCAAGAATAACCAAGTATAGTGATTTAAGATAGCTATATAAAATTCAAATCCCATTCATAAGAGGATATATGAGGCTTTTAAACTAGATCTAACCACGCGTTACCGTCTATGTATAAGCGCCGAAGGTCTACATTAGGTTCCCTTGCAGATTGGGCTCGGCACTTTCTTCTTCATCAAGGATTCTGGAAGTGAAATTGAAGGCTTCTTGAACTATATGCCGTTAATTTCCTTAGTCATTATCGTCTTGTGTTTTAATGCTGGTAAGTATTAATGCGTTTTGGCGTAAGTCTTAAGAGGTGTTAAATTAATCAATAAACACAATCACAGCTAACTAACATTTATAATTTAACATTAACTCATTATCTGAAATAATCAAATTTGACATTTAGATAAAAAAATTCTTCGTGTACATTTCAATGGCTTACTTCTGTATAATTTATTATTTCTTTGTCTTTATGTATCTAATGGGAAAGCTAATATCTACTTAAATCTAGGTCTATACAGATAAATGTCAAGAAGATAATTATAAATAACACTTAATCGCTTTTCGGGTTTTCGACATTCTTGCTACGGGATTTCCTAAGAAAGAACTTTCTTATAACAAAATCTTTAGATCGGACTTAATATAAGAGCGCTAGAGGCAAAGTAGCCTAACTGCGATTTTATGATTTGAGTTATTTATATTTTCATAATGTAAAAGTGTTAATCTACAAGAGCACAGTGACAAAAAAATATTTGAAAATTATGTTTTTAACCCCCTCAATATGGGTATCAAATAAAACGACTACACGACGTAGGTCTAGTAAAACATGATGATTATGTCAAAATTTAATTTTTTGTAGTTTTTAGTGCACAAAAAATAAAACCATTTCACTTAAAAGTTTTTTACTTACCGATTTTTATTTTTTATTAGGTCAGTCTGCCTCTAGCAGCTTCTAGAATTAACACACTTAATAGTTTTAGTATAGATAAAGAATGTATTTAATTTTTCAGGAATGGGAAGCCTAAGCATAGTCCTGTCTGCAGAACTGTTTGACAACCCAACAAGATCCATCGGAATTTGCGTAACACTTAGTATGACAATGTTATTCGGTTTCTTAAACCTGAAATATTTCCCAATGATGACGACGGCTCTTGGTTCCGCGACGGTATTCTGGTCGTTCGCCGTTATTTGCGTGTTACTTCTGTTGTTTATATCCTTTTGCGTCCCGGAGACGAAACGGAAGACATTTTTGGAGATTCAAAAAGCGCTGGGGCGGAAAAATCTTGGTTAATAAAAGTCTACCTGGAAAACTTTAATGTTATTGTATGATTAAAAAATCGATTTAGATTGAAAAAACATTGCGCGAGAAGTGCATCTATCAATGGGTTGAGGAAGTTCCACGATTATTAAACAATGGACAGTGGGTTCGATCCCCACCATGTCTACTTTGTTTCTGTTCAGTTTATAATTACTCTGAAACTTTGCTGGAATATCGAGATTCCGTCCGGGCCACAAACCAGAGTCCACAGATGAAAAATAGGACGATAGCGCATGTTATAATGCTGGGGTCTCATCCATCAAGTTAACATCATGTTTGTCTGTCCTAGGAGGACAAAAGTATATGATATATAATAATGTAATCATTGTTTTTTTAAAATATCGTTAGTTTATTTTTAATATGTTCTTTACAAAGACAATTAAAGAAGAAAGGTTTTCTGGCATTTGCCTGACAGCATATTATTTATTGACAGATATAATAAGTAATAACAAAGAAGAAAGAATTGCATAATATGATTTACAAGTCATGAAAATAAACGAATAAAATGGTATTGAAGGGCGTAAGACAATTGTTAAAATGTTATAAAAACTTTATGAGACACGAGAGAAGTATGCAAAATTGTTGCGGGTATGTTATTTTGTATCGTCTGTAATGCGAGAAGTATATTTTAAATAAAACAGTCCTAACGGTTAAAATTACAAATTAATCAACTCTAAACTATGATGCGACGTTTTGAATGTTGTGGATGGTCTTTTGTAGTGAGTTAAGTAATATAATTCCCGTTTAAAACGGTTAAGTGTTTTATGTTTTTGTTGTAGTCAATTTTCAGAATACACACGAGAATGTTATATATTCGATACTTAGTGAGCAAGCACACTCAACACACACACTTAACATTTTTACATATTAAAACTAGACTTATGACTAAATAAAAAAACATACTGTCTATAGTTTACGCGAGTAGTACACATTTAAATAAAACGCTTTAACGGTTTAAAACGCGATATATTAGTAACCCCCGTGACCACGGCTGCTGCAAAGCATCCGAAACGTCGGGCCGAAGTTAAAAACCATTTTCAAATAAGTTTAACTAATATATCGCGTTTTAAACCGTTAAAGTGTTTTATTTAAATGAAAAAAAAACATGTTTAATAAAAAACACCATAATCTTAACAATACAACAATATTAAGTGTTGATAGAATAGGATCTTAGCTAATATTGGGTCCAGTTGAACCTAGAACTGATTTACAGTGAGTGTAAGTTTCCTCCCTTAGATCGTCTCCCAAACACCTGATATGCTTCAAGAACTGGAGTGGTGATATGGTGATGGAAATAATTAACAGTGCCTTGAGTTTAAAGTGCTCGCTCATGGACACACATGGAAAGAAACTGGTACTTTATTTTATGATTATGAGAATTATCACCATCGTACAACATTTCAGAAGACAGAGTACTAAGTAACGAAGTATTAGAATATTAATTGGTACTTAACATTTTAACATTAAGTTGCTTAATATGTTTGAGATGACCAGCTTATATAGATTATATTAAAAAAAGGCAATTCAAAGTTGCAATCACTTAGTTTAGAACTTATTTCGGAAGAAGAAATCTTCGGTTGATACGGACGGAATTTCGATATTCCACCCATTTAATATCCAGATTTCCAGACGAAGTCCAATGTGTTTCACAAATGATTGGAAACATATTGGACCCGACGGAGATCGGACCCGTGACCCGTTGTTTATTAGCTTTTATTATTTATACATTGCTAACATGACACCAATGAATGCTTTAACGCATTCAATAGCCAATTTTACGTTCTCGTTTAGGATTTGTTAGACAAATGCAAGATAATGATACTACAAGAAGTGAATGAACCAGTATTAAATATGGCTGTGTCGAAGGCAGCTACTTTACTTGGAGCTGATGCTGTCAATATTGTCGATCGTTTGGTTTGGAACCATGATTATAATGGCAGGTACAAAAATTGGTGATTGTTGGTTTATGGGCCAAAATACTTTTTTATGCCTAAAAACCAGTCCCTGGAATTAACATTACATTTAATGCGAGTGGGTTACAAAATTGTGACAATAGTATAATTATTTTAAAATTTAACATTATTATCTAATACAAAACACATGATTTGAACTGAAATAATTGTTATTAATTGAAAATTTACAGTAACAAAGTTGCCATTTTTAGTAACGCAGCCGTTTTTCATACTAAATATCTATGTCCCTGAGCATGTGTGCCAAACTATACGGAACAATTTCTCAAAATATTTCCTAGGTGGCGGTTAATTATAGATGGTATAATAAAAATGCAAGGTTTGGACGTTATTAGAATGGCATTAGAAACGTTTTAAATTGAAGATTTAGTAAAATAAAAAATTAATGTATCTGTGTCCCCAAAGAGTAACAATATCGTAGCTACCTTGCGTTACTGTATGAAAAAAGACTTTAAAATGATTGGATTAAGGTTACTTGCACATTATTTGGTTCGATTTGTAGTAACTCGTTTAACAAACGACAGCAACAGCGCTTGGGCAGTACTCTCGCCGTGCTGGTCGCGTCCCGGTCCGTGAAGGAGGTGCGTGTATCTATTGTCTGTCTGCTGAGTTACCGCTGTTAATTTTACGTCCTGACGATATTTCACGTTATTATTGTTTTATTACGCATTTAGGTATGTATTGCAACCGTGAGTGTAAAAATATCTGGATTTTATTATTTGATTTGGAAATTATTTACAATTTAGTCAAATATTTACAACTGCGTAACTGCTACACTGCGTTACAAAAAAAAGTAACGCAGTAGTTAGATAGATAACGTAGTTGTATTTTTGTTACTTATAAACAGTATACGTTATTAAATCCGATATAGCTATAGGAAAATTGTATCTTTTTTTCTCAGAAAGAAGTTTCTGTCCTAAATGGCGCTGACAAACGCAGAAAAACAACGTCGCTATAGATAAAAATTGAAACAAGACCCGGTAAAAAATGCTGAAGCTGGATTATGAGAATTTCGTACCATATCTGCAAATAATTCTAATAATCCAGCCTCTATCTGGGCACACTTACATCCAATAATTAGTGACATACAACATAACAATCCTAACATAACTACAATTCATTTTTTCTCCGATGGACCAGCTACTCAGTATCGACAGAAGCAAAATTTTTATTTCATTAGTCACAGAATATTCACTGAGTAAAAGATCATACGCGTTACATGGAATTTCTTTGAAGCTGGGCATGGCAAAGGGGCTGCTGATGGTGTTGGCGGCTATCTCAAACGCATTGCAGATAAAAAAGTTGCTGTTAGTTCAAATATTTCTAATGCAGAAGATTTTTTTGACACCCTAAAAGACTTGAGCAAGGTCCGTTTTTACTTGGTGACACTGACTGACAGTGATATTCATAACGTTGAAAAAACACTACCTGAAAGTCTAGTGCCACTTCAGGGTACGATGCAATACATCAGGTTTTTACTCACACTTTGGGTGAACTTCGCTAAAGAGACCTTAGTTGTTTTTGCAAGAGGGGTTTTTGTTAGTGCATGAATCCAAAAACATATCAGCCTGCATACAAACATATCCCATCATTGACACACGTAAAGAAGACGTTCCATTTGATGAATCGGATAATGATATAGTCCTTGATGACATTACTAATATTGTTGCCGTACCTTTAAGGTACGTATTACAAGATTTATTAGAAGTTTATTATTCGTCTTCTAGCTCTGACGAGAAGCCCTTGTCAAGCTTGTGCCAAGTGTCAACATCTAACGTACAGGAACACGCACGTGAAATACAGCAATTTAAAAAAAATGCAAAATGTTCATCCTACGAAGATATATGAAGGTGTCCATGTTTTAGTAAAAGTTACTTATGTTAAGGAAAAATAATATACTTTCCTTGGTGTTGTTAAAAGTAAAGTTGATGAAGAAGGGGACGTTAAAATTATGTTTTACAAGACAATTGACGACACTGGCAAAAGATTCAAAGCAGTAGATACCGATATATCTTACGAACCATACGAAAACATTGTAGAAATTGTCCCTAACCCCAAACTTGTCGTGAAAGGTAAAAGATTATACTTCAATTATGACAAGCCAAAAAATTTCTGAAGAGAGACTGAAGATATAGTGCCTCGTTAGTTTATACAGTTGATTTTCTCATCAAGGTATATTAATTCTTAACAAATATTGACGTAGGCAAACGTTTAATGTTACTTGAGGTACTTAATTTTATGTCGAGTCATGAACAGTTAAAATTGTTTTGTTATAAAGATCTCTATTAAAACTACAAAGTATAGTATATAAAAAATACTACTGTGTTACGAAGATTAATACTGCGTTACTTTTGTGTCCCTCTTGTTTTTATTGTATCTTTAATTATACAAAGGACTCTTATTGTCAAAAATGTCTTAAATTTATACGTACGTACTATTTATGACAAGAACAATACTATGTTGTCAATTGGAATTAATTTTAAGTTTATTTTTGTAATTTATGGAAAAGTTTAAGTTTTAATATTTAACATAGGTAACGCAGTGTATCTAATTAAACATGAATATTCGATGAAACTGATTATTTCTGTGATTTTGCTTTATAGGTGATTTATATAATCACTACAGTTTAAAACTGGCGTATTATTAAGTCTCAATGACCGATTTATTAAATAATAACCTCATCTGTAAAATAGTTACGCAGTTGTTTAATTTCTCGACAACTTGATGTATTATATGCTATAAATATGATTAAATCATTTAAACCATCGCTGCTGAGGTAGGTGTGTTATAAATAGAACTATAACGTATCTATTTCAGCATTTAAAAAAAGGAAATTAAGTATTTCAATTTTGAAAAAAAAATCTGAATTGTGTTCTCGGATTAGGCACTTAAAAGTATTTTGGCCCTTATAAGTACTTACTATAGATAAATAAATAAGTCAATACTGCGAAACTCGCGCCCTCTCACGTGTATAAAATACAACTACTATAGATATTCAGAACTAAAATATTTATTAAAACGACAACAAATGTTTTATTAAACTCCCGTGACGGGACTCGAATCTATGTCCTATTCACAGCGTTCCGTGCTGCAATTGCATAACAGGTGGGACCCGATATCCAATACTAACAGACCCAGCAAGGTTGTTTGCAAGATTAATATAATTTTGTTGGTACAACTCTAACAATAAATTGGTAATGTATTAAATTTGATTACCATAAAAACAGGTCTTGCCAGTTAATCTTAGAACATACTCTTACTGTCACGTTTATTTAAAGACTAAACAATCTTTTATAAATAATTTTGGTTTTTTAAGCCGTATACGAATATTTTGTCGTTTAGTCTTTGGACCTAAGAAATCAAATGAACATTAATATCCCGACTTATTCAGATGCCTAGTGCACAACTTACAGACGCGCGCTCAATTGTAAGAATGTCCTCTGTTTTTCTGAAAATATTTTCTCTGTTGCAGAGTATTCTCATACATGGCGGACGCGATTTTCGTAGCAACATCGACGCATACCTGCCTCCAACGGTTCGCTGAACAGTCTTTGGTGCCTGTCATGTGCATGACGTCCAGGACTCATGCCAGCTTGCAGGCGATGGCCACTATCATGACACTTATAGTAGGATTTTTTTATGACAAGCATCTGGTTCACTTGATAATGGGTGATTCGGCTTTGGATATTCGGAAATCCACAGACCGAAGCCGAGACGCGATTAGACTTCACGGCTTTTTCATCTGTGGACGGTGGTACGTAGATCTGGAAGGAATTTCGAGAGGAAATCGAGCGTGTTCTAAAAAAGTATGAATCGATTAAAAACAACCTTTGAAGTTTGCGCACAAACACTATGATCGGAGAATTTTATAAATGAGATTAGATATAGCTTTATTTTGTATTGCAGGAAGAATTCGGTACAGTGAGAAGATTGAATATAGCATATTTCGGTTCGCCGCACCCCGTTTTGAATTCTTACTTACTGCTATGCCCGATGCTTGGAGCTAATATTCGTTTCAAATGCTGTTGTTCGGTAAGTTAAGTATGGTATGCAGGTTACGCATTACACGTTTGAATAAAACTCTTTAAACGGTTTAAAACGCGATATATATTAGCCATATAAGCGATGACCATTGTCTGTAGAAATATTAAAAGGTTTGATTCACCTTTGCTCCGTTCGAACGTGACAGATTTAGAATTGGTTTCGGAAAATTCTCACGTACCGTTAAATACACAGTATGATATTTTTGACCGACTTCAAAAAGGTAGGTTTTCAATTCGATTCGTTTTTTGTTGGAAAGCAGATGTTGCCAAATTGGTCCCATTGTGTTCTGGTAGGTACCGATTCAGCCATTTTTCTAATGATGTGTGTAATTTGATACTGTAATAAAGTAAAGTACCACTTGTCACCGGCTTACGTAATTTATGCTTTTATACTATTATAATATAACGCTGAAGATTTTGTTTGTTTGAACGCACTAACGTCAGAAACTACCTACTGGTTCTTATTTAAAAAAATCTTTTGTGTTGGTAATCATTCAAAGAGGAGCCATTCTTTCATAAATATTTTGTAGGATGAATCAAGATATGATTCGTTATCGCAGCGTACGGATTGGAAAACCTATAAGATAAAATTTTCACCATTTTTTACGTATTAGTCGTATATCGTGTTATCCTATAGCCTTCCTCGATAAATGCTTTAACCAACACAAAAATCATTTTTCATATCGAACCAGTAGTTCCTGAGATTAGCGCATTCAAACATACAAACAAACTCTTCAGCTGTATGATACTATACATATATTTATATGTATGTATCGATTACAGATCATTACGATACCTTAAATCTTTCTTATGTTCTTTTTTATTTCAGAAACAACCAGTAAGTCCTCTTTTATACAAAGCAGGTGAATCGCTATGTACTGAAGCTCAAACCAGCCTCCAGGCGTGCGCAGATAAAGACAAAGCCTTACAAAGAGCGGATGTTGTTATAGCCGGCCCGGAAAATGCTAAGAAGTTGAGCGAATTTAAACTTTGTGTGATGGTGAGTTTAAAGTTCAATGTCCAATGCTCGTGAATCAACTAATTGTGTCGCTGGGAAGAAATAGAAATAAAAGGCCATACCCATCTTATTAGTATACTAGCTCCAACTCGGTTGGAGGTTAAACGACATGCCCCGTCGACCTATTTGCCTTATCAGAAATCCATATAGTAAGTAAGAAGCGGTTAAATTTCAAGTCTTTATTATCTGTGGTGGTGGTTCGTTGTCCGAGCAGAATTTTGATATTCCTATCACCCATTTAATCTATCGTTTTTCCATACGGAATGCCACATGTTTAAAAAATAATTCATTAGAACATTGGATGCAATTGAACAATGTTTGACAATTCATTGCTAATATTAGACTAAAAAGCAAGTCAAAGTTAGTCATGGTTCAAATATACTCTTGTTTATTTGTAAAATGGGTAAAAAATATAAAATTTTATATTATCTATATTTAAAAACGAAAACTCTATGATATTACAATATTTTTTACGTGAATACATAACGAGAATGTCAACCTATATTTCTAGACTCATTAAATTGACTACAAAATCTGGTGTTTTTGAAAACATTGAAATATAATTGTGGATATTTCAAAAGTAGCTCTGTTGATACATTTTTTTTCATTTCAGGATATAGATAAGTATGCCTGTCCATCGTGGATATTCGTCCACACTTGTCCTAGAGGCAAAGAAGTCGATGACCACTTATTCTTCCATGACAGAGCCCGAACTTTTGTTGCATTCGAAAACATACAGTATATTTGTGCAGCCCTAATGGGCTCAGCTATAAAAAATCACTACTTTTAAAATAAATGTATTATTGAAGTTTTAATGTTATTTGCTTATATACTTTTAAAGTATAATTTTAGAATACTAGGTTATTTGCTGATATGTTCTTTACTTGTGTATATGTACCCATCATCTTTAAAAAATTCTGAATATTACTCTTAAGTATAATTTTATTAGGGAAATGTTCATATAACCATTAAAACAAGTAGCTTATTTCTCATACTTATTAAATCAGACAAAGCAATGTATTTGTGAACTGTCAATTAAGTGAATTGTTATGAAATCTTTAAACTCATATGTCAAAAACAAATAGTAGTTTTAAGCTAAATAAAAGATAGGTCTTAAAATAAATACACCAAGTTACTAACAATACTTACTTTAATACACTATAACTACAAATAAATATACAATTAACGATCTGCATTCTTAAATTTACCTCTCATAGCTTTTGGCAATGTTACAACACCCGAACAAGGGACTTGTCCATATATTTCGCACATACAAGCTCTATCACACCCAGCTCCAAAGTTTGCTGGGTTGTCTTTCTTCTCCGCAGCTATCGCCTCAGCTTCTAGAATGTCCTTAGACTTACCAACTGTATGTAATAGGTGTTCTAAGATGTCCTCTTTCGATTTATTATCTATGTCAACCAATATTTGCTTTCCGTCTTCTAAATAACATCTGATGAAGGGTGTAGGTGTTAAATTCTTTAATGTGGCCACTTGGACGTCCGGGTTTTTGTACTGTATCTGCGGTAAATACCAAAAGACGAAATCCTTCGCGCCCGCATTATTTTTGCCCATGATATTGTAAGCTACGGAGAATATTTTTATCTTGTCTTTTAACACTAGTTTGCCAGCGCTTAAGTACTTGGCTGTGCGACGAATGGGTGCTCTGCCTATCATGAACGGCATTTTGGCTTAATTTTAAGATGTCGTTGACAGTTAAATTATATTCTTAAAAAATTATACAGAAACTAGACAATCATCACAAAGTTTTGTTTTATAATTCATAACCTAAAAAGGGGTGTGACAGCAATACATATGCTGACATTGACAATTGACTCGAATCATGACATTTAACTTATTCAAACACAGAGTCGATATCGCTATTTTATACCAAGGTTGATTTGAATAGTGTACACGATGTACACTATTCAAATCAAAATAATCTATCTAAGAATACTTTGATCATTATTTTATTTTTTAAGAATAAAATATAAGACTTGCTTTATATACTAGAAGTTAAGAACGATGTTTTGGTGGCTTCTTTTCGAGTATCGATATTCAGACTGACAACTACAACACAGTTGTTTGCCAATTGACGCAAGTAATAAAATACAAGGAGTATGTTATTACTTGTCCCGTTACAGGTCTATTTGGTATAAAATATCTTTATTTCATTATTTTTTTATAAAGAACTGTTGGGAACAAGTCATATTATAATTTATTGACATGTTGTTGTCAATCATCAATAAGTATCCGGCAAAATGAAAATCTTTCCAAGCCAGATTATTTTATAAAATGATGCATAAAATGATCAACGCAAAATGATGGTTTTATATTATCTCATCGAATAAAAGCAATCATGAAAGCTGGTAGCAACGCATACGCAACAAAAATATGAAAAAGAGTATCAAAGTGAAAAACCCATGCAAAATATGTTTTGAAGCGGTAAACAAAAAGAAGGGACTGCAATGCCAGGGGGCTTGCCAGAAATGGGCTCATTACAAATGCTTGAACTATAGTCCGGGCAAGATCGAGGATATAAAGGCTGGTCTAGTGAGGATTACCTGCCCGTGTCCAGATTGTGTAGCATCAGAAGCTAAATGTCCCAATAGACCTCAGACGTGTAGCTCTAGCGCTGGTCCTGTGAAACCCATTCCATTTTACCTATCGCAACCTTGTCGACAGATGCCTCCCTGTCAATCACGCATCCAAATACCTGTACATATATCTCCCAAGTGTTCAAACGTGTCATTGCCGCGAACACGTGGTTCATACCCTCAGGTTTTCACAGCATGCCCACCTACATATTGTTCTAAGCAGACTTCACCAAATATGACACCGCAAGCTTCTCAATGTAATTTGAAGTATCCTAACAGAAGGTCACAGTCTACATCCGCGATGATACCGAATATGTCTTCTTCTGGTAGCGGTATACGTAAGAATTGCTATAATCTTTTTGTAGGCGTAAATTATTTAGTATTCGCTAATATTTTAGTTTAGTATTAGCTAATATAGTAGTATTCTCCGAAACGGCTTGACCGATTTTTGTAAAATTTTATATGCGTAGGTATGTGTACCCAAAAGTGTGGGATGTCACGCACGCATTTTTTATTACTTTTTTATAATGTGGCATAAAAGACCCTCTATTTTTAATAGTTATTTTTAGTGCTGTCCTTTATCATCATTTTTTATCCCGCTCGAAGATAGACCGATCAATTATCACTTGGAAAATTCTCTATGTAAATTGGAGACAAATCTACGACAAGGGCAGGAAAATAATCTAAAATTGATTTTTATTTTATATACTCACATCATATGAAAAATATTAATGAATATATTTCTAATTATTCAATACATTTAATTTCAGATTTAAAATGTGTACCCCGCCGTACATCGTCATGTGACTCGAAATTGTCTGCGAGGCCCAATCCCAAGGAGTTGATTTGCTCTTTAGATGAAATGTGCAAGACTGTCGGAGAACTGACGATACAACTTAGGTCTTTAATGTGCAAAATGATTGAGGCAAACAGTTGCCAAGGTTGAAAGTCTAACTGAAATATACGACGTATTATAATTACTGGTTTTATTAATAGCCATTAATTGATAGATGTTGTTACTATACGCATGTACCTAGCTCAAAAAACTCTACCAATCTACAACTGCTATCGAAGAATTATAAGTGACTAATACACGTATATTACAAATCGATTTAGATCAACGATCATTTTTTGCAAAGGCGGGACTTGACCGGCATCTACATCGTACAGTGTTTAATTTATATAATTCTATAAAGTTTACTAATAATTGTGAAAAATATTAAAGTTTTTATGTAAGTTAAGTACGCTGATCTAAAGTATTTGTACTGGCGGTTAATTTAAATGAGTCGTTTGTTTTTATCTGTATTAAATATACTTACCTACTTTTAAATAAAACACTTTAACGGTTTAAAACGCGATATATTAGTTAAACTTATTTGGAAATGATTTTTAACTTCGGCCCGACGTTTCGGCTGCTAATTAATATATCGCGTTTTAAACCGTTAAAGTGCTTTATTGAAATCTGTACTACTCGCGTAAACTATAGACAGTATTTACTTACCTACTTTACAATTATAATTGGTTTTAGAATATCTTTAACCCTTACAGGAACATAAGCTGGCTGAGACTAAATATGCGATTACAATATTTTACCAATTTTTCGTGTAAAGTAAGAGAATATCACTAAAAAAAGATAGCAGGGTGTATGTGTGTATGTAAGTGTACATTTCCTATAACTTCATACGTTTCTTTTGACAATCATTAAAAAATAACAATTCAATAATAATTGAACAATCGACAACGATTTTTGTCAAAGGGAAGAATATTTCCCTTGAGCGTAAAAGGGTTAAAATATTAAGCTGATCCTTATTTCTATAGCATTGTCATAGATATAATAATCTTTCACAAATTGAGTAGTCTATTGTTTCCTATCAGATGATCTTGCTAATTTTGACAATGAGTTGACACAATACAAACTTGCAATTCACCAGACGCACAATAAACGAAAAACCAAAACCATGTAACGCCAACCCGCGCCCAAGCCAAAAATGTCGAAACCCTGTAAAAAAATTAAGAACCCCTGCAAAATATGCCTCGGTCCAGTCACACGGAAGAACGGCCTTCAGTGCCAAGGGTACTGCCAGTGTTGGGTGCACTACGCCTGCTTGAACTACACACCTGGAAAGATAAGGGATATCAAAGCTGGTATTATCCACGTGACCTGCCCCTGTCCAGATTGCACCAGCTCTCTGCCAAAAGAGTACCGGTCTGATGAGCCGTTTAGTTGCACCAATATGCAGTGCCCTGCCAATAAGTCACCTAGGTGCGACAATACTGGCTGTCCGATAAACCAAGACAAACCGGGGCTGACTGCCGGTGGCCAAAAAGGTAACGGGAATGTGAGGAACACAGGAGTTGGATCTGCGTGCAGGCTAACAAAATGCGGGAATAAGGAGTGTAAGGATAACAGCCTGGCGTTGAAGCAAGGAGCACCGATGGCCCATGAGCGATGTGGAAACGATTGTAAGGAGCACAGCGTGCCACTACGACAAGGGGCAGTTTTAGCACACCAGGTTCCTCCTAGTCCTAAATTCTGTCCATCTGGGTGCTCTCTACCCCCCGGAGACGTAGGTCGCTCTCCACCTGCACCAAACCCGATGCCAGCGTTACAGCAAATGTGTAACACAGTGGGACAACTGACAAATCAAATTAATGACCTGATGCAGCAAATGAAGTATGTTGTTCAGGGGGGGAGCGGGGGGGTCCAAGGATGCATAGCCCAAAAGACCAATATCCGAACTCTTGCTACTGTCCAACGAACCCTGCAAAACGGCGCTAGAGGTTTTGTGACTAGTGTAAGATCTTTTGTTTGTGATAATATTTTCGGTCATTGCAAGACACAAAAAAAATACTATTAAAAAATAAATTAAATTATTACAAATCACTTACTTTATTGTTTATTTGATTAAAATAACCTACCTAAAATTCGTATTCATAAAAGTAAGTACTCATAATTATAGGCACTGGCATGTACAAGGCTTTAATAAGATATAAATATTATAATATATTTAATAAATGAATATATAGCAATGTCTGGTAGGAATACCGAAAATTCCAACCGGGTCGCGAACATCACAGATGAAAAAAACCATCAAATTTAATCGCGTTTCGGTTTAAGTCTGTGCTGTGTCAGCCGTTGTGAGGGAATCTATGAAATTTTATTTTCCACCTTTCAATAGTGACCAGAAATATTACTTATTATTTCCGTTCGTTGGTTCTTCTCTGGCTCGTAAAGTCCCCGAGGCGTCTGTGAGACTAAAAATGTGAACTTGAACATAACTTCAAAACTACTATCAAAGTCTGTTCTTGCGTGAAATTGGTGATATAGCTGTATGCTTTTAGATGACCTTATTCTGGGAAGTTTGTCTTATTTTATTACTTTGATTTTATTTGAAAACCATGTAAGAACCAAATCTGATGAGATACTGTGTATTTTTTTAAGTTCTCTCATTCTTATTCTCGTATAATAATTTAAATACTTAGATGTGTAGTAAGTAATAAATTAATTGTAAATGTTATAAATTAACTATTTATACAAAATTGATTTGTTCTTTATATCAAAAGAGTTTATACCAAACTTGGTACCTTTTTTTATAAACTGAGAAAAAGTACAATCATACAAAGAAAAAAAAACAATATATTTTCTGGTATCTCAAGTTTTTCGTTATTTAATTTGTTTTTATATTTACGTAGTTACTATTTATATTTTAAGGTCCAGAATAAGGCTTTCTCTAAAGATATGTCGGTATTGTGTGTCTGATTGGCAATTTAACTCTGACCAAAGTTTGGACGATGGTTCAAGTGTCCCAAAACCTTACAATAATTTACACATCACCCAAGTTTGCGATATCCAATATTTGCCGTATTTGTGGAAGAAAATTCTGTCAATGTCGTGTACAAGCAAGGATGTTAAGATAGTACTGCTTCCTAATAATAACTTAGGCTAGACCAATTTTGATCAACATAAAGAAAACTGCACAGTTAATAGTAATAAAGTTGTTAAAGTTAAGTAAATACTGTCTATAGTTTACGCGAGTAGTACACATTTAAATAAAACACTTTAACGGTTTAAAACGCGATATATTAGTTAAACTTATTTGGAAATTATATTTGATGAAGTTTACTAATATATCGCGTTTTAAACCGTCAAAGAGTTTTATTTAAATAATAGTTCAAGTAGTCAACAATTTACGTTACGTTACGAATACGTCGGGGTGGGTTCTAATCCTGGTGACGAAAATTTACATTCTCGGTCATCGAAGATGTACATATTTTAATTTTGTAGTGAAACAGTTACTTATTAGACTACTTTTCAGACTCTGCCTACTGCCCCAATGAATTACAAGTTATATTATAGTAATCAATAGAACTAATTTCAGTATTAATCTAATAAATGTCACATTTTCTACCTTAAAGTTTCTCAAGAGACATACAATGTAAGCTACATACCTAAAATGCATTTAGCTACTTCAAACTGATTATAATTTCTAAGTGGCTTCTATGAGTCTCTTGAGTTTGAGTACCTTATGAATTTTTACTATGAAATACTATTAATTAGATTTAGTTAACGTTATTACAATAAACATTTCCTGTCTGTCAATTTTCATCAAAGCAAAGTCACTATCTATTTATTTAACATTTAATTAGCCCTTTTGCTTATAAACACGTAACCTGTTATTAAGTATATAACTATATCTATATATTTTTCATATGTATTTTGTTATATATTTGTTTTGCCTCCCACACATTTAATTTTCTATATGTTTCTCGTAAATTTTAGGTTGCCTGGAAGAGATCGATTGTTAGCGATAAGGCCGCACAATGCACTACATTCTAGCACATACGTAGTATCTATATTATTATTTGTGCAATAAAACCTACATTAAAGTTTCAGTCAGAAAGGGTACAATTCTTGTTTGCAAAATATAATATCGATGAATGAGTCATCTCTAGATTTTTAAAGTACGAAAGTCAACTTGTTCGTTTCTTCAGTTCGTCGATTTTTTAATTACAACAAAAGTTGACAGTATCGTTTTACATAATTATCGTGATTATAATCGCGAGATATCGTAAGTAGTTACGTTACATTCAGATAATCATCTTTATTACAAATCAGTTATAGATAACCTTTAGAAGTTATTCAATTTGATTTAATATCTCCCGGTCAGTTGGAAAGCGGTTTTCGTTACTCAAGTATCTATTTTTTTTATTTAGTTTCTGATACGACCCCTTCTTAGTAGTTTCTTTGTGGTAATATGTGTTCTAACGTGAATCCATCCACAATTAATTGATTATTCATCCATACCTTACTTATGGAAGACCGGAAGTACATTTACCAGGAAATCGGAAAACTAAAAATGGGGATGAATTTGAAATACCAGATTTTAATTGTGGCGTGTTGTAAGTTGTAACACAGTATAGAAACATTGTCAAACAAACGTTTTGGGAGGGTCGTTAGTAGTCAGGTCGTGAATTCGATCCCCATTGGGTCCAAGGTGTTTTTAATCAATTTTTTTGAAACACGTACTTCGTCTGGATATCTCGATATTAAATAGATTAAGAATCACACCATAGAAAAAAAAGAAGTTTAATGTTTCATAGCGTTTCGATTTCAGTCTGTAGATTCACATCACAGCTTGCTTTGTTGTATAGCTTAAAAATCTTCCATCGTGTGAACCCTAAGTTTATCTGCCTATATAGTATCTATTTATTTTTCCTTACAAAACTCTAGGCTAATAATAACGTACACATTTAAACTGATTGATAGATTTATACTATTAATTAATAAGATCTTAAAATATCTTAGGATATAATCTATACTAATATATAAAGCTGATAAGTTTGTTTGTATGAACGCGCTAATACCAGAAACTACGAGTTCGAATTGAAACATTATTTTTGTGTTGGTTAGAGCTATTATCGAGGAAGGCTAGGCTATAAAACATCTCCCTGTGACTAATACAAGCTAAGATACAGCGGGAAATCTGAATATTATTCATCATTATGGGTTTCCGAGGCGTACGCTGCAAGAACGGTTCAAGACACCCAAAAAAATATGTATGACAGAATGATTTCTCCGTAAATGGCCTCAAAAAGATGATGGGTTTGCAAAAACAAATTTGGATGCCCAAAATAACGATTCTCGCGGACGAAGTCGCTGACACAGCTAGTTAATAATATAAAGACATACCTATAACACGGCCTATAGTGTTTTTACGATTAAAAATTCGATTTATATTAGCGCTACAACACGACGTTTCAGATGCTTAGACATAAGTCACAAGCGTTGGGGGAATTTATAATATTCTAACTAAATTGATTTGTTTTAGTAAACATAGGACAGATAATTGTTGGCTATAGTGTTGGCTGGTCAGCTCCCATCATACCCAAACTGCAGAACTCCACAGATAATCCTCTACCAGAGCCGATTACAGATTTGGAAGCGTCATGGGTCGGATCTCTGTTGTATATTGGTGCTATGGTCGGTAAGTTGTAAATTTCTTTCATATATAAGTATACCAAATTGTTCTGTTTTTGAATCTATGGTAGCTAAGAATGGTTAATATACAATTAACTGGTACTGTTTGTAGTTTACGCGTACACATTTAACGGTTTAAAATACGAAATATACTTAAATAAATTGTGTAAGGCTTTCACGGCCATCGTTCAGCATATCATTGTCTTTCAGGCTGTTCGACCGATGTGAGCGAGAAGAGGTTCTCGACGTTTCATAATTTTCATAATTCTTCGAGCAATCGAAGAGTTAACATCTCATGATGATGCCGTCCACATGTGATGGCGAAACGTCGAGAACCTCTTCTCGCCCACATTGGCCGAACAGCCCGAAAGACAATGATATGACGAAATATGTTACCTAACGTTACGATTTATTTAATGCCTTCTTGTAACGACAACTCACTGTAACGTCAGGTAGGTTAAAATAAATTGTAATTTTATTATATTTCTAATTTTAAACCGTTAAAAGTGTTTCACTTTTCTAACGTGTAAAAGCTAGACATTAAATGAGTAGTGGCAATATCGAAATTTTGTCCAGGGTAATCACCATCTCTACGTGGAGTGTAAATTAGATGTCAGTTTGTATATGTCCAAAGTCAAAATGGTTTGATAACGCATCCTATTAAATGTTTGAATCAACGTCAACCCCAGTAAATCGCGGGCTTGTCTGTCATCTCCTTTAAAAAAAGGTAATTTCTAGGTCCATACGTAACAAGCATCCTAGCAAACCTTGTTGGAAGGAAGCCGTGCCTTATCATCGGCGGTTTGTTGAACATCATCTCATATGTACTGGTGATCACGACCAAGAATGTCCTGATGGTGTACGCTATTAGAATCATCAGCGGTCTTGGAATGGGTATCACGACAGTCGGAAATATTGTCTATATTGGAGAAATAGCGTGAGTAATCTCATCTCATCTATACTAATATTATAACGCTGTTTGTTTAAACGCGCTAATCTCAGGAGCTACTTGTTCAAATTGAAAAATTAGTTAATGTATTTATTGAGGCTATAAAATATCACGTTCCGAGAAACGGAAAGTTTACCGCTGATAGATATATACTGTTTTAGACATTTTGTTAGGATCATTTGCAACCATTCTTTCTTACACATTTTAGGTTAAGAGATGACCTAAATACTGTCTATAGTTTACGTGAGTAGTACACATTTAAATAAAACACTTTAACGGTTTAAAACGCGATATATTAGTTAAACTTATTTGGGGATGATTTTTAACTTCGGCCCGACGTTTCGAATGCTTTGCAAATAAGTTTAACTAATATATCGCGTTCTAAACCGTTAAAGTGTTTTATTTAAAAGAGATGACCTTTTTATCGTAGTGTTAAAAGCGATATGTGATCTAATCGACACAAGAATAATTTTTAAATTCGAACCAGTATTTCTTGAGATTACCGCGTTCAAGAGTTTTTACGATTATAATATAAATATGAATTGCTATAAAGCTTAGCGATAAGTTGTCAATAAAATTCGGATCTTGTACTCGAATAACTTACGAAACTTTTTGCTCAATTTTAAGGATGTACTTTCAGGTCGACTCACATTAGAGGTATCCTATTAACATCAACGTCTATAATCGGTATATCTGGCACTCTCCTAGTCTATGCGGTAGTACCCTATGTCACCTATGTGGCAACTGGATATATAGCATTGGTGATAGCTGTACTCCATGTCGTTGGATTATTTTTTGTACCTGAATCACCAGTTTATTATGCTATGAAAGGTAAAGAGAGATTTAGTTTAATAAAGCATGGTCGCCAACATTTAGTAGAAGGATTACAATCCAGGACATTAATGCCACTGAAAACAAACTGTATAAAACAGGCGGAACTCAAACCCAAGCGTACTGAGCTGCCATGCCTCTTTTGTGTTCCAATAAGAATTCATTTATAAAAACATATCTTGGGCAATGTAATTTCGACATTAAAAATTAGTGTTAATTTTGAATATATCCTTACCAGAAATTATAGAATAATAACAACAGCTCTCATTTGCATTATCTGGTAATAACTGATTTGACAAGCTCGTTGGTAGCAATGTCTGAAACATGTCGACTGGAAATCTGGATATTGAATGGTTGGTAGAAATATCAAAACCTCCGGATCACGAAACACATGAAAAAAGTTTATTCAAGTTTCGGCTTCAGTGAGTGGATATCCAAAGCCACAGTGGAATCTATGCTGTTCTTCTCTATCACAAGTACTATACCTGATCAAATCATTTATACTTCCAGAGAAAGAGATAAAAGCCACAAAAGTTCTAAACCTGCTCGGCCGCTCTGACGATACCACCAGAATCCTGGACACATTCAAGAAGCAAGAACAAACAACGAAGCTGCAAGACTGGCTTGAGATCTTCACCATCAAATCTAATAGGATATCTCTCATCCTCACATTCATGCTGGGAGCATTTCAGCAGACCAGCGGTGTCGCTGTTGTGCTCTTCTTCGCGACCACCATATTTGGTTTAGCTGGATCCTCAGTGGAGCCTCATATAGCGACTATTATAATTGGCGTTACGAGATTAGTTTCCAGCTTGATAGCTCCCACATTCATTGACAGATCTGGAAGGAAGATATTGCTTCTGATATCAATGGCTGCTTGTGCCATTAGCTTGGTAAGGATAGTTGTTAATGAAATGTGGTAAATTCAAGAATATGATTCTGCTGCCCCTAGAAGGTCGTTTAGTTACTCATTGACAAAATGCTGGAAAATGTCCCACCAGTCTTTAATTACGATAATGGGAGGGGGGGGGGGGGGGGGGGAATTTATGCCCTGCTTTTTATACAACTAACAGCAATAATTACTCTGACGAAATAATTATTTACATTATCTTGTTTTAATATAATTTATTTACAACAATTGCTGGCATATTTTTTGAGTTTTCAAAAGTACTAATTATTGTTATAGTTTTAAAAAGTGTGAAAAATTTCCCACTTAAGATATCGTTGTCTTTGTTTTATGTTCATGATAAGACTGTAATTGTAATATTTGCATAAGAATAGCTAATTCATTTACGAGTCGAACATTATCAAAAACTAATTAGATTGGATAATACTAAAATAACCTGTCTTCTGTGTTTTTGTGATTTACGAGGCGACTATGTTATAGATATAATTTATTTTCAGTCAGTTCTAGGAATCTACTTCTACTTGGATAGAATTGGCAGCCCAGCTCTGCAGAGTATTGGATGGTTGCCGATGGTGGCGCTCATAGTATACTTCTTCTGTTACGAAGCAGGTAAAATATTACGCTCAGCAAGTGAAAGCGCGTTAGCCAGTTGGAAATTTTAAACTTGTTTGGAGTTGCTAGGGACTAAAATTCGTACGTATTGCTTTAATTACAATTTTATAAATACCATTGTATTTTTGCTATGCTAACACCACCGAAAATCACAATTATTTAGTATAAGAAAAAACTAAAATTATATAAAAAAGAGAATATTGATAACAAGCGGAATCCTAAAGCGAGACTGACAAGATGGCGTCATCTATAATGTGATCTTTTCTTGGGAAATTTTTTTAAAAATTTAAACACATTTTTTCAGGATTTGGAACCATCCCAAACGCAATTGTGGGAGAGATGTTCAGAATTAATGTCCGATCGAATGGATCCGCTCTAGCCATCACCATGACCTGGCTTGTCGGGTTCGCTCTGACCACCAGTTTCAACAGTATGGTGGATACCCTCGGAGGCGACGTCACTTTCTGGCTCTTCGGAGGGTCTTGCATCTTTGCTTTTCTCTTTACCTTTTTCTTTTTACCTGAAACTAAAGGAAAGACTTTGAACGAGATTCAGGAGATGTTAAGCTAACCTCACCTTTATCGCAAGATTAAATTGACTGAAAGACAAAACGGTGGGTTCTGAGAATGAATGAAATAATTATTGAATGTTGTTACAATAAAAGTTGTTAAAATTAAAAATGAGTAGTACACATTTAAATAAAACACTTTAACGGTTTAAAACGCGATGTATTAGTTAAACTTATTTGAAAATGATTTTTAACTTCGGCCCGACGTTTCGGATGCTTTGCAGCAGCCGTGGTCACGGGGAGACCCTCAGTTTCCCAGTTTAACTAATATATTGCGTTTTAAACCGTTAAAGTGTTTTATTTAAATTAAAATGCCTTTTTCTCTTAACATTATACAATGATATGCATACCCCCCTCTCTTCTTTCACAGACAAATACTTGAACCAAACCATAAACGATATATTTATAATTTCAGTAACATGTTAGGTAATTCATTAGAACCCTATCTATGGTTAATAAATAGTCAATTCTGTTGTTACATATAAAATAAACCTGTTTGAAAGGAAATGTCTCGTTTATTAATCTAATATATAAAGCTGAAGAGTTTATTTATTTGTTTGTTTGAATGAGCTTATCTCAGGAACTACGGGTTCGAATTGAAAAATTATTTTTGTGTTAGTTAAAGCATTTATCAAGGAAGACTATAAACTATAAAATTGCTCTGTGATTAATAGAAACGAAGATACAGCGGGAAATGTGAACAAAACGGGAAATTTTAATATCTGTGGGTTTCTGATGCGTAAGTACACTGCGAAAACGGTCGCAGACACAGCTAGTTTGTGATAATGGTTTGGTACGAACTAGCTGTGTCAGCGACTTCGTCTACGTAGAATAGTTATTTTGAGCAGCAAAATTCGTTTTCGCAAACCTCCTGTTAAACTCTACATAAATTAACCTGTTACCCACGACGTCGTCCGCCTTCCGTCGTTTTTGCCAGTTAAAATAGATATTTATATATACATATTTTTTGGGTATCTTGAACCGTTTTTGCAGCGTACGAATCGAAAACTATTTTTATTTACATACTACATTATTTCTCGCTATATCTTCGCTAGTATTAACACTTTAGCTATATATATATATATATATATATATATATATATATATATATAGTATAGATATAATATAATTTATGCTTCAAATATTACATTAAAGTAGATAAGATAAACCTACATATTAGTTTTGTATTAAAGAAGAAAACATAAAATGTACAAGTGATGTTTAAGTGATTTAACAAAAATGTTTAATTTCTAAGCAATTATAAAATAAATCGAGTTATTGTGCATTTTAACTACTTCTATTCTATGCCTACCTAGATAAATAAAAGACTCTGTATATAGGTAATTTTGATGTTAATTATATAAATTCACTTAAACTTAGTAAGAATTAGAATATGTTTAAATAAAAAATCTACTTCGTCAAATTTGACGACACTCGCTGGTCTGGAACCGGTATTCACAGGCGTACTGCTGCTCCCTTGTTTCTCCTTGCCCCAAATGGGGAACAATATATTTCTGTATCAATCCCATAGATGTACCCTACCCGACAGATATATTACACACTAGCTGATCCGCGAAATGTTATTTTGTTATTTGCAAGAATGTTATCTGATACAACTCAAACAAATTGATATATTTGGTAATAATGTATTAAATACTGTCTATAGTTTACGCGAGTAGTACACATTTAAATAAAACACTTTAACTGTGGTCACGGGGAGACAAAGCTGCTGCAAAGCATGCGAAACGTCGGGCCGAAGTTAAAAACCATTTTCAAATAAGTTTAACTAATATATCGCGTTTTAAACCGTTAAAGTGTTTTATTTAAATTTGTTTCGTTCAAAAATTCGCGTTCAAGACCTTCTGAGACTCTGAGGCGGCGAAACTTAGAAAACAAGGTATTTATCATAATTGTAACATATTAACACTCGTAACCATTAAAATCGCTTAGTGTTAATTATTGTTTATTTGCAGTAACCATGTCGAAATTGCCAATTAGCGCTTATTAGTTCGAGTTTCGTTTAATTCGGTTTGTGATGTCAACATGAGTGGATACAGGAAGCAATTTCTTATAGTAGCTTGTGGTAAGTGAATTTGAAAACGTTAACATTTTTTACATGTTGCATATGATGGCACTATATAGATTAAAAATCGAAACGCTGTGGATAGCGGTTCGTGTCCTGCCCGGGTCTTAGAACTATTTCAATATAAAATCGATTTTTAATTTATAAGTTAACTTTATATATGAAAACTCTAATATTTTTCACATGTTATTGCACGGCGGCACTATATAATTTAAAAAATTCGAAAATAAATTGAAAAAAAAATTCGACTCGGGAAGGACTTGAACCGGCATCGTCAGCGTTCCGTGCTGTTGCTCTATCAATTGAGCTACCGAGTCCTACACCTCATCGTCGATTTTTTTTCGAATTATCTTTGTAATTTCATCTTCAATGATTTTCTTAAGCTACAAAGCATAAGATATTGAATCTTAATTATATATATATAAAATAGTTAAGGCTGAAATTACATTGCGCAAGAGGAAAAAATTGAAAAAATTCTTCGATGAGGTGTAGGACTCGGTAGCTCAATAGGTAGAGTAACAGCACGGAACACTGACGATGCCGGTTTAGGTCCTGCCTGAGTCTAAAATTAAAAAATATATATACATTTTCAACGGGCGCGTTGGTTCAGTGGTAACAATATATGGTTCGGTTTCGGCTCGTGGACTCGATTAAAATTTTTAAGAAATTCAGAAAACAACTTGGAAATCCGCATTTCAGCTCGAGTCAGTTTTTCCAAAAGTCAAAAAGAGAGCTATCTTTATTTGATGGACCTGATGGTCTTCTGGTAGCGATGTATCTTGCTGGTCGTGTGTTCGACTATTTTTATTTAATTGGTCAATGATCCCCTTTAAGAAGGATTTCTGATTCACCCATGAGCGTTGAGAATACCGCACGTGTAAGAAAAAAAAGGAAACCGGTTCGCTATCGCCATCTGTTATCACGTTTTGTATTTGAAAAAGATAGTTGGTATTATCACAAGTGACTTTGACATTATAGACATCCTCCATTCGAACGTCGGGTCGTAGTTGAAAGTAAGTGTACCAATATATTTCGCGGTTTAAACCGTTGAAAGTGTCTTATTTAAATATATTATCCTACTCTCGTAAGGTATGTACAGAAGCTGTTGATATATCATATTAAATACTTTTATTTTGCGTGTGTTATGTATAACAGTGGTTGTGACTAGCGTTAGCAAAATTGTTCGAACTGGCACACAAACGAAATAACAAAAATGCTTAGTATCTGCAACGCAATTTTCAACTAGAAAAATAAAACATATTATCAGTAAATGCGGTCGAGGACGCTAGACACATGAAGAAAACACCTTTTTTTAATAATTCAATGCTTTGGTTTAAAAAAAACTCATTTAAAATTTAATAGCTCATGTTGTAGCAATATTAGTAACGTAATGAAACGTGAAATCGATAATACACCATTGTTCATTACTTATTATCTTAACTTGATTTAAATATTGCGTGCGATTTGGTTGCGAGTTAATCTTAAAGGATAGGCGTATACTGTCGCGGATTTTTTTTGTTTAAAGAGGAATCATTCTTTCATTCATAACAAATTGCACTAATAACGATACATAAATATCCCCGTTTCTTCCACATTTACCAGTGTTTCTTCGCGCCTATTGGTCTATTTATATATATATATTGAAGTTAGCCTTCAATATAATATTCCAGGTTAAATGACTACACGAAAATTATTTTTAAATTCGATTAGTGGTTCCCGACATTAGCGTGTTTAAGCAGACAAACTCTTCAGCTTTATAATATTTGTACTGTATTATAAAGAACAAGCTGGCTTTTGTACTCACTAACAAAATTCATTGCCTTTTTTAATGAGGTTTTCGTGAGTCTACCTAACAATGTGTCTATGTAATAAATTTAACAAGCAACCTTCGGTTGTTTCTTGTCATTTTAAAACCTTTTTTCGGAGTCATTATATATATATATATAAAATTACCTTCAAAGATTCAATATAATTTGCTAATGAGTGTAACGATTTGTTTAAGCCGAAAGCTTATTACTTAGTGGTCGAAATACTTATTATCAAAATATCTACCTATTTAAATACGGTTTAAAACGCGATATACAAGGTTATTCTTTGTTGATACTAAAGCCACGCCAAACGGCTTTTTATTCGCAGAATCAGGATAAAAAAAAAACAAAATTTTAAAAATAATGAAAACTCACGAAGTTATGATTCTTTTCCATGTTATTGTTTATTCCGCAACCACTATTATATTATAATTCACGATTCACTACTTTTATGTACTTATTGTCCGCTCACAGAATGTATTCAGTACTTTTGGCAAAAACATTTTCCCTCACATATACAGGCTTTGGATTGTCAGAATGGTTAAACGGCATGTAAGTCTAGCGTTAATTATTGAGACAAAGAGAAAATTTTAATCACCATTATTTATACTAATTTATCGAATCTTTGGGCTTTATCATTTTCGAGCAGCTCTTGTGCTCGTCTAAAATGATAAAGGTATTGGTGGTCATTCCTTAAAGTCCACCACATGTAAGACTGACTTACGTTGAATAATCTCCTCGCCTCTGTCTACTGCGACTGGTCTGAACTGGGCATGGTCTCGTAAGCGCTTCGTAACGCTCAGCATTGTGTTCCATGATACCAAGATTTTATTTTTAGGAATTTATTTATCAAACGGTGTCCAGGATTTCAAAAAATTCATATAATTTTGAAAAAAAATATAACGTGGTATAAAAACTATTGGAATGGATTTTGCTACTGATTCTGAACAAACTACTTTCAGGTTTCGCATGAAGTGGGAATAACCTTGTATATTAGTTAAACTTGTTTGAAAATTATTTGTAACTTCGGTCCGACGATTCGGATGCTTCGCAGCAGCCGTGGTCACGGGGAGATAAATATTTACATGATAACAGAGCTTGGGGTTTGGGGGAATCCACTTTAACAAGGAAAAATATGTACACATTAGATGCGTTAGGAAGTTGTATCTAGAATTTGTCGATAAAGAGGAGTGCCGGCGAGATTCTTGCTGGTTGTTCTCGTCAGTTCTATGCCCTTAATTTGGGACCCGGTAGTAAATATGAGTTTAGAGTTTTTAATTTTTAACTATAATAACGTGTACCTAGATGCCTACATTAATAAGTAATTTTTAATTTGATTTAAGACATCCTTTGCTAGTCTATATTTAAAATATATTTTAGATCAATGTAACTACAACATAATATTATTTATACTTTTCAGTAAACATAGGTCAATTCATCGACGGGTACAGCGTGGGTTGGTCAGCACCTATCATACCTAAACTTCAGGATCCAGAACAAACCCCATTGCCAGAAGTTGTCACAGATTTACAAATAGCATGGATAGGATCCTTGTTGTATTTGGGTTCAATTGTTGGTAAGAAAAATTATTATCAGCGCCATCTAGGGGCAACGCTGAGAATTAAGATGAATAATATTATTAAATTGAATTTTATATAATAATTTAAATTATTTTAAACCAAACAGACACGGAAACAAATTTAGCGTTGGTCTTGCTTGATAAGGGCTCGTAAAATTTATATTCCAATTAAGTAACGTGGTGATAACAACATGTATTTACCTTTCTAAAATAATAATAATTAAATTAAGAGGGTTATAATTGATTATAAATATTGTTGTTATACAAACGTTTATGTAATAAAGGCTAAAATACCTACATATTTCAGGTTTTTAAGTACATTCTTATATGAGAAACGAACAAAAAAAGCTTTTCACTAACAATTCAAGTGTGTTTGCAGTTTTGTATGTGAAAAATATTTTTTCATTTAACTTTTTCATTAATGCTGTATGGAACAACAATTGTTGTTTAACATAGCGTGAGGGTAGAAAGAGAAATAGTAGAAAATAATCACACACAATAAAAAAAAAGGTCCTAAATTTAAAAGACATAATACTTTGATCAAACCTTTATTTAGGTTGAAAAAATTAAAGACTCGAGCAGTATTTAAACCGGCATCCACACTAACGACACTAACTACGCGAGTAGTACACATTTAAATATAACACTTTAACGGTTTAAAACGCGATATATATCAGTTAACTTATTTGAAAATTATTTTACTTACGGCCCGACGTTTCGGATGCTTTTAAGCAGCCGTGGTCAGGGGAGACTCAAAATGCAGGGTGTCTCTGACGTCAAGGTAAAAAACTGCTACGCTAGCGCCAACTGTTCCGTCGAAGTTGGTATTGAGCATCTGAATTTCAATTAAGTTGAACTAATATATACAACTTTTAAACCGTTAAAGCGTTTTATTTAAATCTAATTTAAGATTTATTCTTTCAGGTCCATACATCCCCAGTTACCTCTCAAACATAATAGGTAGGAAGCCATGTTTACTATTCGGTGGAGTGTTAAATCTTCTGGCAATAATTCTCATAGTGACGACAAGGAATATAACAATGGTGTACGCTATAAGGATTATTAGTGGACTCGGCATGGGTATGGTTACTGTGAGTAACTTGGTGTACGTTGGGGAAATAGCGTAAGTATATCTCAAGCGGCCATCATTGCCAGCCATTAGACTCACTACTAGGTCTTGTGAAGATATGAGACGTAATCTTTAGAGCCGTGTTGGTTTTATGGCATGAGCACCTAACTTACGTGGACTGCCTCTTCAGCCTAATGTAATACAAACATACATAAATATAACAGTTTCAGTCGGGCGTGGAACAGAAGTTTAATCTTCTACTTGACAAACGATTTCGATCTACCATTTGATAATTCGAAATGAAAACATAATCTAATATATCTTGGCCGTAGCTAAATGGTTAATCGTGTTGCCTAGTATCGAATTAAGTGCGAGAGGTCCTAGGTTCGAATCCCGGGAAAACAATAGATTGTGTCGGTCGGCCAAGGCACAAAAAATCAACTACTTGCCAGTTAATACGTGGGAAACGGCATTTTTACCTCCCATTTTGGAAAAATCTGAAATTTGTTGTATTCGGTGAGTCATCTACCACGTTATTAGACACATGATTTTTCCTTCTTTCAGTTCTACCAACATAAGAGGCATTTTGCTAACATCCACGTCAATTGTGGGGATATCTGGCACGTTGGCCGCCTATTGCGTAGCTCCGTTCGTCTCATACAAGATGACTGGTTACTTTGCCCTGATAATAAACTTAGTTCATGTCTTCGGGATCTACTTTATACCGGAATCACCTGTTTATTACGCTATAAAAGGTAAGACTTATTTGCTGAGATAAATCACGTTACTGAACTTTTTTGGGAAATGTTATAAATACGTAAAACTTATAAGAAGAAATAACACATAGTAGACATACCTAAATTACACTTCACATGAACATTTAAAGGTACCCTACCTTTAAATGTTCCAAACGCAAAGTATCGTTAATTTATTTTTATCTATCCTAGCGTCTCGAATTTCGATTTTGGTGTTAGGAGCCTTTGCTAAGTTACGCACGAAAAGAAAAAAATATCTTTCAAATTCTCGTTCAAAGACTGAAACTAAAATAAAATAAAATATACTTTATTCTGTTTAAAATTTAAAAAAATATTTAGATTCGACAAAGTTTTTTTCGTTTGTCTGTCTGTTCGTCGTGTTTCTACAGAGTGTTCAAAAGAGCAACATAACTGAGAAGAACACCCAAGAAACTCAGTCCGGCTTTTTTAAATATGTCTTATAAACTAATACATTTTTGTAAATTTATTAACAGGAGCAATTCATATTACTGCAAGGCGGTTTTGTCATTAAAGAAATCGTTCTGACAATACGCCTTTTGAGACAATCTATTTTTTCTTAAATTTATTTATCGACAAATTTGAAATCTCGACTGGCAATGTATTATACATACGAATACAATTCCCGGCAAATAAATTAGATATTTTATGGAGCCTATATTTGGGGATAGCTAGGTTATCCTTATTTCGTAAGTTCAAATGATGCCTATCACTATTCTTGCTAAACTTGCTTTTATAGTGTTGCGATATGTGATCCCCGTTGTAGTTTGGAGTCTAACGTTATGCCCAGAAAGACAGTTTCATTGACCAAATCTATCTCATCGTCCCTAACCTTAACACTGGTTTTAGCTAACCAAACATTTGGTAACATGAACCTGATACACTTGGTTTTGTTGCAATTCAACAGCAGGTTTTTAACACTAAACCAGTGGCTACTCTCGAGAGGGCATTGTTTACATCGTCAAGCTCGCGTTCTCCACGTTTGACTTTAAATATTAAAGACGTATCATAAGCAAACAAAACTATCTCGTGATCGTCTCTTATTAAATATATAAACACAGTAAATAATTACAATTCGTTAAATAGTGTCTATAGTTTACGCGAGTAGTACACATTTAAATAAAACACTTTGACGGTTTAAAACGCGATATATTAGTTAAACTTATTTGAAAATAATTTTTAACTTCGGCCTGACGTTTCGGATGTTTTGTCCCCTAGTCTCCCCGTGACCACGGCTGCTGCATTATTTCCAAATAAGTTTAACTAATATATCGCGTTTTAAACCGTTCAAGTGTTTTATTTAAATTACAATTTGTTTTATATTATTATTCATACTGACTGAATATTAAATAACTAGACTTCAATTTACTTATGTTAACTGTCATTATAGAAAATCATCAAATATGTAATGATATGATTTATATACAATTAAAACTTACTTATCTTTCATGACAAAAATCGAACTCCAATACGCTCAATAATAAAAGACTTTTTGCCCGTATTAACGCTTTCTGAAATTTTGGTTTACCTCCTTGAGATAATTAAAGATAGCGTATCTAGATAATCTAGCAAATAAGAACCGAGATTGCTTTCGCTAATTATGCGGAATCTGCAGATTAACATTGTTTATCCAGAACAAACGCTATCTTTGCCTTGGCAAAGTAACATACGTGTCAAAAGATAATACATATTTAAGATAAAAATTTTAACACAACATAAAACATATAATATACCTTTTCTATTTATTATAAGCAGAGCTTCATGATATTCGTGGCACTTCGGAAACATACATCTAAACAAAACCCCTTTAACCGTTCAAAACACGATGTATATTGATTTACATACTTCAAAAATGCTCCCACAAAAATATCAAGTACATGGGAAAGAACTTAATCCCTGGTTAATTAACTTTAACTAAATAAAATTAACTTAAGATTTAAATATCAACTACGACACAATATATGGCCGTCTTTGTTACTCCCTTTTCTACTCCACTCCACTTTCTTACCAATTTATCGTTTATCAACTCGTCATCCTGTATGCCATTTTATATAGGTAAAAGAAAAATTATTGTCGTTTCAGGCAAAGAAATTGAAGCAAAAAACACACTACGATCTCTAGGTAGAGTACAAGACTTGGAGTATGTATTTGAATCTGTCAAGGGTACAAATGCTGGTGAAGCTAGCAGCTGGAAGGCCTGGATTAAGATCTTTACGGTGAAGGCAAATAGACGAAGTCTTTTGATAACATTGACTTTATGTACCCTTCAGCAGACCAGTGGCGTGGCTGTAGTGCTTTTCTTCGCGACAACCATATTTCAAATGGCCGGATCTTCCATTAGGTTCGATTTACTTACTTTTTAAGGCTGACATATTTCTGTGTCCGTATTGTATATGTATCTTAACATATGAGACCGCTATAGGCAGAATACCCTAACTGAAATTTTTATGAATTGAGTTATTTATATTTTCATAATCTAATATGAACATAATTTTTACACAAATAATATTTAAATTTTCACCTAAGTTAATTGCGCATTTTTATTTTCCTCCTTATTGAAAATCATGTTTTACATCTCATATACAAAATGTTTTTTTTTCTGGTATTTGAACCCAGGTACTTGATATATATAATAAATGTATGAGTAGAACATTTTGTATGTGTATCTCTACACGTTCTTTCGCTTTGCACAATACACAATGTTGTGTGTATGATAAAGAATAATAAATGATAAGTTACGTATATATTTATAATAAATAACCCTATTGATAATTTCAAAATATTATGCAGAGCCGAAATAGCTCAGTTGGGAGAGCGTTAGACTGAAGATCTAAAGGTCCCCGGTTCAATCCCGGGTTTCGGCAATACCTTTTTATTTTTTTCTTTTACTTATAAACATTTTTCAGGCCAGATATTGCAACAATAATTATAGGATCTACGCGCTTAATAGCCAGTATGGTAGCTCCGTTTGTAGTGGAACGAGCTGGCAGAAGAATTCTACTCTTAGCGTCTACTGCCTTCTGTGCTTGTAGCCTTGTAAGTAGAAAAGTAGATGAAATTAAATACTTTCTGTAGTTTACGCAATTAGTACACATTTAAATAAAACACTAACGGTTTAAAATGCGATATATATTAAATAAAACACTGAGACCGTAACCACGGCTGCTGCAAAGCATCCGAAACGTCGGGCTGAAGCTAAAAATCATTTTCAAATAAATGTAACTAATATATCGCGTTTTGAAACCGTTAAAGTGTTTTTTTTTTTTAATTTATATTACTCGCGTAAACTATAGACAATATTGCGATACATATTAGTTAAACTTATTTGAAAATCATTTTAACTACGGCCCGACATTTCGGATGTCAAATAAGTTTAACTAATATAAACAGCGTTTTAAACCGTTAAAGTGTTTTATTTAAATGTTGTTGAAATTACTTCTTTTAAGAGAGTAAAACAAGTTTTTGTTGGTTATGCTCAATAGCATGTTCTTTTTTTCTTTATTTCAGTCTATTCTCGGAACCTATTTCTACTTGACCAGGATAAAGAGTTCCTTGATCTCTGAAGTTGGATGGCTGCCTCTTTTAGCTCTGATCTTGTACTTCTTTTCTTATGAAATCGGTAATTATGCTTTTAAAGTATTCTTTGTATTTCATATTCATTGTAGTCGAATAGTTTGATAATTCTTTGGGATAATTCTTAGTAATTTCTAGTACGTACATACCATCAAACCAAGAATTTAGAAGTTGGAAGTGTGCAAGGTAAGCCTTCGGATCCGGTTGTGGCATGCATTGAAATAGCGTGGTAGGTTAGGCTCTTATACCGTCTCGTATAGGGGAGGTCAAAGTCAAAGTCAAAGGTGACCTGGATCTAATCACGCGTTACAAAACACAGTTACAAGAGTGTTTCAAGTCCCTCAGAAATAGAGCCGCCGCAATGGGCCTGGTGGTGAATGAGGAAAAGACAAAATATTTGGCAACCCCGCATACTTCGATGGGGGCGCCAGTCAGCATTGAAAATGTAACCTTCGAGAGATGTGAGTAGTTTGTTTACCTGGGTTCAATGACAAGCGATAATGATCCCTCGAGTCGAACGAGCTCTCCTAGTCTTCGAGTGAAAGATACTCAGAAGAATCTTTGGCCCCGTCTGTGTTGACGGTATTTGGCGACTCCGATATAACGAAGATCTATATCTATATACTCTTGGCGACGCCAATATCGTGCAATTCATTAAAAACAACAAACTTAAGTGGCTGGGACATGTACGCAGAATGGCGGATGAGAGAGCACTAAGGTCCTTGCTGAACTCGCAACCAGGTGGTAAACGAAAGCCCGTGAGACCGAGGCTCCGCTGGTGGGATGGAGTCGCTGGACTTGGAAATCTTGGGCGTCCAAAACTGGAACCAGGAAGCACGGGATAGATCACGGAAACGACTAGAGGGAGCTAGGGTCCACAAGGGGCTGTACAGCCATTGATGATGATGATTAATCTGAGATCAGGTTTCCTGTCAACGGAAATTTGTATTTTTTTTGCCTTAGAATTTTGTATTTTTTATTTATTTACACACAAATGTCTGTCAAATTAGATTTTATCTGAAATTTTAAAACTAAGCAATACAATAATACTACACGATATACGATCCAAAATCCATTAAACAAATTATTCTTATTCTTATTACAATTACTTTTAACAATTTCTTTAAGAAGAGTATTTGCTACTTCAAACCTGTAAAAAACCTGTAAAATAGCCTGTGAAAATACCCTTTTGTACAATGTTAATATGTCTTTCTAATGATCTAATCATCTTAGGTTTTGGGACGATGCCGTGTGCTCTCGTGGGCGAAATGTTCCGTGGTAACGCCCGCAGCACCGGATCAGCCGTTGCCATGACAACGGCTTGGCTCATCGGCTTTGGCGTGGCCACCGGTTTCGGCTCCATGGTGAAATTCCTCGGTGGTGATGTTACATTCGGGATGTTTGCGTGTTCCTGTCTGGTCGCTTTCGTGTTCACCTTGAAATTCGTGCCGGAGACAAAGGGAAAGAATTTAAATGAAATACAAGAAATTTTGAGTACATAAAATGGAATTGTGGTTTAAAAATGCACCGGTAAGACTATAAGAAGTGATATTTAACCTTCATTTAACCAATAACGACAACGAAATTCTACAAATTTAAAATCCATTTAAGCAAGAGCGGGAAGACAAGGCAACTAACGTTCTTTGTCTGTAGCATAATGCGTTATGGGCACAAAAGTACAATTTCAAACAAAGAAACTACAAATTAGATACTCCTATAATTATATTAATGTTAATGTGAATCAAATTATTAAACGTCTACCCCAAATTGGAGAACATTAAAAATAATACAAATATGCTTAAAAGAGTTTTTAATCAGTGAAAAATGTAGTTCGGGCTACCTAGAGAAGAGACTCCGCTGGCCAGTGTTTTTCTGCCCAGTTAAGCAATATTTCCTCTCCAAGGACTCTAAAGTACGATGTAAGATTTTTAATACAAGGCATCGAACTATTAAAGACTAGTTTGTTTATTTTTACTTTTTAATTAATGTAATAATCGATTTTGTTTATTAAAACTTGATCGATAGATGCTTCTGATTGTTTTCTTAAATTATGAATATATAAAAATGGAACCTGCTGAAATGTAACGTTTTAATTCGGATGTCAATTTTGTCGGTAGGTATATTTTTTGTGAATATTAAAATTTAATGAATACAATTATTTTTTCTATGTCTATGTACCAATAATTCATTAAAGGGTTTTAAAAATAAATTATAAGAAGTTGCGTAAAAAGCAAACTATCTTGGATATTTTTAATTTGTATGCACAAATTACAATGTGTTAGCGTATTACTTTTGTTTAAATCTCTGCGAATATTTTCAACGTTTTTGTTGACTCAAATGGCCGCCAAGTAAGGAAATACGAATTTTAAAAATAAAAGATATATGCAACGTTCAGATCTGTTTTCGTTCTTATTAAACTAATTGTTTATTCATTACTTTTTGAATCCGTATCTTCTTCGTATATCTCACGTTGGTATGTCAAAATTATCACTTATCTCCTGAATTTACAGCGTAAAGATAAAAAGTTAAGTAAGTAGTTTATAATACTATACTTACTGTTTCACACGGTTTCATCTTTGTCTTATCTATATTTATTGTCGGTTTGATATAACTTTGTGGCCAAGCAAATCTACTAACAGATTTTGATAAAACTTATCAATGTGATTTAAATTTATTGGAGTATAGCTTTATTAGCGGCATGATGCACTTTTTGTAATTTGTAAAAAATATTGAATCCACGCATTACTCAACACTTGATCGAATATTCGTAAGAGGAAGGGGAAGAGTACCAACTGTATAAATGTTACTTTTCTAAAATTATGTCTTCATTTGTGCCCAAACAAGCGAACAAAACTGACAAGACACTCGCCACCATTGTTTTGTTGCCAAGTTTCAATCGATTCACAAACATGTGAATTTTATAATATAACTGTTCGTATCAATGGTTATGTATGTGGTATAAGTTTAAAAGAAAACACATGAATATTCACTATTTTTATCTTTGATTGAAGGTCAGACATTTTATAATAAAATAGTCTGATGTCTTATTTTTCATTAGCAGAGAATATTCAGAATAGGTTATCAATGTTAAATACTTATGTTAATGTGTCATCTTTCGCATATTACGAGAACTGACTTTTTTTCAGTAATACCAGTTTACTAAAATATTCGCCACAGAATGCTGAATAAAACAGAAGGAGTTTATAATTCTCGGAAGTTGCTTTGTCCTTAATACACAAATAAAAGTGTGTCTGTAATATTATGATATTAGGTTTTTATTTTAACAAATGAGTTTCGCGTTTTAAACAGTTAAACTCGTATTACTACAATGTGTTAAATCCCATAATCTTACTTACTCGCGTAAACTACAAATAATACTTGACTTAAGTATTATTTGTAGTAACAAATCTACGGATTAACTAGTGTGCAGAACCAATCTAAATGGCAGCAGTTTCTTTGTTAGTCTGTGGTTTTTACAAAAGACGATAAGAGAAACATTATTTCACGACAGTAATTTATGCTTATCAATGCATATTGTATAATTATTTTTAGACGCTCTGTATTACTGGCTGTTATCTGTCAATAACTGAGTGTTGTAAAAATAACAGTGCTTCAGTAACGCCATATGATTATGTAGATCTCTCTAGATTACAAGATAAAGGAATTATATTCTAGCCAGTTTATTGAGGTGATTTATCCATTCAAGTTGTTGTTTGTGTAAGAATGTTGTTAAATTTCATTAAATGTAAGGCGCAAATAATTGCGGCGTCGTGTGGTAAGTTATTTTCGAAATTTTATTACTTCTCTTTTAAGGCTTGTTCGTGTGGCTATAATAATAAACGGGTCGTTCGATCCCCACTGGTTCAAAATAAAATAAAATGAACTTTAATATATTTTAAATATCAAAAATTATTTAGTTCTTTCGTACTGTAAGATTTTTCTTAAACCTGTTGGATTTAAATAAAACACTTTAACGGTTTAAAACGCGATATATTAGTTAAACTTATTTGAAAATGATTTTTAACTTCGGCCCGACGTTTCGGATGCTTTGCAGCAGCCGTGGTCACGGGGAGACTATTTTATTAACATCCTGAATTTCAGACGAACTCCAACAGGTTTAATACTGTCTATAGTTTACGCGAGTAGTACACATTTAAATAAAACACTTTAACGGTTTAAAACGCGATATATTAGTTAAACTTATTTGAAAATGATTTTTAACTTCGGCCCGACGTTTCGGATGCTTTGCAGCAACCGTGACGACGTTGAGTCTCCCCGTGACCACGGCTGCTGCAAAGCATCCGAAATCCGTCGGGCCGAAGCTAAAAATCATTTTCAAATAAGTTTAACTAATATATCGCGTTTTAAACCGTTAAAGTGTTTTATTTAAATAAAACAACAGGTTTTAACTAAGACTTTTAAATTCATTCATCGTCCCTATTGCATAAATTATATCTAAATTTAATTTGTTTAATTAATCCAACAATACATTTGATTAGTAAATAACATTTTATTTCAACAACCAAACATCGACATTTAATTAACTTTTGTTTAAATTGTAAATCGCAATGTATTTTAGATATTATTTTATTTTAATAAAACAAAGACCACATTTATAAGTTTAATCTCCTTGTCCGTGCAGTAGTTTCAGAGATTAACGTGTACATACGGACAAACAGGTAAAAATATTTTTTCTTTTTTCTTTTCTGTGTACTTATATCTTATAATAATATAATAACACTTATTTAAAGACAAAAATAATTCATTCACGTAGGTAACTAGGTACACATATGAATGTCACACCAGTTAAAAACTAAAGATTCTAAAATTACATTTACTACCAGTTCTCAGCATAAAGGCGTAAAACGAACGAGAAGAACTGGCAAAAGACTCGCCCCTACTCTTTTTATCGCGAAGTTTCATTTTGGTTTTTGTTTTTTTATATTTTTCATAGTTTATATTTTCGTTTTTATATTTTTTCTTTACATCAGTCTTTATCACCGACACTCAGTTTTGCATTATTTATGCCAGAGCAAAGACCGATAAGGCCAGGGTTAATTTGATGGAAGGTAAACTACACCAGCCTGTTAACGTTTAAAAAAATGCGCAGTCGCATTTTTCTGATGAAAGACTGAAACCAAACGCGATTAAAGTACACATTTTTATATTTTAGATATTCCAGACTAGATATAGATATATCTCGATTTTCCAGACTATTTCCAACGTCAAGAAAAACAAAGAAGAAAACTTAATATTGAAAACGTTGAATCTGGTGGGAATCGAAGTTACAGCCCGTTGATTAGCAAGGAGTACATACAATCATTAGGCTAACGACCCCGTCATAAATCACTGAAGTTTTTCTTCTCGTAACCATGATTATTCGTAACATTTACTTAATTGTATATTTCAGTGTATCTAGGGCAAATGTTGGGGGGTTTTGTTCTAAGTTGGACAGCACCAGTCATCCCCAAATTGGATGACAAAACCCAGTCACCATTGACACAGCCTCTAAGTGATATAGAAAAGTCTTTACTGGCATCAGTGTTGTATATTACTGGATTCGCGGGTTAGTGTCTTATCGGTAAATGGCTCCGTTGCGTAACGCGTTACGGTGCTAGACTATCTTACTGACAATTTTATTATGTTCATCTTAGAAACACATACGTTGTATAATGAATAGAAGTGTTTATTATATATATTTATTTGCTTTTGAAATAAGATTCTTTATTTAAAAAAAATCTATTATAACACACATCTTAGGGGTCATCCATAAAGTACGTCACACGAATTTCATGATTTTTTGAGCCGTCCTTGTCACAGGTGCACATTTCGGTGCTGTTCTAACAAATAACAGGCACAGGAATGACGGTTTATTTCCTGCCCGTATCGTCAAGTTTTCAATACATTTTAATTCATATAATATACATGTAAAAAAATAATCAAAACGAACCAACACTTTCAGGTCTGTTCTTTGCAAGTTGGCTCTCAAACACCAAAGGCAGGAAACCCACTCTTATTTTAGGATCCACGATAGTTCTCATATCTTTCTTAGTACTGGCCTATTCTACAAATTTCGCGTCACTCCTAGTTGGAAGGCTCATTTGTGGACTTGGGGTGGGTCAGATCGCTGTCATAAACATGATCTATATTGGGGAGATTGCGTTAGTATGTATATTTAGTTAGCACCAAAATCATACAACAGTGTGTATCGTATGTGCACTAAATTATCATTTCCAATCTACTTCTAATACAAAATGTGTACTTCAAACGTAGAATTCTCTGGGAGTATGAGTATTGACATACATTTATGTCCGTTTAACTTGATGGAAGGTGAAATACCCTAGCATCGCATCTCAACACGATGCGTTGTCGACGTTTGGGTTTAGCTTTGTTAGTTTTGGGTGTTCCGATTGAAACAAGAATTAACTTCACGGCTTTTTTATCGGTGATGCGGGGCCCGGATGGAATTTCGATAGTCCTACCACCAATTTTATATCCAGATTTGAAAACAAAGTTCTACATATTACCGAAAAGTTATAGTTTGAACCCAGGACTATATTATTAATAATATATAGCTACCATTAGCACGAAGAGTCAAGAACATTTTCTTTCACATCACCGAGATACAAACTCACTTTGTCACGATACACCTTTTGCCAGGGAAATGATGCCATTGGATTGTTTACAGGTCAACAAATATAAGGGGCATTTTTCTAAGTACCCTTGACATTTTGCAAACATGTGGGTCACTTTTGTTAGTATCATCTGGACCTTACGTGTCATACAAAATGCTAAATTACATTGGTGCAACCGTCACCTTATTTAGTGTTTTGGCTCTGCTATTGATTCCTGAATCTCCCGTGTTTTATGTTATCAAAGGTAACTTATTTTCAACCTTAATACGCTTCAAAATATTAAAATAAACATATGCTATCTCAGATATTATGTGCCTACGTTAGATTAAGTTTAGTAAACATTTTTAATGCCCCTAGCTTGTATAATAGACAAAAGCAAACTTGACGTTCATAAAATCTTTATTTCGTTCTAAATTAAGGAAGTTCTTCCGTAATAAAATTCTTAACATTTTGGAGTATTGAAATAAACAAATATTTAATTTTGGCCAAGACATTTTTTAATATACTAAAATAAATTTAACTCAAGATAAATAAAGTTTAAGGTAAGTTATAAAAAGTCCTTTATCAGATTTATTTATTTTAACAAAATTGCCTTAAAAATTGGAGAAACCAAAATGTTTCACAGATACAATGACGTATTAAACAAACATGGGGAAGTATTACATCTTATAGTAGTATAATAATGACTTTACTATTTTTCACAACAACGCAGCAGCACGGAACAATGTGGTGCGGATTCAAGTCCCGATTGTATCTTTTTTTTTTCAATGTAAATAGATTTGTATTTGATTTAATGTTACTGTAATAACACCTTCTGTTATAGATGACGAGAAGAACGTCAAAGCCACCCTCGAAAGGCTGGATCGAGTTAGTGAAATGAAGGAAATCTTCGATTTAAACAAAGACAGGGTGGTGACGAGCGCTAAGGACGACTGGAGGGAGTTGTTCACTTCAAAGTGCAATAGACGTGGATTATTGATCATGACCACTATCATGTCTTTGCAGTATCTGAGTGGTAATTGAATTTATATTAGGGCTTATTAATGCAAAACAGATTTCGATGAATATCTGTGTCAGCGACTTCTTCCACGTATACGGCATTCGGCACTTTAACGGTTTAAAACGCGATATATTAGTTAAACTTATTTGAAAATGATTTTTAAGTTCGGCCCGACGTTTCGGATGCTTTGCAGCAGCCGTGGTCACGGGGAGACGAACATCGGGCCGAAGTTAAAAATCATTTTCAAATAAGTTTAACTAATATATCGCGTTTTAAACCGTAAAGGTGTTTTATTGAAATATTATTCAATATACAAATTCGACCTCTATTAAAGTATGTACCTTTTTGTAGGAATGCTCGTAGTCCAGTTCTTCGTGACGTCGATCTTCGAGATCGCCAAGTCATCTATTAAGCCAGAGATAGCGACAATTATAATCGGTTGCACTCAGCTGAGCGGAGGTTTAATAGTGCCCTTTGTAATAGAGAATGCGGGTAGACGAAGATTATTACTCGGTTCTACGGCTCTCTGCTGCGTCAGTATGGTGAGTTCTCTATGTTAATTGCCTATTGTTGGCTTACTGAATGTAGGACAGGTTTATTGAAGTCATTTTAAATCGCTAGGTATTATATCTATAGTATATCTTAACATTGTAGAGTTTCGTGGCCTGTAAGGAATTTCGATATCCCCTACTCATTTGATAACTTTATTGCGTATGACATTATATAAATTTTAAATATAGAAACACGGGTGATAGTTCAGTAGGAGCACGGAACGCTGTGGATGCCGGTTCGAATCCCTCACGTGTCGATTTTTTTTTCAATCAGAGTAGATTTTTAATTAATACCTACTCATTTCTATCTTAAGGTTTTACATGTAGACAAGTTTTTTTTCTAATTTCGAAATTCGAATCTACGATGCGTTATTTATTTGTTTAGGAAGTATAACGCAGCTGTCCCTAGTATTACTAGCCAGTTCTTTTTGATGTTACATTTAAATGTTAATTTCGAACACAAAAATAAATCAACATTATTTGATATCATTGTACAATGAAATCATTTTATGGAGGGGCTACGTATATCTGTTACTTCTAATGGTATTTTATGTGGCCTTTTTTCCAGACCATATTCGGGTTATACTTTTATTTGAAGCATATTCAGGCGCCAATAGTGGATACCATACAGTGGCTACCGCTAACCGTCCTCGTGGTATTTTTTTTAAGTAACAATATGGGTAAGGGTTTTAAAATAACACACCAAACCTATCAGAAAAGACTTCCATGAATTTTAAAATATTATTGTGCCCTAAGACAACTACAATGTTGTCTTAGGGCCATATTGATACAAACAATTCAATTCGTATTAAAAAAAACTTTGGCATAGTGCAAAAATTATTTCATTATATTAAGATGGAAAACGAACGCAACAAATTACACATGTATGTATATCATAGTTTTTTATAGAGGAGGATAAATAAGGATGGGATTGACCTGATGGTAGGTGAAATACGAAAGCCTATGGCATCTAAACGAGATGCGCTGTTGCCCTATTTCGGCTTTGGATATTCGGAAATCCACAGATTGAAACCGAAGCTTAAATAAACTTTAATATTCCTACCATCCATTTAATATCCAGATTTCCAGACGAAGTCCAATATGTTTTAAAAAAATTATAAATGGATCAGAAAAGCGTTGCACCCGGTATTGAATCCTCGACCCGTTGGCTATTAGCCGTACATCGCTACCATTGCACCAACTAGTCCGTCAAAATCTCCTATAGTCTATTATCATTATAATAATTGTTTGCGCTTTCAGGTTTCGGCACGATACCAAGTACTCTGACCGGCGAGATGTTTACGGGCAACGTCAGAGGTAAAGGAGCTGCACTGGTGACCTGCATTTCTTGGGCTTTCGGCTTCGCAGTGACCACCGTGTTCAACACGATGCTGACAGAACTTGGACCGCACTACATGTTCTGGTTCTTCGCGTCCACCTGCGGACTCGCCTTCATCTTCACGTTATTCTTCGTGCCAGAGACCCAGGGCAAGAGCCTCGTTGAAATCCAGGAAATGCTAAATAAATGATAATACTTTGAATGGCTGTTTCTCGTGTAACTTTACCCATTTTATTCTATGTTATACAAATCTAGGAACTGTTTTTAATTACTATTGAATGATCGCGTGTGGCCTCAGTCTGTATACCCAGAGTCAAAAGAGGTCGACAGAGAAAGTTATTTTTTTTATTAATTAACTTGTCTCCTTATTTATTATTAACATGTATTCGGCGGGCAAAACCGTGCAGTGGTTTATTTGTACGGATCGCTCGCTAACCTAGCAAAATATCTACTTAATATCTAACACAAATACTCGATTCAGCCGTTCGGTGTCCACTGCTGGACATAGGCCTCCCCCATAGACTTCCAGTACGACCGGTCGTTCGCTAGTTGAATCCAGCGTTTCCCTGCTACCTTGACTAGGTCGTCGACCAGGACGACCAGGAGGTCGTCCAGGTTTTCGACGTCCGGTACGTGGTCTCGACTCCAGAACCTTTTTGCCCCAACGGCCGTCAGTTCTACTACGAGCGATACGAGCTAACTATTACGCTAACGATTAACTAACTTGTTGAGCTATTATTTTGCTGAGATGTTTCACATACCATTCCGTAAATACCAAGCTTGTTTTTCTATTATCATAAAAAAGATATATAAATTACATCTAAACCACAGAGTTGGTATATCGGAATTCCTCCGAAGATTACCCAAGTAGTGAGAATAGTCTAAAGTATAAATGATACCCTTATCTGTGTACTTAATAGAATGAGCACTGTGATAAGAATTTGTCATGTTCAATGGCAAAAAAAGATAATTAAAACTGTTCTAAATAAGTTTAATTGCAATTTATATTAATTACGAATTAACAAATCGCACGAATCGCACGACGAGTCGCAAATGTCTTCTTTTTAGTTATTTAATTTAAATAGAATTCACGAAATATTTGTCCTTTATTTGGTAGGCCAGTTATTTTTGAATAAACATATTCAAACAATATTTTGTTCTTAGAATTGAATTTTACATAAATATTAAGTGTTTGTTCATTTGGTTGTGTGAAGGTGTTCATCTCAAAGTGAAAAGTCAAGTCTCTAGCATTGGGTCAGCTGATTAGAAGTTGAAAAGATTCACGTCTGTGTAGTTACCTTACCTTGACCTTAGTTTGTATATAGATTAAGTTAATAAATGTTGAAATGTACTACTCGCGTAAACTATAGACAGTATGTTATTTGAAGCTATTATTTGACGTTTAATAGTACTATTAGAGAATGGAACCAATAAAAGTCATATGCGTTGCTAATTACGGATACACGATTATATGATAAAATAACAACTTTAAATAAAACACTTTAGGCGGTTTAAAACGCGAAATATGTTAGTTAACTTATTCACATTTAAATTTCAATTACGGTCCGAAGTTTCTGTTGCTTTGCAGCAATCAGACTAGGACTGAAGAGGTTGTCACTAACGTCAAAGTGAGATCTGCTACGCCAGCGCCATCTTTTGGTATTTGGACAAACTACTACCTTACCTTACTTCGAAGTAAACACTTTCCAATCAATCTTAATGCTTGCAACAACTCAGTCTTTGTTTCAAAAAATTCCTTCGTTTCGCCAAATTGATCTAACATTTCAAGAACTTATGACACGTTTTTCTTGTCATCTGTATTGGAATGCAAGTTTTATAATGCATTTGTTTAGGTATGTAACTGTAATCAATTATTAACAATCATACATCAGTAATCAGTTATGGAAAGAATCTGTTTCTTGTGTGGTATGAACGTGACGTGACTATAATTACTTTTGAAGTTTTTTTTAATATCATCACTCTTTGACGTGCTCGTTGGTGTGACAGTAGCAATGTGTCGTTAATAGGCTAAACGGGTGGTGGGTCCGACCCCCCTGGTAATGTTTCAAAAACATGCTGGACTTCGCCTGGAAAGTTGGATATTATATTGGTTGTAAGATTATCGAAATTCTGTCGGGGTTACGAACTATCGTGCACTAATGAACTGTGAAGATCATCATTCAGTTTCAGTCTGTAGATTTCCTCATCTTGATTGGATCTTATATTGCGGTATTTCATCTTCCATCAAGTGTACTCCAGGTCTTCCTCTGTCATTAAAGTTTTGAGAATTCTGCAATAATTTACCTAAACAAGGTATAGTTACCAATACAAACCGCTAAACTGTCGACTAACTAAAATGAGAAATAGAAAATCGTTACTAACGACGACGTAACATAGTTTTGGAGTTCGCAACAATTGTTATGGAATTCAAATAAAGTTCCGGCGGTTAGTAGAAATTTGGGAATTCTCTATTCCTTTGATAAAAGTACTTGAGAAGTATGTATGTAAATACTGTCTGTATTACAATATTTCATTAAAAACTAATTACTATTTACTAAAACAATGAATATTAAAAACTTTTTAAATTAAACAAAAATGACATGACTTGAACCGGCGTCGACAACAATCGTGCTGCTATAACCAACTAAGTCCAGTTTTAATAAGTCAATGTAATCGTCATGTCAGTTTGTTTTATAGTATTTTCTCTTATGTGGCCCGACATCACCATTATTAAGAAAGTTTTTCTGTTGAAATTAGGGATTATTCTGCTTATCTGCCAGATCTTTATTACTTTTGTAATTAAGTATGCGTTTCTATTAATCGCAAGCCAAATAAGAAGTCTGAGTAAAGAGATTAGGCCAAACCTTCAGAGATGTTTCATATAAGCGCTAGCTCTCTATTACTTTTTTATAAAAATGTATATCGTGTCTAACATTGAACCATGAGAGTTCCTAGATTCAAATCCTGGAAAAAATCAATACAATGTTTAAATAAAACACTTTAACGGTTTAAAACGCGATATATTAGTTAAACTTATTTGGAAATGATTTTTAACTTCAACCCGACGTTTCGGATGCTTTGCAGCAGCCGTGGTCACGGAGAGCCGTGGTCACGGGGAGCCGCGGTCACGGTTAAAGTGTTTTATTTAAATGTGTACTACTCGCGTAAACTATAGACAGTATTTAACAATACAATGTGTTGAACTCGACGATAACTTGTCACCTCAATTTTTTTTAGGGGAGAACAGAAAAGCACGGGGTTCTCTTCATGATGATAGGTAAAACACTCCAGCCATATATCATCTAAACAAGTCTGTCGACCTATTTTGGTTTTGGATATTCGCAAATCCATAGATAGAAATCGAAACTCGTTTAAACTTGACCGTTTCTACATCAGTGGCCGGTGGTCCTTGATACGGAAGGAATTTCGATATTCCTCTCACCCATTAAAAAAAATACAATTGGTTAGAACAGCAGCACGTAATGTCGTGGATGCCGGTTCAAGTTAAATATTTCGGTCGGACATGTCATAAAAAATCGATCAGCCAATAAAGAACATCGGATTTTACTTTTATTTATTTATTTAGAACCCCTGATCTTACCTTCTTATTTATGAAGTAAGCAGACGTTAACGAAATAAATGTGTCTACTGCCTACGTTATTTCATGGGTTATAATTTTTCTTAAACAATTTATGTTTGTTGACTTAAAAGATTATCCGATACAAAGTTGCAGTCGAAATGTACTGGAATGGAGCAATTTACAATTGATTGAGCAATTTCGTGGCCATATTTCAAATGGATTTATGATCTTCGAGATGCGATTAATAAAATAATATATTGTCATTTTAGGAATAGCCTCAAATGAATTAGCTGAAATATCTTTTATTCGTTCAAAGTTCTACCATTCAAGAAATACCCATTTGATAATATGTTTCAACCCTGAGTTTTATATCTCACAACTCAATACATATCTATATCAGTCTTCTCTCTTATTTTTGTTCAAACTGAAAATATAGCTGGTAGAAAAGACGTTAAATTAGCTATAGGTACTGTCTTGCCGTTCAAGTGATTAGTACACTAGCTGATTACGAATTAACTAAAACTTATATTCTTATTGAAATTATTAAAGAAGTTGTTTCTATAATATGTTTCTTTTTTTTGCTAACCAAATAACAAATGATCGGGTACATATATATTATTATAAAGGAGGACAGACAATGTAAGATTCACTTAAAGTCAGTTAATTCTAGTCATATCAAAGAAAACATTATTATTAAGTAAGAACTCAACAAGACGCGTTGTCGTCTTATTATGGAATTGGATATTCAGATATCCACACACTGGAGTTATATTTCCTGTTTTAAACCGATTAAAGTACTTAATTTACTACTCATCTAAATTATAGACAATCGAACTTATGATTAATGCTTAGTTCGTATCAATTACCTTTATATTGAAAATCGATAAATTTAATCATACCTAATAGCTTTGAATTGAATAGCTGTGTAATGAAATAATATCTATGTTGAACTGAATAGCCTGTGTGCTATATTTTTCATTGCTTTCTCATAGCATAGTCAATGAGTTCTGGGTTCCTTGGCCGGCGATAAAGACAAAATAGGCTGAGAACTTTTACAAAACGATTTTAACGGTTTGAAACGTGAAATATATTAGTTAACAACAAGTAGCTGGTATTTGGAGAACCTGGCGACTCACAACGCTTTTTTTGGACTTTGGCATTAGAGACTCTCTCCATCTTCAGACCCCTCGTGACCACAATAATTGCATGCATCCAAAACCTCGGGCCGTAGTTAAAATAAATTGTAAATAAGTTAACTAATGTACTTCGCGTTTTAAACCGTTAAAGAGTTTTATTTAAACAAGTTGACAGTTAGTCTAAATTAAACATTGTTCGTTTGGTGGGATCATAATATTAAAACAAGTTTCTTAAGTAGGTCTATTTGTTTAGGCATAAAAAAATATCAAACATCTAAGTCGTTAACAAATTACGAATTGTGATTAATAGGTTGACGTTGTAATATTGTATATAATTGTATTCGTATTATGCACTAGTAATGACATGGACAGAACACTGAAAAATCCAAAAGGAATATTCAAACATTTCACTTGAATTTGTTTAGAATTTAGATCATTAGTAGCTACGTAATATAATATCTAAACAATATGCCC